ATTCAAATTTTTGAAAAATTATAGCACCCTTAACATAATAGATATATAAATAAAATAATATCCTATATATAGTTTAAGATTAGCTCTATCTTATAAGCTTTTCAGAAAATTGAAAATAAATTTCCTCAGTTCATACCCTAAGCCGGAAACAACCTCTAGACTTCCATAATAAGCTCTGGTTATACCTTATTCCTTTGCTCTAGGAAGCTAAACCCTTCCGAAGTGGCTTACATTAGTGAGGCTAGTCGGTATTGGGAAAGTATTCCTAACAATATCTTATGGCCGCGTTGGGCGGTGCGGCTTCCGATAAAGCAGTTTCCGGTCTTCAGGGGGTGTATATGAATATAATTGAGCTCTTTATTCCAAGAGTGAGAGTTCTTGCTGTTGTTGTGCTTTTTCATGTTAGCTGATGTCGGTGCTGCTTAGATCAGACAGGCAACAGGATGGTGCCAATCACGTGTCATAGGGGTGACCCCATGACATTGGGAAGATATTCCTAACAGCCTTATCTTTCATGACGCACGATCTATACCAACAATAACACAATTTAAGCCCTTTATATAGGGGGTAGTAGAGTAGAAAGAAAAAATATAATATAGTTTAGGACTTTTATTTATCAGGATAGGGGAAAAATTAAAACCGCGACGCGATTCGCAATACAATACTTAAGTAGGTGAAACACTAATATAGCTACTGGCTAGATATTCTGGTGGCCCAAAACTTGCAGAATCGCTTGCTCCGCTTGCATCATAATCTGTTCCTCCTCATGTCCAGAAGTATCGCCAAAAACTTCATCCATCTGCTCGAGTGTACGTCCCATTGTTTCAGGCACAAGAAAGACTGCCCAAAGCCCAGAGATTGTGCACATGATTGCATAGAATATGTAGGTTCTGTATGAGATATTCTGGATCATCGGAGGTGTGGAAATTCCGACCACAAAATTCGACAACCAGCCGACACAGACCGCTAGGGCGACACCCTTGGCACGCTGCGACGTGGAGAACACCTCGGGTGGAAGAGACCAACCCAAAGGCGAGTAGGATACGCCGTAAACCATAATGAAGACGAAAGCCATTGAAACACACGCCCAACCAGCCGCCTTATGAGACTCCCAATCATGGCCATACAGCCCAGCTAGGGCAGCAATAATAACGTAGGCGCTCGCAGCACCGAAACCGCCCAGAATGGCCAATGGCCTGCGACCGACTTTGTCGATAATAACAAAGCAAATTGCAACCGCCACAAGTTGAAGGATGTTAAAGACGCCTGACAAAATCAGAGACATTTCATCGGATTGTCCAATGGATCGGAACAAGGTAGGCGCGTAGTAGATGAAGGCGTTGATGCCACTAAATTGCTGGAAGAAAGTTACACCACACCCGACAAAAATCCGGCGCCAGTTTCTGATTTCGAACAAATCAAACCAGGAATACATTTCAAGCTTAAATCCGGTCACACCCGGGTGCTTCTTCGCATGGACAAGCCTCTGGAATTCGATTTCCGTGATGATGGATCTGTATTCGATCTGGACTCTCTGATCAGTCGAGGGGAGCCTCCGCAGTTTGGTAATGCTGGCAAGTGCATCTTCATTGCGACCAACGAGAGCAAGCCATCGAGGTGAGAAAGGGAAGAAATGTATACAGATTCCGAGAAATGTAGCCGAAACCATCTGAAGGCCAAGCGGAAGTCTGAATGAGCTATCACCTGACATGTGGCGGGTGGCAAAGGTGATCCAGAATGCTATGACCACACCTGACACTATAGATATGGATTCCAAAACCAACAGGGTCCCTCGAAGATTAGGAGGTGCGATTTCTGCAATATAAAGCGGCGCAGCCTACGATGGTACTGCGTTAGTAACACTGATATTAATTTTCAGTACTGGTGAATATACCAAGGCAAGAGTCCCCACGCCGATACCTCCGATAGCTCTACCAGCAACCAATGTTCCGTAGTTGGGAGCAGTTGTTTGTAGAATCGCTCCGATGTCGAAGATCACCACCACAATAGTCAACGCCCACTTTCGCGACACCTTGTCGCAAAGATACGGCATGAAGATGGAGCCCACGAAAGCTCCAAGGAGAAGCATACCTGTCATGAAGCTCGTGCCAAACGCAGTCTCAGTTCGCGGGTACTTGGTGTGGAACTGGTCCATTACGTTGATAATCGAGATGACGCCCTGGTCGTAACCGAAGGAAAAGCCACCAAGAGAGGCAAGAAAGGCCGCACCAAAGACATACGGTGATGATAAGAGGCCTAAGACGCTCTGGCGGCCATAGGAAACGTTCTCAATAGCGATGTTCGGGAGCCTTGTGGTATCAAGATCCTGCTTATCTCGCAAGGCCTCGATGTGCTCATTGTTTGTTTGATATTTCTCCATTGAGGTCTAGGATGGGTGCTCTAGGAGTGAGCTAAAAGGTAAGAAGATGGCAAAGACCCTAAAGGCGTATTCTGATTGATCCGAGAGCGAGTTAATTGACAAACTGATATGTGCTCAAGGGAGCTACTTATAGTACGAAATACTTCGTATAAGTAATCGTCGCTAGAGGGACCAGAGTCCGAATCTGGTGATTGTTCTGGGCATAAACTTTTTGCGGGGACCCCAGTGGAGACTCCAGAATTCTCGGGAGTGTTGAGTCCACACGGTGACACGGTCATCGACTTTGTTGCTAAAGATCACGTGGTCCACACGGGCGAGAGTAGGGACTTGGATGTTTCCTGCAATTGGCTCATTGCATCTCGGATTATGATCCCGATCCCTGCTCCACACTTCCGGATTTGAATCCATCCACACGTCGTCTTTGCTGGCTCCATGTCTATCCCAGAAATTTTTCACAATGTTCCGAAGGCCCAGTCGGATATTGTCTAGCATGCTTAAAGCGCATAGGTTTAGGATACCATAATCAGCTCTAAGCAGCCGTCTTAAGCTTCATAGTCTTTGCGCCATTATTCTCTTGCTTCGCGATCAAAAACCCGATCTATGTAGCGTATCTTGCATTGCGGTATTGAGTCTCATAATGTCAGTCACGCTGCCCTACATCAATTTGAACAACAAAGTGAAGATTCCAAGCTTAGGTCTCGGTATGTAGGCTTGCTGACTCTCTTTCCTTCATACTCAACATCATGACGCAGGAACTTGGCAGTCGAAGCCTGGAGAAGTCCAAGCTGCAGTAGCACATGCAATTAAGGCCGGTTATCGTCATATTGATACGGCATATTGCTATGGAAATGAGGCAGATGTCGGACAGGGAATCAAGGAGGGATTGAAGGCAACGAACCTAAGACGGGAGGATCTTTTTATCACCACGAAGCTATGGTGCACCTATCACACGCGCGTGGAGGCTGGTCTCCAAAAAAGCTTAGATCGCCTGGGCTTAGACTATGTAGACTTGTATTTGATGCACTGGCCTGTCGCCATGAACCCTAACGGTATGTCAAAAAGACCTCTCCTGTTGGTGGAATATTCATTCGATCGTTTTCCACTTGGTCCGCTGGGTTAATATCTAAGTTCGATTCACCCTCATCTCACAACGGACTGGCTAATAATAGGAGCGTAGGCGACGATGAGTATTTTCCACGTCTTGCAGATGGCAGCCGAGATTTGCTGTTATCGAGGAAGCACTTTGATACATATAAGGACATGGAGAAGCTTTTGAGCACCGGAAAAGTGAGAAGTATCGGTGTGGCGAACTACAGCGTTCCTTTTTTGAAAGAGCTGCTAGCGACAACTTCGATTGTGCCGGCTGTCAATCAAATCGAAAATCACCCGCTCCTACCACAACGAGAGATTGTCGAGTTTTGCAAGGCACACGGCATCCATGTTACAGCATATAGCCCATTTGGTAGCGCAGGTAGTCCTCTTTTTCATGAGCCAGAGATCAAGGAGGTTGCAAAGCGACGCGGTGTTAATGAAAGCACGGTCCTCCTCAGCTGGCATGGTCTGTAATCTCCAAGGCAAGAATCAACTATCTTCGCTAACGGAACTCTAGTGATGAACGGCCGTTCTGTCTTATCTAAATCTGTAACTCCATCACGAATATCATCCAATCTCCATTTAGTTGCACTGAGTGAGGACGATATGCAAACAGTTGCTAAGCTTACCAACCGTGTTGAGAAGGAAAACTCTTTGAAGCGTTATGTATACCCTGCATTTGGAGTCAATTTTGGATTTCCGGATAAGCAATAAGGTATATCTATCGCATTTGGAGCAACATAATTAGATTCTTACCTAGTTCATGTCACCGTCTTTAAGCTACCGTAGCATACGTTTGCATGTCAAATAGTTTCGGCATTTCTGTCCTTAGTCGAATGCATGATATTGAATTTACTGTTATCTTAGGATTGGTATAATTGATTTATTTAAATTATCGTACAAAAGGAATGAATAGACTAATTAACTATGTATCATAAATCCATGTACATGTGGGCTGTTAAATAGTTAAAGGTAGTGGAGTACATGCTGCTTGATTTTCAAAGATTTAATACTCTTATCCACGTAGATAAATACTAACTCTATGTATTTCCAATCTTTGGGCTATAATGATAGTATCTATATCATATTTAATAGGGTAGTCCTAACAAATCCTTAAATCATGAACATATCTGTGGAGCGCGTAAGCGACAAGGCCAAGAGGCTCAAGATAATGAATACGTGATGGACTACGGCATATAGGCTTATATATTATGATAAGAAGAATGAATTATTCTGATAATATGTGATGAATGTCATCCACTACAGGGAGAAATTCCCTTTTGTCTGAGTGAAATTTGTATACCCTAGCGCCGATTCCATATGGTCTCTGAGTGAGAGTTAGTGACGATCAATACTGTATATTATGACACATACGGGCTCTAGAGAAAAAACATGTTCCTTAGGTATCTTTATTTCCGCCAAGTCGTCTCTTTGCAGGCCTAGGAAGTATGCAAGAAGAACACGGACAACTGCTCGATGGGTTACCAGCACCACATGATGGCGGACACGTTCAAGCTCAATAATGACATCCCGCAGCCTGTTGATGACATCAATATAGCCCTCACCCCCTTGCCCAGACCAACGAAAGAAGAGTTTATCCCGTCTTCGAGCTTCAAATTCATCAGGAAACTTATGGCTGATTTCGTCAAAAGTCATTCCCGCTACGTGTCCGGGATTTAGGTCGTCGAGAACCTTGATTTGACGCCGTTTATATCGTCTCGGGCAGAAATATGCAGCAGTTTGAATGGCTTGCGGCATAGTGGATGTCCAGATACTGCAATGAGCACGATGAATTATGAAATGGCTGGAACCGTTTGTGCTGCAACTACCCCCATTATTGTTTCGTGACTCCGTAGCCATGTGTGTCGGTTCATTTTTCTTCCTCCTATCCCACTGCAGTTGCTCTTTGGATATGAAGTCTGCCAGGGCCTGAGCGTAGTGTTTTCCTTGCTCGGTCAAGTCGGAAGGCCGGCCAATTCTACCTATGGCGTCGTCAAAACTTTCTCCGTTGCAGCTGATCCATATTTGTCGGTCCGTAAGGTGGAAATTGAGAAGATACTCCACCACCTTAGTTGACAAAAAGCCGTCAATCATAAATGTGTTGATTTTCTGTCCCACATTGATCATCTGGACGTAGGGCATGTTATGCGTCTCCTCGAACGGGCCGAGTGGAACATAGTGGCTCTCGTAGTTGCTTACCCGACGCATCAGATCTTGCAGAGCAACTTCTGGATCTTGAAGCCGATAATCTGGACCAGAGAGTTTCAGGTGTAGGTTTTTAGCCAGTAGCAGAGGATCGGTACAAACACTCTCAAGAAACATAAACTCAGGCGTTGGAGTAGCATGTGCATATAGGTGCGTGAGGAGTAGCTGCCTTCGCTCTATTGTGGTATTTGTCGCATCCAATATGCCTACGACACCACCTTCTTGTTCGATCCAATGAAGCAGGTCATCTAGTATAGACAGGGCTATCTCATCTCGTATGCTAACGTTACGTTCGTCATTGGGATCGAAGAAGTCTGCCGAGAACATGTCCTGAGACCCAGGATGCTCTTCGAGGCCGATAACGCGTCGCCTATCGCCAGCATTGAAGATTCTAGTACGATATTGGAGCCAGTTCAGGTAGCGAGCCAGTTTCTTCACCGTATAGCTCTTCCCGCGGGCAGGAAGGCCTACCATGAAGATAATCAATTTGGCACTCATACCTTCGCCTGAGTTCAGGGAACTATGAATCTTCATCTCAGTTCTTGTGATATCGCGAGTTATGTCTAGCATTGGGAAATAAGAAGGTATTTCTCTATAGGTAATGATGGGTTATACGGCCGTGATAGCCCTCAGCCACACATGACTTATCTAGCAATATACGGCAACTCCATGGTGTGGAAACCGTACGGCGCGAGCTCCGTTGCCCGAGACTGCTGAATGCAAAGAAAGACTTATTCGTAGCCAAAAAAAAAAGGGGGGGGGGGGGGGGTGGCGCATGGTCAACTTCCGATGCGTCAGCGTGTAAAATCAAGATTTCCGTGGTTTTCGGCGTTGACCCGTGCCTCTGACCGTTCTTTAGTCGGGATTTATGTCTTGCGCTGTCAACACTTCCGAGTCTCCCCAAAACGCACAATCAGCTAAACACCTTAAGTACTCGCGTCTCCCTCCATGATGGCGATCACGGATAACTCTTCGCTTGGGCCAGCGCATCATGAAGAGAGTACATAAGATAGCATTGATTCCAGGAGATGGCATTGGCGTCGAAGTGTTGGACGCGACCGTGAAGGTTCTCAAGAAAATCGTTCAAAAATCTCGTCAATTCGAGCTTCATCTGAACACCTTTGATTGGAGCTCGCAGAGGTTCCTTGAGACGGGTGACTACATCCCAAAGGGTGGTTTAGACGAACTAAAGAAGTATGACGCAATTCTGTTTGGCGCTGTAGGCTCTCCTGGTTAGTTTTTTCTGCTTTCTCTGGATGAAGTTGTAGCAATGGATTAACGATTTCAGATGTTCCCGATCACACATCGCTTTGGGGCCTTATATTGCCAATCAGAAAAAGTGTACTTCAAGTCCATCCGCTGCAGTAAGTAAGGTCGCTGACTCTACAGCAGCTGAACCAATATGTGAATGTGCGACCCGTGCGTCTGATGCCTGGGATCACTTCTCCTCTTGCAGTCCCGGGTGCCAGCAAGATCGACATGGTCCTGATTCGCGAGAATAGCGAAGGAGAGTATTCCGGCCAAGGAGGTGTATCTCATGACTGCGGCGATGGGACCGATGCCTTCGCCACCGAGGTCGCCGTCTTCACCAGCATTGCAATCGAGCGCGTGATGCGCTTTGCGTTCGATACGGCTAGATCCCGACCTCGCAAAAAGCTTACAATGGTGACAAAAAGCAATGCGCAAAAGTGAGATCACTAAGCTCCTCTGCACCCCGCGAAATGATCACTAATGAAGAAAAAAGATATGGACTGGTTTTGTGGGACTCGATATTCTACCGCGTGGCTAAGGACTATCCTGACGTAGGGATAGACAAGATGCTGGTGGATGCCATGACAGTTCGCATGGTACTCAGACCGGAAAGTCTTGATACCATCGTGGCCACTAATCTTCACGGAGATATACTATCTGACTTGGCTGCCGCTCTGGCCAGGAGCATTGGGATCGCGCCATCCAGTAACCTTGATCCCACACGGAGATATCCAAGCATGTTTGAACCTATTCATGGGAGCGCCCCTGACATTGCCGGTAAAGGGATCGCGAATCCATTTGGGACATTTTGGAGCGCTGCAGAAATGCTAAAGTGGTTGGGCGAGGATAAGGCAGGTGACAGCATCATGATGGCAATGACGCAGGTGTCCGACCGCGGTATACGTACCAGGGATATTGGAGGTACGGCAGATACAGCTGCAGTGACAGAGGCAATTTTGAAAGAGCTGGATAACATGATCTAGGAGGTTTACTTATCTACAACCAAAATCCTACTTTTGAACGTTGTTCATTTACTCTGACGTCGTATATACTGACGGTTGCATTTGCCTATCTGTCTTCTACTTGTCTAGATTGCCAACAGTGATGCTTTTGATAGTCTGATACTCGTCAAGACCGTACAGACTGCCTTCCCTGCCATAACCGCTCTCTTTAACTCCGCCGAAAGGAGCTTCTACGGCGCTAATTTTACCGGTGTTAACGCCCACCATTCCAACTTGAAGACGCTGCGCAACTCGACTGGCCTTTCCGATGCTTCTGGTGAATAGATACCCTGCTAAACCAAATTCTGTGTCGTTGGCCAGTTGGATGGCTTCCTCCTCATTTTTAAACTCGAATATTGGTGCCAAAGGCCCAAAGGTCTCATCCCTTGCTACCAACATGCTAGACGTAACTCCGCTGAGGATGGTAGGGGGTGCGTAGAAGCCCGTGGAGTTTCCGGGGGGTTTGCTAGTGTATTCAATCCTTGCGCCTTTCGACACAGCATCTTTGATATGCTCGTTGACCTTGTTCACAGCAGCCTTGTTTACCAGGGGTCCCTGTGTTGTTGTAGAGTCCATCCCTGGACCTATGTGAAGCTCTCTGGTTTTGGCGATCAGCTTCTTTACGAAAGATTCTCTGATGGAGGAGTGAACGTAGATGCGGTTCGCGCACACACACTTAACTTGTATTAGCACGTGTCACTTCCAAGGCGCGTCAAGAGCTTCAAACCCACAGTCTGTCCACTGCACCTGAACTTGCTGAACATTGTTCCTTCCACGGCCAGGTCGAGGTCTGCGTCTTCGAAGATGATCACGGGAGCATTTCCACCAAGCTCAAGGCTTACCTTCTTCAAAGTCCCTGCAGCCAGCTCTGCCAGCATCTTGCCCACCTTGGTTGATCCAGTGAAACTGATTTTTCTGACCAGAGGGTTTGTCGCTAGTTCAGTTGCAGCTTTCTTATCCTTTGTCGGGCATGCCTGAATGACCTTTGGCGGGAGCCCGGCGTCGACAGCAAGCTTTGTAAGAGCGAGGCAGGTGTATGGAGTCTCGCTGGGAGGCTTAATCACCACAGAACATCCCGCTGCCAATGCTGGAGCAACTTTTCTTGTGATCATGGCTGCGGGAAAGTTCCATGGCGTAATGATGCCACACACCCCGACTGGCTCTCGGACGGTAGAGAGAGTCGTGTGCTTGTACGAGGACGGGATCGTGACTCCGTACGATCGAGTGGCTTCTTCAGCGAACCATGAGACGAAATTCGCTGCATATACGACTTCTCCCTTCGCCTCGGCAAAAGTCTTTCCATTTTCCAGACAGAGTAATGTAGCAACTGGCCCATGACTGTTAGTTATCATTCAACTTTCTTAGCTTTGCAAAAGGAAAAAAAATTACATACTATCGTCTTGGTTCTGAATGATCAGATCATGCCACTTTCGAAGCAGCTCGCCCCGCTCTGTTCCGGTAGTGTTATAGTAATATTCTTTTTGCGCGGCTGAAGCACTCGCGATAGCTGTCCGAAAATCGTTCACATCGCAGTTTGCGACTTGACCCAAAACGGTGCCAGTCGCAGGTTCTATTACAGTTTAAAATCCAGAAATGTCTAGCACCAAGCATTCTTAAAACTCACCATAAACATCAAATGAAGCTGTTTTGGAGATCCATGCTCCATCGATGAAAGCGTCTTTGATAAAGAGGTTTGGGGATTTCAACTGTAAAGATCCTGTTATTATTCATCTAACGCAATACGGATTTGATTGGATATCCACTTACGTTCTGAAGATATTGACGGTGGTATTGCTCTCTCCCAGAGCAGGGGTCAATATCTACCGGTGGCATCTTTTGCAATCAGCAGATTTTAGATTTAAATCGGAAGCCTAATCAGAGTAGACAGGATCTTGATCGAAGATACTGCGTCGCTAGTTTCTTACGAATCGGGCTGGAACTACTAGCACTTTTTCAACTGCGAGCTATGCGAGCATCGTGAACTTCAAAGGAATTTGCACCTCCGAGGGCCCGGAATTAGCTGGAAGCTTCGCTGAGACAAGACTAACGGGACCATTGTGTACCCATCGAGCGGTACCACTCACAAACAAATTCGCAAAATTTTCTACGGGACATAATTCCGCATCACCCCGGAGTATAGTCCCACAAATCCTCTCCGTTGACCTCAATGTGCAACTGCTTAATGTATGTGTGAGATTCAAAATCTATGTATATATCACTCGACCCACACTTTTTAGCCTTGAAATATGTCCTCACAATCTATTAGGAACTCAAGATTTCGCTGTAAAAGTCACAATTCAGTCAAAATGTAGCACTATGGACGTATTCTGTTACTATCTACTTTAGAGACCAAAGAAGCTGCTGCAAAAATCTGCCTATTTGGTGTGCAGTAGACTTCAAGTCTGTTCGGTACCGAAAGCCAGCAGCCACGGCCATCAGGGAAAGAAAAATTGAGCTAGATGACAAGTTGCGTATCACCCGCCGAGCGGCATATACCGGCCAAAACCAACTTCCTCCCGTCATATTGAACGCGCTCCAGTCTGGGAAGTACGTCGCGGCCCAGAACGATCGTGCAAGGCCTGGCCACGACGCCGCATTTCTGCCGTACTTGTTGAAGTACCAGTTTGAGCAGTCCCCAGCGTACACCGTATTTGAAAGACCCTCATGAATGGCGTTGGTCATGCGGTCCTCAGCCGCCTGCTTGACCTCGATGACTTCGGCGCACCCATCTAGTAGTGGCTTGATCAAGGATTTGACAGCATAGTCGACCTGCGTTTCGCATGCAAACAGGGCAGAGTTGTTGGCCGGAAAAGTGTTGGGGCCAAATAGGATGGCAAAATTGGGAAAGTTGTGCACATGAGTTCCCAGGTATGCCTGTGCGCCACGACATTCTTTCCACTGGTCGTGCAGAGACTTTCCAGTCGCGCCGATGATGTGCATGGGGGTGAGAAACTCGGAAACCTGGAAGCCAGTAGCTAAGACAATGATGTCGTAGTCATCTACTATGCCCGAAGCGCTGATGATGCCAGTTTCGGTCATTTCCTTGATACCCTCTGGCAAAAGCGCGACATTGCTCCTATTCAAACACTCAAGGTACCCAGGGTCGAAGATGCGACGCTTACAGCCGAGAGGAAAATTAGGCTCAAGCGCTTTCCAGTACTTCTTTGGTGCCTTCGAATAGATGTATTCGAGAGACTGAGCCTCCTTCTTCAGTCGTGCTTTCACACCCTTTGGCGTTGGGAAATATGCTGCAGTCTCTTCATCTGCATCCAGGAAAATTTTTAGGCGTAGAAGCTTCTGCCACAAGGGGATCCACTTGAAAAGGAACTTTTCCAGGTCGGTGTATATGCGATTGGGCCGGTCGTGATACCACTGACCGCTACGCGCATACTGTTTGACAAAGGCTGCGTGCTCCGCCAAAGCCGGGACAACCTGAGCGGCACTGCAGCCATTGCCAATCACGGCGACTTTTTTTCCAGTATAGTCAACAGAGTGGTCCCATCTTGCGGTATGGAACATGTGACCCTGGAACTTCTCCATGCCGGGGAACTTAACGTCGCGCGGGTAGGAGATGGCACCGACGGCAGAGACAAATACGCAAGCAAACCGAGTATATTCGTGGCCCGTTTTGAGGTCTTTCAGGTTGATCTCCCACTTAGACTTTTCGACGCGCCATATGGCACCTGTACACTCGACTGAAGTATGGACATGTGGTCGCAGGCCAAACTTGTCGACAGTACTTTCCATGTCTTCTTGGATGTTAGCCTGTAGTATGAGATCTCGAAATTTATATCACGTACAGTGCAAGATTTCTGGCTGTTGACATAGTTCTCGAGACCAGTTGGGGTTGGGATTGAAGCTGAATGAGTAGAGATGCGACTTCAGATCGCAGCCGCTAACACTCAGGTCAGGCTCCTTGAGACAAATTCAACATCTCCAAGTACAAACTCACCATCCGGGATATGTATTTGTTCTCCAGGTTCCTCCAACACCGTCAAGCTTTTCGTAAATGGTGAAGTCCTGGAATCCAAGATCGTGCTTCAAGCGATAGGCCATCGCAATGCCAGAAGGTCCGGCGCCAACAATGATCGCATTGAAGCTCATGATACTTTCTCTCAACTTCCTATGGCTCTGGGCGATCTTCTATGTTACTTTTTTTCAGTTGAAAGCTGAGTGATCGCGTGAATGGCAGACCCAGGAGTATGGATGAATAAATGTGCTCAGACGCAAAGGAAGACCGTAGAGAAGCAGAAGTAACTCGTCCCCATTTCTACCCTCCCGCCATCTAGATCAACATTTGCACCTGAACCGCCATGCTGATCAGCCACGCCTGCCGGTATGCGGAAGAATGTCCCATTGTGGGAAAACACACGTTGCGGAAAAGGTATTTCGGCGCCAAGATTCTGGAACGGGATGTGGATTTGGGCCCTGTTGCATTTCGACTGGGGCAGCCGGGAAATGATTCCGCAAGTTTACGAGGAATTGCACGCGGAATACATGAGATCTCGTGACTCAAAGATGTTATTGCGATTAGTATGAAATGGAGACAACGATTACTACGGGCATCTCCTCCGGAGAAACGCGCAAAGGAGATCTGCGAGATATCACCACCTCCTTGAACATCACTACCCCTTACGCCATGGCCTCAGCCGCGACCACGAGCACCACCATGGGTTGCTATCTTCACGGACCACGCAACTTGCGAATTGAGGAACGCCCAGTCAATTCCTTGGGCGAATTGGACGTCCAGGTGCAGCTGCGTTCGGTGACCTTGTGCGGATCGGACGTCCACTACCATCGACACTATCGCAACGGCAGCATACAAGTACGCGAGCCATTGTGCCTCGGACATGAGGCAGCGGGTATAGTGACTGCGGTAGGGTCTTCAGTACGATCAGATCTCAAGGTCGGCGACGCTGTGGCTCTTGAATGTGGCATTCCGTGCGGCGCCTGTGACCTTTGCCACAACGGACGGTACAACGTGTGCCCTCAATTGAGGTTTCGAAGCTCCGGCTCCAAGTTCCCGCACTTTCAAGGCACTCTCCAACAGTCAGTCATCCATCCAGCGCATTGGGTGCACAAGCTGGACCTAGAGCTGTCCTGCGATGTAGGCGCGCTTCTCGAGCCCTTGGCCGTGACCGTGCAAGCTGAGCGCCGATCACGAGCATTCAAAGGTTCCATTCTCTCGGGTGCACGGGATACAAATTTGATTTTTGGTGCTGGGGCGATCGGCCTGCTGTATTCACTTGCTGCTCAGGCTGAAGGCTCCCGAGATATTGTCATGGTCGATATCGACGCGGGACGCCTCGACTTTGCTCTCAAGAACGGATACGCCAGCGCCATATATCAGGTTCCAATAACGAAGGCAAACTCTGTTGAAGAGAAGAAGGAACAAGCCAAGGAGACAGCTAAGCATATTTCAGAACTGATATGGCCTGATGGGGAATCCGTTGGCTCAGTACAGCGTACAATTGAGTGCACGGGAGTTGAATCATGCCTGCTCTCGTCCATCTATGTAAGTCAAGGCCGATGATGACGATGAATAACTGTTCGCAGCTAATACGTAATAGGCAACGAGGAATGGAGGGACTGTCGTACTCGTCGGGATGGGCCAGCCAGACCACATCTTGCCTATTTCCGACATATCGTCGCGCGAGATCAATCTCATCCCCACCTGGCGGTATGCTAACTGCTACCCGAAAGCCATCGAAATTGCGAAAGCTTCTGTGACTGGCACGCCTTTGAAAGGTGTCCGGCTCCCAAACATTGAGAAGCTCATTACTCACACTTATGATGGATTGGCACAGATCGAGCAGGCATTTGAGTATGCGGGGAGAACAAGGGACGACGCAGGTAAACTGATTTTGAAGGTAGCGGTGCATCCGCAATGATCCTCTAAATCTGTCAATGGTTTCACCAAAAGCCTTTCCAAAGTAATAAAGAGGCCTAGATTGTGCACAAAAGTGGCAACATTTACAATTTAAAGACAGTTTATATTATACCGGATGCGGCAAAGACGGGAAAATATCATGGCCTTATTCATACAATGACCTTATATGCCAAGTATAATTAGGTGGTAACCCTCGACTTCTAATAATTCTAGAAAATAGTAAGAGAAAAAAAAATGTACACATACACCAGCTCAAATGTTCTTCCATCCTGCCGTTCGTGCATTTTTTCCGCCGAGCTGAGCCAGGTATGCCCGAACGCGTCTCTCAATACCCCTGGCATTCAGCCCAAACCGTTCGTAATTGCTCTCATTGGATGCTGAGTATCCATAGCCATTCATACCCACACTAGCTGTAACGTAGCGCCCCCATGTGGTGGCAACGTATTCCTCCACGCTAACAATGGGAGTATCGTCATTCGGGAAGACGCTTTCCTTGTACTCATCGCTTTGCTTATCGAAGTGCTCGAAGCTTGGGAAACTCACGACCCGGGTTGGAATGCCTGAGTCCGTTAATGCTTGAGCAGCGGCTGCAGTGTAATGAAGGGCGGTGCCACAGCTTGTTAGCACCAGTTTGGCGTTTGGCTCGTCACGGATAATATAAGCTCCCTTGGCGACTGCTGCCCGATCTGTACCTCGCACTTGCGGAACGGCATCTCTAGCCAACGACAGCATGGTCGGCCCGTCTCGCTTTGAGACTGCGAGCATCCACGCCCCAATTGTCTCTTCGGCATCACATGGTCGAATGTAAGTCAGATTCGGCATCGCTCTGTAAAGCGAGTCTAACTCCACAGGCTGGTGAGTCGGCCCGTTCTGACCTTCGGCGAAGGAGTCGTGCGTTGCGAAATGAATGACAGGTAGGTTACTTAGAGCACCCATTCTCACACCTGGAGCTGCCTTGTAGACGTTAGCAAGGTGGGTAGCGTATCTTAACGTCAGGCAGCTTACGTATAAGTAAAACATGAAGAAAGTGGCGGTGATTGGCAGGAACGAGCCAGGATTGTACGCAGCAATGCCATTTGAGATGGATGCCATGGCGTGCTCACGTATTCCGTACCGAAGGTAACGACCCTTGAAGCTGATTGAAGGATGAAAAACGTCGTCCTCGCTGTACCAGATCTTATTTGAGTTGACGAGGTCGGCGCCTCCGCCAAAAAGCCCAGGATATGCTTTCCACATCTTCTCGACGATGGCGCCATTGACTTCGCGGGTTGCTTTGCCGCAAAATTGTTGCGTGCCCAGCTCTCTGAGAATATCAAGCCATCCTTGGCCATAGTTACCGCTTCGAATGGTCTTCAGCTCGGCGTACAATTCTGGATACTCAGTCGCGTAGGCGTCCAGCCTGGCTTGCCAGTCCAGTTGCAAGCGCCGACCGTGTTCTTTCCTCTCGCGGAAATACGACAATGCATGCTCGGGGATTTCATGTGTTCGCTCCGGATCTTGACCGGCCAATTTTTTCGACAATGCAACACTTTCTTCATCAAATGTGCCATGGTGTGCCTTGAATGTTCCCGCTACTTTGGTCCCAAGGCCAATTACAGTTCTTATGTTGATGAAGGTGGGCTTGGTTGATGCCTTTGAAAGCTGGAGAGCACGAACAATGGTCTGTACATCGTATGAGCCATCCTCAATTTCAAGGACATGCCATCCACACGCACGCATCTTGGCGTTTACGTCCTCGGTGTTGATCCAGTCCAACGGTCCATCACACGTCACTTGGTTGTTGTCGTAGATGAGGGTGAGGTTGTTCAAGCCCAGGTTGCCTGCCAGGGAAATCGCTTCAAGCGCCACGCCCTCCATCAAGCAACCATCACCTGTCATGCAATAGACACGCGAATTCGATACTTCATAGCCCGGTTTGTTGAACCGTGCAGCGAGATTTTTAGAGGCTATTGCAAGACCAACGGCATTCGCTATACCTTGACCGAGAGGCCCTGTGGTAACTTCTACTCCAGGGTCCTCTATCTCGGGATGAGCATGGCACATCGTCTTAAAGCCGTTTGCCTTTGCGCTGCCATAGCCCTTGATCTCGTCCATGGTCCAGGCATCATACCCAACCAGGTGGTTTAGTGCATACAAAAACATGGCACAGTGGCCTGATGGCTGTTAGCTCTATTCACATTTGAAACGACTCTTCTTTGAACATTGCTCACCATTCGATAGAACGAATCGATCGCGGTCGAACCAATTTGGGTCATTCGGGTTGTATCGCATTGCGTACTTGTAGAGCGCCACACCTATCGCCGCCATACCAATGGCCGAGCCACCGTGACCACCGCCATTCTGGTTGCAAATATCGAAGATGAGATTGCGAAGCGTCAAAACGGCAATTTCATCTGAAGCGGTATGTTCCGGGCTACTCAGGGTGCCGCTCTTCAGCGCATGACTGCTGAAGCCATTTAGCAAGCTCCTAATCGGAGCAAGCTGCCCATTGACCTGTGATTCGGCGCCGATCTGCGTGGACAACGAGACTGTCATTTTGGACATTCCTCCTTTTTTTTCTGGGACATCAATCGTGATGTCAAATCAATCGGGGACCAACGCAGATATAAAGCGCATGCTCAGCTCCGCTCGCATTTTGAACTCCATCGAAATGCAAGCACAGAGAACCGGGCGGGTCCTGCTGTCGAGAGTCCGTCATCGCAACAATCTACGGTAGGTCCAGGAGATTCAGGTTTCAATTGCGGTGGATCGATTCCCGAGACCAACGCCAGAGTGTGAAAACATCAAGAGAGCACGCTGTTCGCGCTCATGTGACTTTTCTGCAGCTGCAGGGTTCGGGGCAGAAATCCGATGCGCACCATCCAAAGATCACACATCAGCTGTCCGATGAAGTCCGCCTGACGAGATATAGCCATATCATAAAGTGGCCAAAACCGAGTAGGAATCACTAAATCTATCCATCGGGAAGAACGTGGGGAATCCACAGGAGCCCGCGGTCTCTTCCGGGGATCGGGAATGATATCAAGTTGCTCGTGTAGTTCGCCTTCCGGAAAAGTAGCATGAGCTATACCAAATGCGTTGTAAAGCGGATGAGAGCTGCGCCTGACCTTCGTAGTGTTAGCTCTGGTCGACAATTGCAGATAACTATACTGGAGGCTGCTCCAAAGCGTGAGCCGAAACGGGATCTATGCTCTGAATCTTGATCACTCCACCAAACTTTTCACTTGCCTCCTACACTTTCGCATCATGTCTGGACTCACCGCAGCCGCCCTGCCGATAGATGGCCCCGCTACCGTAACAGAGGCAAGCTCGACTCCAACAGACAAGGCCGAACAGATGGGCGATGCTGCGACCTCGGTTGATATCAACAAGTACTTGACGCGATCCGTGCACGACTTGCTCTCTTTGAAGGGCCGCACCATCGTCATCACAGGAGGTGCACGTGGACTTGGTCTCGCTTTCGCCTTTGCGGTGGCCGAAGTTGGCGGAAATGTCGCAATCCTTGATGTCCTGGATACGCCTCACGAGCACTACAAGCAGCTACAGGAGAGGTTTAACGTTAAGACCAAGCTCTACAAGTACGTAAAGAAGCCTGGTCAGTTATGCATCGAAGCTTACGTGCTGATGTACGCTCTCGGACACGCAGGACGGATGTGACCAAGTACGAGGTGCTGCAGGAAACCTTCAACAACGTTGTCGCAGATTTCGGACGGATCGACGGACTGGTCACGGCTGCTGGGATCTGCCCGGACGAGCCATTCCTTGAGCGCTCACCCGAGTCCGTGGCACGCTGTTTTGCTGTCAACACCTTAGGCACGTACTACGCGGCACAGCTAGCCGCACGGCAGATGGTGAAGCAAGAGCCGACGGAATTCAACAAGAAAGGTGGTTCTATCGTATTCATCGCCTCCATCGCCGCCTACGTGGCGAGCAAGGGCCAGACTACGAGCGACTACTGCTCGAGCAAGGGAGCCGTGGTCTCACTCGCGAAAGCGTTAGGTGTCGAGCTTGCAGGAACTGGGATCCGGGTCAACAGTGTTTCTCCTGGGTATGTCGGATGGATCAAATGACGGGCGTCTGCGCGCAAACTCACACTACAGCAGGTACATGATGACAGACATGACGCAGGATCTCTGCAAGCGCATGCCCTGGTTAGGCGACATTATGCAGAATGAGCCACCGATGCGTCGCATGGGTGACCGCGCGGACCTAAAAACACCGATTGTGTATTTGTTGTCTGACGCAAGCGCGTACCACACGTCGGATGACCTACTAATAACTGGTGGTATTCATGCTGGAAGACTGTTATAAGTGATCAAGAATTGCATGAAGTGGGTCGCTGGTATCATTTTCATTCATTGGAATTGGCACATAGCTGTAGCGTGCACCCCCGCCCACCCAAAAAAATAAAAAGTAAAACCCAGTCCTAGTAAAACACAGTGATATTTACAGAATACATGAACCTAACCACAGCCGAAGTTCCTCATGCGCGCCGTCACATCGTTGCGAGATCCTGAAAACTTGACTGCGGCTAGTCAGGATATGAGCCGCCCGCCCAGTTCCCCGATACGGCCTGGACTTTTGCATCGAAAATCCAATCGAAATTCAAGTCTCCAAGACTCATGCTAAGAAAGTCGCCTTTGTTCTGCAGAGGAAGCTGTGGCATCTGTGTAAAGAGAGTGTGTTCCAGGTTCTGTCCCTGCCATTTGTTCTGCCCATCCCCCATGTCCGTATCGAAGTCGGTCGCCGTCAGAGGTCGTTTCCTCGATTCGCCGGTCACAGCCCGATGGCGTTTAGTGGTGCGCTTCATGCGGGCCTGGACTTCCCACTGGCGTTGCAGCTTAGTTAGAAATACTCTGGCCCGCTTGGCGTTCTCCCAGCATTGGCCGAATGCATCTAGAGCTCTGAAGCATAAGCTCAGATGCGGAGTGATTTTCAAGTCATGCGACTTTCCGTAGTGGGATATGTCAGCGAAGATGAGTATGAGCGCAGCCGAGCATGTGATTATGGGCCCTTGTATATTGATCCTTCGAAATGTGAATTGCTTTTCGTAGATCCTGAGGATTCTGGCGATGGATATTGCTGCATCGACGCACATAAGTCTCGCGTGATCAGAGCCGGGGCCTTGAGGAGGCTGTGATTGAATGTAATTTCTAGACATCCAAGGTCGATGAGCGTGTATCAGACATTGGTAATAATGCATGCTGAGAGCTTTGTCAAATGCAGTCATAAAAGTAGAACTTGTTAACGTACTGCAACAGTAAAAGATGAGGGACATAAGGAGTCAATTCATTATCAAGATTGACTTTCAAAGAGTCTGGGAGATTATTTCGCCATTCAAATAGCGCAGTCACCGTCTTCATATTCAGCTCCTGCAGCCTGTGCGGTGTTATGCCATCGCCTCCATATCTATCTATAATTAGCATGTCATAAGAATTTTTAGAGGAATCGATTACAAATTCTGGCCACGTGGACCCATGATCTCGCACAGAGCTACGCGCTGTCGGGCAACTTCGTCAACCAGATCATCTGCGAACGAAATTCCTGGTACGGGGCCGTTTCCTGTGTAAGGACTCCATCCAGTGACAGCTTTACGTGTACAGGTCTGGTAGGGCTTGCCGCAGCTAACATCATCCATGTTGATTTTGAATTGACGACCAAGATGGAAACTCCATACTCTATGTTCTTATTAGCAACGTACTATGGCGAGAAGAGGGTGCTCCCGTACTGATCCACGATCCAAATTCCCCAGAATACAGTGCTGCGCAAGTTTGCCTCTGCTTGAGTCATGACCCCTGTCGCGACGTAGGCGGACATATCTTTGTGTAAGGCAAGGTCAAAGGCGAGTCTTATCGCCATTCCTGATATATTTGGTCAGCGGACTTGATGGTGAAAGCGCTGTTTCGAGACTCGAGAGTACGGACCACTATAAAGCCAACCACGAGCATCGCGCGTGCATCCCATGTCATGGCAGCTGGTCACAACGATGGCTTGAGCTGTGGCAATGCACGGTGCATCCAACTCGATTTCCAGCAGCGCCTTAGCTCGATCTGCAAAGAAGTCGGCTAGAGACTTGGGAAACGTGACGAAATCTGGATGATGTTGTGCTTCGAAAGCGGCTCCCAAAGAACACCTCCGCCCGTCGGTCAGTTTATGGTAGTTTGCTCAGATATAGTTGCCTTACATTGCATTCCGTAATGCTTCAGAGTAGTATGGCGTGTCTTTTTGTTCCTCGTACCACTTTCTCTTGGCTTGTTCGTAGATATCTCTGTCGACGACGTGGAAGAAAGGGTCTTGCCATGCAAAGTACAAGTTGATCAAATGGTTCTCCAGTTCCGCGGGCGGTTCAGCCCCTACGTCCAGTCGGTCTAGATACTCTTGTCCGTCATTACGGATAGACCGATGTACATGCATAGGATCGGCAGAGGGCATGCTCATGAGAGCATAATTACTTGTTGGGCCATAATACCTTATCTGTCCATCCTCACCAACATGCAAGGTGCCGATTCGATCAGAAAGCTTATCTACCAGCTCTTCAATGCTCTCAGTATTGTCCTCTTCATCTATGCTTTGACTGTGTTGCGTAACTGGTTCACCGAACGTGCTTCCCCCCACGTTGCTGTTCGTTTGGTCCAGAGGACAATAACGACGATCAGGGCTGTGCTCCATATCTGGTTGGCTGAGTAGTTCCCCCGCAGTGCCCCAGGTGCGCTCAGGAGAGCTATAGGCAGGTTCTCTGGGAGCATAGCCACCACCAGGCTGTCCAAAAGCATCGATTTGGGGCTCTGAGACGTCCATTCCTGTAGGGGCTGCATCGAATCTGGTCATCAAATCTGTTTGAGTAGGGCTCTCATTTTGAGTCACCTGTATCACTGAGCCGCTGAATATTTGCTCATTAGTGTTGGTATAAGCCAATTGGCCGTCCTCAGGTGGCGCAACAGGTTCTTGGATATTGCCCTTTTCTAGAGAGAACTCATTGGACTCGTGCATGCTTGACTTTAAGGAGCAGTCTCCAAAGATCTTCTTGTGAGACATTCCCAGTGTTGTGAGCACCTTTTGCAGCGAGTCCTTCTCATGATTCGCTATTCGGGGAACCTGGATGCCATTTTGAATCAAAATCTGCGTTAACTGCTCGACACGGGTCGAAAGCAACTCGATGGCCACCCTCATAGAGAGTCTGTAAAAGTCTTTAGAATAATTATATAGTACGTAGCAGAAGAGAAGCGCCCACGACAAGAGCTGTGGTAAAGGGAAAACTTACTTTCGACGATCATCTCCGGCCAGGTAACGGCATGACTTGCTCTTATTTATACAGCTAGAGCAAGCAGGCACTGCTCCATCACACTTTTTTGCAGCGTCTAAATCAGTACACGTCCCAAGACAGAGCATTAACCCAGGATGGGTGGGGGAGTGGGTGTTGCAGCGGCGTGGGGACGAGCTAACCTTGACTTTGCTCTCGCGGCACGAGAGACAAGCGGTGGTGATATGCTTGCGCTTGGTAGCCGGTTTATCTGTGCCAGCCATTGCGAAGAGATTGCGCCCAAAGACATATAAGTTTATTACGCGAGAACCCCCGGGTTCGCCTTGAGTGATGGGATGTAGTCCTGATCTTCAGATGCGGGGAAAACACGGATTTGTAACTTAGATCGTCAGCGAGGTCGGAAACGGTCTGGACATCTTCCTAAGGGTTTACTCTTATAGGGGCTCTCATATTCTGGATATTATTTCTTAACCACCTTTATTTATTTAGATATATATATATAGAGAGAGAGAAATACCCATATATATAATATCTAGCGCGGGGAGTTCCTGAAAATGAGAGTGTCCCGACCGTTTCTGACCTGGCGGTAATCAATCGTCTTCGCGCTCTTGGCCCCAACCCCTCAATTCTCAGATTCTTATGCCTAAGAACAAACATCCTTCGTACTTAGAATGTTAAGTGAAAATGTACGCTGCCGCTGACTTCTCGGATAGTGCTCTGGGGGGTCCGATTCTTATTCATAAAGGATATTTTTTTGACCACTATGGTCGCGTTTTGTTACCCCGTGGCTTAAACGTGTCTGGCGCCAACAAGCTTCCATCCAATGCTAACGGTCTTTCTCACCTTATTCAAGGCCTTTATGATAACCACCGCTCAGTTACCTTCATCGGAAGACCATTTCCTCTCGAAGAAGCCGATCTTCATTTCCGCAGGCTGAAAACATGGGGTTTACCGCTCGTCCGTTTCCTCGTAACGTGGGAAGCGATTGGACATGCAGGACCAGATCCAAACACAGACCTCGATTATGATTACATCTCGTATGTTAAAAAACTGGTACATATGATGCCGAAATATGGCATCAAGTGCTTTATTTGCGCACATCAAGATGTCTGGTCAAGGTTCAGCGGGGGTAGCGGCGCTCCCGGATGGACATTCGAAGTCGCAGGCCTGGATATCGAGGCATTCACCGAAACAGGTGCAGCGTACATCCATGCACAGGATGAACTTAGACGTTCAAGCGGATTCGCAAACCCTAAAGAACCAACCGGCCCCTTTTTATGGCCCTCAGGCTATCAAAAACTTGGAGCCAGCACAATGGCCACTGTTTTCTGGGCTGGTGATGCGCTCACCCCAAAACTCCGCTGCCTTCGTCGCTGCTTTGTTGATGATGGCAGAGAAGAAGAGGTTTCGGCACAAAAGTTCCTCCAAGATGCGCTCATTGAGGCATTCGGAAGGCTGGCTGACGAAATTGGAGATCTTGAGGCATGCATAGGATTTGAACCTATGAATGAGCCACATCGTGGGCTCGTGAACCTCCATGACTTTTATAAATGGAACTATGCTACGGATCTACATATTGGTCATTGCCCATCCTTTTCACAGGCATTAGCACTTGGAAGCGGATATGCACAAGACGTGGATTTTTACGTGAAATCGTGGCCTATTCCAACTAAAGTGTCGCATCGATCTCGAATCGATCCAAAAGGTCGATCGGCATGGCTGTCTTCAAGCTGTAAGGAATTGGTAACGAATCGTCCTTGCGGTCTCGGCGATTGTGTATGGCGCGCACATGGTGTTTGGCTTTGGGATGAAAGGGAAAGGGTCGCGAAAATCTTAGATCCCGATTATTTCAATTACGATCATCGCCCCGGAAGAGAAGGACGACGACTTGAATGGTACCGAGATTGCTACGCACCTTTTGTCCAGAAATTCTTGGAAAGAGTTTCACGCAAGTGGTCACATCATATGTCCTTGGTGGAACCAATACCAAATGAGTTCATGCCTCCTTGGCCTCCGCGAAAGAACCAAGGGGAATTTCAGGTGAAAGAACAGACTTATGCCACACAAACCAGGATCACTATTGACCATCCACAAAACCTTGTATACGCACCTCATTTTTATGACCTCAATGTTCTCTTTCGGAAAGAACATGGGTGGATGAGCGTCAATGTGCAGGACCTAGCTCGGGGAAAGTTCGTATTAGGAGCACTATATTTTGGCAAGAGGGGTTTAAGGCATAATTATAGGAAGCAAATTGGCAATCTCATCCATTATGGCAAAACTTCCATGGGCATCAATGTGCCGATCATTATTGGAGAAGTAGGAATACCATGGGACATCAATGATCGCAGGTCATTTCGAACTGGAAACTACGACTGCCAACGTGAATTGATGGACGCTCTCATTTCAGCCATGGAGTCATTTCATGTCGGATTCACCCTCTGGAACTACAACCCCCAAAACACAATTGAGCACGGAGATGGATGGAATAAAGAGGATTTCTCGGTTATCAATAGCAACGATATCCTTGAATACGAGGGTACTCACCTCGATTACCGCAATGCAAAACACGAAAGAAATGATTTATATCGCGGTGGTAGGGCCCTTGATATCATAATTCGTCCCTACGCAGCGAAAGTGGCTGGACTACCCGTCCATTCCAAGTGGGATCCACGGACGTTGAGATTTGAATTCCACTGGACAACAGAAAACATTGACAACCCCAACGGGCGGGTAGACAAAAATAGAATGGCCTATCAGACAGAAATTTTTCTGCCAAACTACCATTATGCAGTTCACAGACTAAATGTTCAGCTTAGTGACGGAAGTTGGGACTATAGCGTTAAAAAACAGACCTTATACGTGCAAAATGAACCTCGCAGCTGCGTAAGTTCTTATCATCAAATTATTATCACGATCGAAGATGAGAGGAAACATGTTTTAGAAAGGATACAACAGCGGCGGGAGGCTTTTCCGCCCAACTTTCCGCTCAGTTTGCTACCTGATTGGACCGAGACATGGCTACAAGAGTTTGCCATAAGCTACTGTATAGTAATACTCGTCGTTATTGTGAGCTTATTAGCCACCATCTTTCAATACTGATAAGCTTTATTTGAAATTCCCAATCAATCTAGCCTTCTAGGTTTCCACCAATACTCCCTTCGAGAATGAGTTTTGCAGACGTGGGAAGAACTCGAGCATTTCTTTGTTCGGCTTTCCAAAATTAAAAAAAAAAAAAAAAATTAAAATTAAAAATTAAAATAAAAGCATTCTAACAACGATGTGATATCCTCCCAAAAGAATAAGCAAGTTCGGAACGTGAAAGAAGTATCCAAGTACAGCTTAAATCGCACTCTGCTGTGATTATGCAAGGCGCGACGAAGCTGTTGATCTGAAAGTCACTTAAACAACAGTTCAAGTCAAGAATAGCTCCGTGAATCTAAGAGCCATCCATAAATACAGGGTAATCAGATGCAATAGTTTACAATATTATAAGAAGAATCAATGAAGGATCTATCATTCGCTAGGTTGGGTAGATCATAAACGCTCTGCAAATTATTTGATATTGAAATCTCAGCTAGCAGTATTTCAGAATAACGGCCATTCGAATTTTTAATTATGAGTAGTCACTGAAAAACAGAATCTTTATGATAATAGATATGTAAGCAGTACCTCCCATAGGCTTAGGAGCATGAGCTGTATTGAAGCCTAGTGAACGCCTCGCCGCAAATTTTTGGTGCTTGCAGTCTACCTTCGCCGCATGATTCCCAAGTACAGATATAAATTCATTGCATCAGGACGTTTTTCAGTGAAAATCAATTTTTCCCTCATTACCCCAGACTCTAAACCTTTTACGAAAAGACCACCAATTAACGTGAACAACTTTCAGACCTTAAATTTACTTTGCTACAAGATGCTATTCTCTGGAGTTGGCTTCTGGGCTATAAGTCCTAAATTCATGCTTAAATATATCATTCTTCCTTACTTAATCTTGCTATCCCTTTTCAGATGGTGCAGCGATCCGCTGCGCTCTGTACCAGGCCCGTTCTTTGCCAAGTGTACTCGACTTTGGATCATCCTTGCCGATCTCTCTGGGTATAGGGGAAGTATCGTCCATAAGCTTCATAAGCAGTATGGTCCTGTTGTACGCGTTTCTCCGAATGAATTGTGCTTTGCCTCGACGGAAGCCCTGGATGAGATTTACAAGGCGAACTCAAAGTACACGAAGGCTCCAGTCTACGAATCATATGCTTTTATGGGAACATTCAATACACGAGATCAGCACCAGTATCGAACTATGAAAAGGCGACTAAATCCAAGTTTCAACCCAAGAGCAATGGAGGAACTAGAGCCTGTCCTTCGTAGACAGATTTGCAATCTAATCAAATGCCTAGACAAGCGCTTAGAGACAAGTTTTGATATAGTTCCTTGGTTAAGGACATTGTCACTGAGTGTCGTTGGTAAGTAATATCTTTTGGGACCCAAGGTACTTATTGTTTGCCTGCACGTTCCTTCAGGCTTTCTGTATAGTAAAGATTTGGTACATGCATATCCAAATTCAAGGTTTCTACTCATGACTTTCCAGGATTCATGTTGCATTTCCCTCATGTTTGATCGAAAACTGACTTAAGCACAGGAGAAGGGTTCATAGGGAATAGCTTTTCTGGTTTAGAAACTGAGAAAATTCCAACTTTACTTAATGAAATTGATGAGGTCATTCCGACATTATGGGTATGGTGGATGTTTCCGCTTTTGTCCGTTGTCCTTCAGCATTCCCCATTTCCAGGAATACGGAGATTCATGAATGCGGCTAATGATTTCCGTAAAGTAAGTTCATTGTCATTTTCAAATCTGTGAAAGGAAATTTTCGACTTATTTCTGTCAGTATTGCGCGTCTGCGTACAGAAACTATCTAGAGACCAAGAATCCACAAGAGCACCATGACCTTATTGCAAGAATGGTTAAAGAAAGAGAAGAGCTTAGGCAGAAAGCGCAACCGATTCCTCGTCATCTAACCGACGAGGGTATCATAGATGAACTTACGAACATGATATTCGCAGGTACTGACACAATAGGTAACACCCTTATTTACCTATTTTGGGAACTAGCTCATCATCCCGAATGGCAGTCTAGGCTTCGGGAAGAGTTGAGATGTGTGACGACAGATGATCTAAACTTTTGCCCGCGATATGGTGCTGTGGCAGAGCTACCGGTTCTGGACGCAGTATTACAGGAGACTTTTCGTGTTCATCCTGCCGGGTTTTCTGGGCTACTTAGATTGGTCCCGCAAGGGGGAGCTACTATTGCTGGTGTTTATGTGCCACCAGGAGTAAGTATATTCTGGAAGGAGTAGCAAGCTCTTCAGTATCTAACTCTAAACGAGACCATTGTATCATGTCAAGCGTTTTCTCAGCAACGCAATCCCTCAATTTTCCCAGATCCAGACAGCTTCAAGCCGCAGAGATGGCTTGAGGCCGGAGGACAGGGCAAGTTAGAACTGATGCGGAGTCAGTTAATGCTCTTCGGCAAGGGTCATCGTGCTTGTCTTGGCCAGAGAATGGCAATAATGGAGGCGAAGTGTTGCGTGGCAGCAATGGTCATGCGTTATGATTTTACAATTGGTAGCACACAAACCGATGCAGATATGGAGATGACAGACCATTTTCTTTTATCCCCAAAGGGCAGGAGGTGTGTGTTAAAGCTTTCCAGAGTTTGAAACAGACTCTATTTTGCATTTCGCTGGTCAAGAAAGAAATCAGCAGTGTTGTAAGTGATTGGAGTGAATCAAGTATTTTTACTTTCAAATGTCCTATATTCTGCCGTCTTAGAGTTGTGCGATTCATTCTCCTCATATCTTATGAGCCCATGGAGCTATAGTCCTGTTTATCCACATTTTTTGGCGCTATCATTCTAATTACACCCATTTATTTCTTTAGGATCCTTACAATATGTTGGGTATATCACCCTTGATGATTAAGATGTTATGAATAATGACAAACTAATTGCGAAAAAATGCTATTTCGCAGTGAAACATGTAATGTTCTACATTTATTACAAGCATCTCTGAGAATGAAGTTGCGATAATTGCGCGAGTCGAAACGATACCGTGCTCCAGCTCTCGAAACTTAGGAAATTTTTGATCCTGAGATGAGCTCACGAGTATTTACTGAAGAAGATTTTTTGAAAAAGCTTTTCAAACACTGATGAAGACTTTACTGTCGATTATTCTGCTAAATTTCATAATAGTAGTTTCAACTTATAGGTGCTTTCGATATAGTGCAGTCTGAACAGCATAGCGAGAGACGTGCCCATCCTAGCGACAATAATCATCTCCACAACGTCAGTTTCGAACGTGTAAACATAGAACCAATAGATTTAGCTGATTCCCAATCACATTTTCAGTTCTAAGGTTATCTTTTGACATAGTTCTGAGGCCACAGCATCCCGTCAATATCGAAGTTTTCCAAAAACGCCACGGCGGAAAGTAGCCTGTTTTTGAGACAGCGAGAACAAGGACCCGATTATGAATATCGCCGTGGGACTAAACTAGCCGATCGTCTATAAGGTCGAATCTGATTGAGAAGTTCCTCTGTCAGTTGATAGCAAAGAGGAAAGGAATAAGTTTAAAACTATGGGCCTGACTCCAATCGTAGTGACATAAAGGAACCCGACAGAATTATTCCCGTTCTCATAAGCTGGCTACGTACCGTTTTGCTACAGCGTCAAAAGCCGAGACACAGGTACAGCTCCTAACATAAGAGCAGCCACTGTTTAATTCCAGCTCCAGGAGGAGATTTTGCTGCCCCCTTGAAATGGAAAGCAAGATCAAAACCAACTCCGAGGCTAGCAATGCATTTTTGTCTGGTTTTGTGCTTGAATATGATGCACTTGAATATGATGCAAAATCGAGCCAATTGTCTTGCTTCCGATTCAGTTGACGTTTGAAAGGATGTTTAAATGCTGCTTGGGACGTCTTTAATCCTTTTTCTTGGCGGTTGATGTACACCACATCGCAATCAAAGCAGTTATTGCACATACACTTGCGATTGTGGTTCGTCACCGAAGGCAAAACTCTTATTTTTCCCAACTGCTGTGAAAACTCACCTGACTCTACCAGTTTGGACGCGCAATATCTAAATTCACCTGCCATTACAGTTCCAAAGACCTCATATGCCGCCCGCCAAACACGCAGCAGCTTTCATTTAATGCTTATGTGTACAAATTATAACGCATCATTAAAGAACGCGCATTCCTTCATCAAAGTATGTTGACTGGGAAGTGGTATAAATAGCTGAAAAATACAAAGCGATGGCCTCGTCTTGCCTATGAATGTGCGCATAATTGATCACCTGTATTTACTTTGCTATATCGCAAATTCAGAACACGAATACTGTCAACCTCTTTCAAAATTGGAACACTCGAAATCATGAGACCTTAATTAGCATTTCGATGTGTTCAATAGCTCTAATTATTGATATCTGTTGAGATCAAACACGTAACTATCTCTCCAAAAGTAAAATCTATAACCAATGTTACTCGTCTGTGCGACGTTCATATACTAGGCTTGGTTTAAAGCAAGTCATTTCAATATAGCTCAAAGTGTGGCCTTTATATCGTTACTGCTCTGCCTACTTCACACGTCGAGCCAGAGTAAATTGAGGATAATACGCTAAACCATTTTAGGTGATAAGCCATCCAGCTGAAGGGTACCAAAAGATTTCACGGCTACGTTACAGTTCTTCATCTTTGGTGCTGGGCTTGGTTTGCAGATTTGCCCTTCGGCACACTGAGAATTTCAATCAAGCGATGAATTCGGATGCAGAAAAGGGTAAGGGTCCACTTTGTGCATTCATCGCTTCGTTTTTGTTAATTCTGGAACAGCGTGGGCTTCCCTGGTCACAAAGTCTTCATATTTACCTGGGCTCTTCACACTTGACTACTCGCTAAAACGTGTTGGTTCTAAGTTCCCTCTTATAGCTCTGTACACAGATGCACTCCCAAAAGATGGCCATCAGGCTCTTGACATCAGAGGTATACGCAAACAAAGGGTCGAATATGTCTTGCCCTCCAAAGCTAAAGACTTTTCCCACTCTGATCCTCGATTTGTAGACACCTGGACCAAGCTAAGTGTTTTCGGGATTTCCGGATTTGAAAGGGTGGTTCTGCTAGATGCAGATATGATCGTGCGGCAAAACATGGACGAGCTAATGGATATTCCTCTGGATAATGCTGGCATGAAGGGTCAAGGAAACCGAGTCTTCGCTGCCAGTCACGCGTGTGCCTGCAACCCGCTTAAGAAAGAGCACTATCCAAAAACATGGATTCCTGAAAACTGCGCGTTCACTTCTCAACATGACGACCCAGAGAGGGCACAGATCGAGGGTGCTCCGTCTTCGGCGGGAGTAGCAATGCTCAACTCGGGACTGCTTGTTGTAATACCTTCACCCTACGTCCATGAAAAAATTAGGGAGGCCATGCTCGATGAGGGAATTGCAAATTACAATTTTCCAGACCAGGAGCTACTAAGCGAAGCGTTCAAAGGCAGATGGGTTCCTTTACCCTACATATATAACGCATTGAAGACCCTACGAGCCCCTGAAGTGCATGGTAAAATATGGAGGGATGACAAAGTTAAGATTGTTCATTATATTCTCAGCCCAAAGCCATGGGAAATCAAGAGTCGAGACGACGTAGTTGAAGAAACTGTAAGTTGGTGGTGGGATATGAATGATGAACGGGTCAGAGAAGAGAAGAAGCTAGGCATTGTGGATGAATTCCAATAGTTCAGGCCTTTTAGGAACGAAATCTAGACATAGCTAGTCTTTTAACTTTATCGATGCTTTGGTCATAAGCTGCAATATATGAAAGGCTTCAATTAGTTGATTTGTTCGCTCTTCATCAACCTCTGTATCTTTGTGCTGATCTTTGATACAATGATCGAAGGATTTTTATATACAAGCGACCAGAGGAATGATATGTCGCGAGTAATCTTACTCGCAGCGAGTGCCTTCCCACTACGCTGTCAGAGCTCAAGACGATATGATTTTCAAGAATCTAGCCAGACAAGCTCGATCTTCTCGTCGACGACTTTGGAATTGAACCATTCAATAATCCGAATTTCATCTTGCACTACTCTTGCTCCATTCAGCACATCATCTAGAACAAGAGCTTGCACTGCCCAGAACAACTCTGCCGTAGCGAGATTCCTTGCAATGCACTGCCGCGGACCCGCACCCCAGGCAAAGAAATCGCGCAGCATCTCTTCTGACGGTGTCAACCACCGTTCGGGTATGAATTCACGCGCGTTTCTGAATACTTCATTGTTAAAGTGAAGAGAGTACGCGGAAACGCCAACGCTTGCCCCAGAAGGTATAAATGGAAGGCCGGGCACATTCAGGCCGGGATTCGATACAATGCGCGGAAGGCGTGTGGGATTCGCCATAGACAGGCGAAGTCCCTCTTTGATTACGCCGCTGAGATACGGGAGCGTTTGAGGATCTGCACTCGGATCCTTCATGATCTCGTCCCGAAGCTTCGCGTACGTAGCTGGCTGTTTGGCAAGATACCAGCATATTGTTGCTAGGTTCATGCCGGTCGAGTCAGTGCCAGCAAACATCAAGTCTTTGCATTGCGCAATGGTTTCCTCCCGGCTGATGCCAGCATTCAACAATCTTGCTTGGTACGTTTCACTGTCCCTGTTGCTTTGTGCACGAGCTTCGTCCACAAGCTTTGCAGCGAACCTGTCGACCGAGGCAAAGCTGTGGTAGACTTCAGGTTTGAATTCCTCCAGTCTACTTTGCCAAAACTCAAGCAACGTAAAAATCCAGTTCGGAAGGTAAAAGAACCTTCCCACGGCCACGAAGGAATTGACGAAATGACTTGCGCTTAGCTTAGCCTCCATGATGCCATTGTAAGGCTTATGAAAAAGATAGCCGGTGACGGCGTCGAGGGCAAGACTACGGGTGATGTTAAGAAGATTGACCGGACGTCCCTTTGACTCATCACGCTCTTTCCGCATCTTCTCTGCCATTCTTTGAACACAGGCCTGTACCACGTCCTTCCCCTCGCGAATGTTGCCTTGCGAAAACATGCTTACGACAGCCTTGCTTCGAACAGCTCGGTGAGCAGGATCGGTAGCTGAAAATAATGTATGAAATCCCTCAATGTCGAAGTTGACGTAACATTTATTCTTCATCATTCCACCGCCTTTGACATATATCGCGTGGATTGCGGCGCCGTCCGATATATCGACTTCGTTGGGCGCGATGCGAACTGCAGGTCCATATTGCTTGTGGAGCGAATCGAGGGTGCTTGCTTCGATACCGTAGTACGTAAGTCTGTATAACCACAGAGAGCTAATCTTTGCTCCTAGAGGGCCCGGTATATGCGATAAAGGGTGGAAATACACCCTGTAGATAACAGTCGAGGCTACAGCAACGATGAGGGCGACGACAATGTTTGCCGGTTCAAAAAGGGCTGAGAGAGCCATGGTAGAACCGTCTCGTGGAAGTCAACGGCTGGATTGAGCAAAGAGACGGCACAGTGGGCATTTTAGACGTCAGAAGCGTTATCGCAAGAGATAGCTCACCAACGTGTTGGCCAAAAATTTCAGCGCAGCAGACTCGAACTGAACTCCGATTGCAACGGTAGCGAGAATCTGAATGCGGCAAGAAATGCCGTCGTCGGAGCTTCTGATCCCGAACCACAGCACAAACACACTCCGCCCAAGAGCGTCTCGTGTCGCGAACCGGCTCAGAATGAATAATCAAGACGCTTCTTCCTTGTGCAGTCCTCGCGTCACTGCGTCGATCGATTCATGCTCCAGATGCGTTTGCCTGTGCTGCAGAGCCGTCTTGTTCGACCAGAGCTAGCGGAGAAATCTACAGACTGGCTTACCCTGTAGGATCTCGTTGACATTTAGGGAACCAACATGATTAAGTTATCGAATGAGTCCGCTTGATGTATCATCTTGATTCACAGTCTCTCTCGCAACCCACTGAGACTGTGACCAGCTGGCATGCGTCATGAGATACTCGCCCGTTTTAGCCCTGTTGATATCAGCGACGTACATCGCGCAGCATGAAATTCTTCTGATCCATGATTCTATTCATTTGGCGATGATTACTTGGTACCAAAATATCTAGGCAACGGAGAGCATATAGCTCTACACAGGTTTCTGTGAGCAGACGTTGATCAGAACAATCACCCCTCAAATCCAAGGGTGCTTGCCGAGGTATAAACCAAACAGTCCATAAGCATCCACATCCCGGGACTTGTATAATCATCTTCGCGTAAATTGCATTATTGTTGAACTACTCGAAACAAAGATGTCGGGGACGCCAGAACGTTACGCTCTCAAGGCCCTTGATAGGCTAGATGTCCTCAAGTCACACCTCAGCGATGTAAAAGCTCCGCCGGGAAGGCTCACAAAATTATCTCGGTCACTTCAGGGCAGAAAGGCCATTGTGACTGGAGCAGCTTCTGGAATGGGCAGAGAGACTGCCAAAGTGCTAGCAGACGAAGGAGTTCAAGTTGCCGTCCTTGATTTGAATGAGGAAAAGATCCAGGCCGTGGTAGATGAGATCAACGCAGTGCATCCTGGACAAGCTAAGGGCTGGGTCTGCGATGTTTCTGACCGCCAGCTAATCAAGAAGATCTGCAAGGAAATTGTGGAAGCGTTTGGCGGTCTCGATGTAGGTAGTGATCCTGTCCAAATTCTCGCGCACGAACGGCTTAGCAGCCGCTGTCCACGACGAGGTCTTTGAGCTGTGTGGTATGAAAATCTAACGCATGCTCCACGATAGATCCTAGTAAACAATGCTGGAGTTTCGCTTGGCGGTGGAGCATTCGACGACGACGAGTCCTTTGAGCGACGCTGGGACAAGACGCTGGACATCAATCTCACGTCTCTGGTCATCTTCATTCGAGCCTGTGTGCCAGCCTTGTTGAAGAGCGACTCTGCTCGCATTGTTAACATTGCAAGCACTGAGCACATCGTTACTGGGCCGGCGAATGCAGCATACAGTGCAACAAAGTCCGCCGTAACTGGATTGACCAGGTCATTTGCTGTGGAGCTCGGAAAATATTCCAACATCACGGTAAGTTGGCGCACCATTTCATGACCGGTTGTACCACGAAATAACTTCTACAGGTGAACTGCATATGCCCTGGACCCATAATTGTGAGTGCTTCACCGCAGATGGAATTTTGAAGGGAGATGCTGATGCAGTGTAGACGGGAATGACTGCAAGAATACCGCCCGAGCTCAAGGAATCGTATGCCAAGCGAAGGGTTCCGATGAGACGTTATGGGGACGCTGAAGAAGTTGCTCAAAGTAGGTGAAGACACATCCTTCACATCCTTCACGGTGGATAGAGCGCTGATGTGCACAGTGACCGTCAACATCTGTTTGCCTGCTTCATCCTACTTGCACGGAACAACAATTCCCGTGGATGGAGGTATGACAATTCGACATACGTAGGGGATGTTTGCACTTTGGTAAACAGAGGCACCAAAATGCTTCTTCATGAATGTAAAGTCGATAGCAAATCAATCAACCTAAGCATGTCACGATGCAGTTCAGAACTCCCTGGCGATCGAGAACCTCGGCTCAAAGCTGGGAAGGAATCAATACAGATGAGCAACATCGAACTCTTCGATATTAAATTAATTGACGGTCTGGTCAATGCTTAAGTTCCACCTTGTAGCCTTCTCATCCTCTCCTCAGCCGCCCTAGCCCGTTTCTCTCTTTCAAGCCTCATTCGCATCTCGGGCGTCATACCCCTTGACTCCTCTTCGCGCTTATCTGCACCAGTCTTTTCCATCCCTGCTAGGGTCTTCCCTTTTCCAAATTTCTGTTCCCTCTTGGCGGCATCAGCGGCTTCAGCTTCTCTCTCAAGCCTCTCAAGTTCCTGTTTACGCCGCAGTGCTTCCTTGGCGTCAACAGCTGCCCTTTCTTTCCTTTCCTGTTCTGCGCGCCGGGACAGTTCGTCTGGCGACAGAGCAGATGGAACTTTCGCAGCGACCCAGTCTAACGCAACGTCGCCCAAAGTGTGGCGTGCCGACCGAAACGCGTCCCGCGTTGCTCGATCGCCAGCGATCTCATATGCAGTTTTGCCGTCTCCATTCAGCCTTGTAGGATCTGTCTTAGCTTTGAGCAGAAGTGCGGTGACTAGCGCGGGAGATGATAGTGATGCGGCCAGGTGGAGTGGAGTCGGAGCATGATAATTTGCTGATTCTGGGAAAAAGGTAAAGTCTCCATTTAGATTATTCGACTTCAAGTAGTTTAGAAGTGCTGGTGCCTTCGACCGCCTTATGAGCGATTGGATCTGACTCGTGTGGAAAGCGTCAGTTTCTTCTTCTTCGGACAGTTTCTGCGGCTTCGAACTTCTCGAAGGTGCAGCTTTCGGCTCCTCCTGTCGCAGCCTCTCTTTCTCCTGGGCTAATGCAAGTGCCGACTCATCTACTAGCGAGACTTTGACGCGAGTGAGCTCAGCAAAGGCGCGCATGAGCTCCGATTGGGTTGCCCTTCTTGTGCTGAATGGAAAGCCACGTATCCTTGGGTCATTGTGTCTCAAAACTCGGCCCTCATGCTCGGCAAACAGCGTTTGACGATTTGTATTGCCTGTTGCCCGAATAAATAGCAGCTCCGCGGAGTCTATTAGTTCCTTCCAAGTAGTCAGCAACTGGCGCACCTCCGAAGTCAGGGCAGCCTCATTGTATCTTCGCAAAGATGAGCCGGCGGAATGGGCCGCGCCTCTTGCTGCGTCTGAAGCTGATTGTGATCCACCCTGCTTCCGCCTAGTTGTATAGCGATGAAATGTCTTGTGGGCCAGGACGTCCGCCTGTCTCTCGTTTTTACCTTGTCCTTGTCTTATAATTTTCGGAGCGAGTGACACAACCATAGCAGCACAGTGTCCGCCACCAATCATGAGGAGAAAATAATGAGGAGGTTTCGCTGGCGCATTCTCAGTGTTGCTCGCACCAACACTGTACTTCATCTTGTCCTCTGTGTGTCTAATTTGCCTCTTTTTGATCGCCTCCACAAAACTTGAAGGGTCTTCTTGCTCTTCTTTAGAAAATATCGCCTTGTATATGCCCAGGTTTATATTGCTAGGCAGCTTTTCGCTTTGAAACCACACAAGCGGGCTGCCAGACAATGTAGCTCTTTTTTCTGATTCCGAGCCAATAATCTCTCTTGAAATTTTCATTTGCTTCCTTAGCAATGCTGTCAGCGTGTCATCCCTTGCCGCAGCATCATCTTCGCTCTCCGATTCGCTATTCGATCCCGATATGCTCTCGTCTAGTTCTTCTACCAGCTTTTCGAACTCGTCCTCGCCTACTGTGCGCTGACCGCGAAGCTGCTGTTTCAAGTTGTAATTGTGGAGATCGGATCGCGCATGATTTCTTTGCTCTTGCACGTTGTGAAACTGAAGATTGCATAGCTTGCAACTCGTAGCCGATGACTTTTGTGTGGGTTCGCCCGATTCTGTTTTCAAGTCCGCGTCGTCCTGCAAAGGAAGCTGTGGCTGTAGTTTTGCAGTATCTATCGTAACATGTGCGGCATTCTTCAGCGTTAGTGTATACAACAGCTCTTCTGGCAAGTCGAATATGTACAAAGGCCGCGATAAGATCTCATTTGGCGGCGGCGGCGGCTTCGTCTCCATGGATGAGTACTCTTCAGACGTTTTCAATAGGAATTTGTGATGTAAGCTATTTTTCCGCTTTTCTAGCGTCCATTAACTCTTTATGGGCAATAATGAACGCTTCTTTGTCGGCCCTGCAGATTAAATCGTGGATGCATGTGCGGTGTCAGTTTTCAGACGACGTCACCGGAGCTCCGATACCGCCAAGAACAATTCACGACGGTTCTGGCACTTCAAGCAAGAAATACTGCACATTCTTTCGCTGCCAGCTGAGCGCAATAGCGGCAGAGATTTAAATCCTCGTAGAATCGAACCTGTCTCGTTGTTTGTCTTGTACTCTGCTTACGCCCCGATGCTCTCCCCACAATATCTCTTCGTGTGTTGAATTAGCTGCTCAGGCTGATTGTGCACATTACCAAGGCTACCATCATAGCAGCTCACCCTCTGTCTGATTTATAGCATAAATATATATCTATAGGCTTAATTTCGCTACAAATCAAAGTTCGGGCTCGACGTAAACCAGGACTACAAGCTGAGACATTGAAAGCATGCCCAGACCAGATAGAACTAAGCTTGGCCCAACTGTGCGCATAACACATTCATCGTTGATCAATTTTCTTGTGATAGCTGGTAAAGATGACCATTCCACCAAAGCTTCAGCTCGTTGGATATGCCTAAGAGCGAAAAGAAAGCAGTATACATTTTGTTCACTAATGCATTTCAGGATTTGGGTTGCTAGTGTATAAGTTCGCACGCACAAGGATCCTTGATCTACCGTTATGGCAAGAGTCACCTGTTGTCGCCTCACGGAATCTTTTTGAGGAAAAATGCTTGAAATTTAGACCGCAATTGCTCAACAGCAAGTTGGAAGTGATCGAGTACCTAGAGGCCGGTAACAGAGCTAGCCTCAAACATCGAGATCTAACCTGCGGGGGGCCGGCGGAATCTCAAGCCGTCTCCCAGGACATCTGTCGCATAGCCCTGTATGTGGAAACATCTGCAATATCTGGAATTCATCTCGAGGCATGGATACCAAGATCCTGGAACTCACGCTTCCTCGGAATTGGCAACGGAGGGCTCAATGGCTGTGAGTGACGCGAACGGAATCATGCTCGATACGCTTAGCTTAAAGATTCTAGGCCTTGATTATGCAAGTTTGGTGTACGGTACATCCCATGGCTTTGTAGCATTGGCTTCAAATAACGGTCACAACGGCACAAAAGGACTACCTTTTTACGACAATCCTGAGGTGTTGCATGATTTTGCAGACCGCGCTATTCATGTGTCTGCTCTCGCTGGGAAAGCGATCACTAGACAATTTCATGGGGTCGAAGATTTCAATTCTTACTTCCTAGGATGCTCACAGGGTGGCAGACAAGGAATCGCTAATGCAATGAAATTTCCCAACGACTACGACGGCGTTGTTGCCGGAGCACCAGCGCTTGATTTTAACAGCCTGGTCTCATGGAGAGCTTCTTTTTACCCTCTTACAGGGTCAGATGATTCGAGTGAATTTATATCTTCGAAGAAGTGGTCAAACCTCATTCATGACGAGGTTCTGCGACAGTGCGATGACCTTGATGGCGTAAGAGATGGAATCATTGAATATCCAGATCTTTGCGATTTCAAACCCGAGGTTCTGCTCTGCAAGCCTGACACACCTGACGTCAACCTGTGTCTAAGCACGGCTCAAGTCAAACAAGTCCAACAGATATTCTCACCGTACACACATTCTGACGGATCCTTGATTTATCCGGGAATGCAGGTAGGAAGTGAACAGCAGGCAGTTGATCGCCTCTATTCTGGAAAACCGTTCACCGATTCTGAAGATTGGTTTAAATATGTTGTGCACGCCGATCCCCAATGGGATCCAGCCATGTACACAACAGACGATGCAAGAAAGGCCCAGAAACTCAATCCTTTCGATATCCGCACTTATCCATCTCATCATGATCTCATTGAATTTCGAAAGAAAGGTGGCAAGCTCTTGGTGTATCATGGTATGCAAGATCAACAAATCACCGGTCATAACACCGCTCGCTGGTTCGACTACATGCAGTCGCAAGGAGCGTCAATGGACGATCTTGACGAATGGGCCAGATATTTTAGGATCTCTGGATTACTACATTGTTCCGGTGGACCTGGTGCGTGGATGGTAGGGCAAACCGGAGGCTCTGTTGGGTTTGAGCCAAAAAAGAACGTATTGGCTGCGATTGTGTCCTGGGTTGAGGAGGGAGCCGCACCCGAAGAGTTGGAGGGAACGAAGCTATTCGAAGGGCTTCCATTCGGAGGCGGTGGATCTCCAAGGGTGGAGTTCACCCGACGACATTGCAGGTATTAGTGTCCGTTCCGTTGATAGTAACGATGGTAACAGACTGCTTACACAGCACAGATACCCAAAGCGCAATCGTTACGTCGGTCCCAGTCTGGAGCGTCGAGCGAGACACAATATCCAGAATAATGCACCGCGCTCTTCAGTTGCAACAGAGTGGATTTGCGTCTGACCAAGGATCAATCTAATATAAGGATGTTGCTCGCTTGCCAAGCAACGACGTTGGAGTGAAACGATATCATTGGTGCTGCGATCACGTTGCGTGTGGCTCCTCGGAGCGCACTCTTTTGACTAGCGGTTGGGCCTAAACCATCGACAGCCTTGTCCATTTCCAGTGCCTCGCCTAACCCATTTCGAACGCGATTGGCTTTAGTCTCTGAAGCCAGGATAGTACAACCTGTGTCAAAAGCCTAGGCCGTGAAGATCATAGGAACTAGTTAGCTCAAGGATCTGGACCAAATTAAGTTATATCGCTACCAACTGTCGACTATGCACCGTCAAGCGCGTTTGCCGACCACCGCTCCAGCTGCTCTCATTACCAGCAGCATTACAACTACGACGAGATGGACTTTAGCAATTCGTTTCTCGCAACAAGATCATCGCAGTCAAGGTAAGAAGGAGGTGTCATTGCAGTCAAGCCTTGCGACATTTATCAAGACCACAATCGCCACTTGTCGAGTGGCACTCCTGGAATTTGTTCCGAAACGGTATCGCGCCGGATGCAGCACCCGAGCCTTGGCATGCACGGCTTACGTCAAGGCTTGACGGCTTTGAACGATGATGGATGGCAATAGTTGATGCTCTTCGTCGGTATCTACGTCTACATATCTTGCTTCTCGCACGATCCAAACACTCCCTTATTCTAGCGGAGCAAGTTCGGCAAGGAAGCCAATTTTCCCACCCCTGCTACAGCGCAGTCGCCGAATCCGTTTGAATAGCCCCCAGTTGAAAATGTAGCACTACAAAAAGCGCTTACAGAAATAGCGTCAAAGCCAGGATATCCCTCGCTTATAGCATCCACAAGATCTTTCGTCTTCACTCTTGAATTTTCGCGCTCCAGATCTGCTTTTCTGCTGCGTGATGAGTCCTCATTGTATCTTCGTGTCACGGAATTCGCTCCAGAATTGTCCTTACCGATCTTTACCCTCTGCTCTCATGACGCGGCCAGTTCACAATATGGTTTCTATGCTCCAACCAGACGAAAAAGACAAAGACGTCGTCGTCTCTATACATCAACTTTGCCTGATTTCAGTCCCTGGCTCTTGAACATGCCTCAGCATAGTTAACGGGGACTCGCCCAGGATGAACCTGAATTTTACTTCGACTCACCGTCAACCCTGAGATTGTCGCTCCCCGTCACCTTGGCGCACGGCTCCTTGGGTTGTAGGGTCATTGGAGCAAAATCTTAAATCGACATAGCTCATTGACAGGTACCGCTATGACGATATGTGTAATAATAGACTGCTAGAAAAGTTGGAAATGCGTCCTCATTTTCCACTCTCGAAACGCCGTCCGCCGTGCAAGAGTTGAGACACGGGCCTGGAACGACAGGAATCTATCGTTTGGTGTCACCAACTCATCCTCTCGTTCATGACCACAGGCCGATAGTGGAGTAGCCCAAGGTCTGAGTCCATTGGCTTTTTGGATACGGAAGATTTTGGATCTGAAGTTGTAATTGCGGGCAGTGCTCTCGAGTCGCCGGCCCAAAGGGATTCCTCAAGTTCCCAAGGTTCCGGAAGCGAAGCGGTCCAGAAATTCAGTCGAAATATCATGTGTGTGGAGTCACGGCTCCGCATCATTTCCTCCAAGGGGCATGATACCCATTGACTTCAAAATACTTCCTCGTCATCATTATTGTGAACGTCAGGCCTCATTGGATGGATACAACGCAAGAAATTGTTCAGGGATCGGAAGTGATCTACGCTGGTCCAGCCTTGTGAGCCTCTTTCGATAGATATCTTCTTCAATTATGCGGTTCTCTCTTGTCGATCATCTCGAGTATGGGTGCAAGCGAAGGAAACAAAGCACCAGCTTTACTGTTCTCTGAGTGCAGTAAAGGAAGGACCGTACCAAATTCAACCAGCGACGCGGATATGATGATTAGATGATGTCGTAACTGGAAGACGATCATTGTTTGAATGCTCAAAAGTTCTCCTCAGAACTCAAGTACAAATAGCAGCCCCTACCGCACTCATTTGGTTGTATCGCACAGTCCCCAGACCAGACGCGCAGATCCCAAAGTGCAGCCAAAGCATCAAGTCGCTCATCTTCGAAAAAGATCATCCCATCTTCGAGCAGTTACCCAATCGTCGAACCTTCCACGATGCAGCTCACCAAGGTTTTCCTTCTGGCCACGAGCCTTGCAACGGCCTTCGCCGCCCCCTTTGCTGAGGCCGATCCGGCCGCAGAGGCTGCCGAGCTCGAAAAGCGCCAACTGCTCAACGACCTTGCGCCAGACGTCGCGGCCCTTTTGACGGCTCTTGGGCTTGGTTCTCTCGCCACGCCTGTGGGCGGCCTCTTGGACACTTTGGGCTCCAACGTCAAGCTCAAGGAGCGCGACGTGACCAGCGACCAGGCTCTGGACATCGCGGACATTCTCACACGCCGTGGAGTCCCCAGCGACATTGCCCTCCCGATCCAGGACCTCCTCAACACCAGGAGCACCGACATTCAAAAGCGCCAAGTCCTAACCTCACTTACTTCCCTGCTCACCAGTCTCCTCTCTAGTGTGACCAATACGGTTAACAGCACCGTCACGGGCGTCACCGGTGTCGCCGGCAATGCCCTCACCAACGTGACTGGCACGGTTGGCAACACTGTGACAGGGGTCACTGGAGCTCTTGGAAGCACCGTCAGCGGCGTCTTGAGTGCTCTTGGCACCATTCTCGCTTGAGAGCAAGTGTGAGAACACGTCTCCAAGCCCTTTTTTTCTGCATTTTGATTCACTAATCATTCTCGCAGAGTCCAGGGTCCTGCTTTGGAAGTCAAAGAACGCAATAGGCAACACAAGAGGTTTCTGTGTGATGTGTGGGGAATATTGCGGTGAAACTAACCTTTGACTGTACCATAAAACGCGACGGAAGTGAAATGGTGGTTTCGAACCTTGCAGGAATGATTGACCGCTGAGACGGTGGTGAAAGAGTTAACGATTTTACGCTCGTTTTTTCAGCCATAATGAATTGAAATGACGAAATGTCTCCACAAATATAAACCAAGCTCTTGTCCCGTCTTGCTCTTCAAGTTGGCCGAATCGCAGAGTGGCCAACTTGGAGTATTTATCCTACTGAAAGCTGGATCGTCATAGATTGACTGTGCAAATTAAACCTTTGGACATGGTGCCACTTCTATTGATTGATGGGCATGTCTACCTTATTAAGAAAAAAAAAACACAGAAGGGCGACCAAGTGAGACACGGGCAAAACAGGCAGCGCATTTCCAGACACTGCCGCCCTCTTCTTCATTGAGGGCCCAATCCGAGTCGCACTCGATGTACATCAGAGGCTTCACCGCCGCCTCCGCGCCGGATCAGTCCACCGTGGCCCAGTCATTGCCGAAATTGATTTGCCGCTGTCGGGCACCCGTCGAGTTCAGTCCGTAGCCGGCATTGGCAGCTCTGGCGGCTTCAGCGACACGTCTCATCTCGCTCGCTCGCTTTCTGACGCTTTGGTCCTGTCTCTCGACAAGTTCTAGATGTCGTTGCTAGAACGGATGGTCAGACGACGATTTGAAATTGGAGATGACGCCGCGTCGATGGGGGGACAAAATCAAGGGGGAGGGGGAAGAAAATTTGCGCCAAGGAAGAAAGAAAAAGACGTTTCTTCTTTTTTTTTCTTTTCCATCGGATTAATAGACTTACATGTTGCCGCTCATGTAATCTGTCCTGCTCTATGGCCAATCTACGTTCATCTGCCCGCCGCTCTGTCGCAAGCGCAGCCAGCTGCTGCTCGTGCTGGAGGGCTCGAGCCCTGTCACGATCTTCGATCTGCTGTCGTTGCGTGGCCAGTGCAGCCTGTTGGTTGATTTCGAGCTGATGTCTGTCTCTCAAGCTCTGCCTTTCGTTATTTGCCATTTCAAGTCTATGCGCTCTTTCCGCCTCGCGACGGCGCGCGTCAGCTGCAGACTCTCGAGCCTCTCGTTGCCGGGCCTCGATCTCTTCCTCGCGGTATCGAGCTCTCTGCTGGTCAAGAAGCTGTTGGTGGTTTCTGTCTGCAATTTCCCGCAGGACTCGGTCCTCTTCTTGACGCCGCCGAATGTCATTGGTGAGTCTCTGCTCCTCGAGCCTCTCCTGGTCTACAATGGCCTTCAGATGCGCCGGCATCGTGTTGTATGTGAAGTTCGGCGGGTGCCGGCCTTGCCTGTTCCACAGGCTGCGGGAGCAATTCTTGTTTTCGAGCAGCTCTACCAACTTGGCTTTCTCCGATTTTGGACCCGAGTAGTACGCTTCGACATAGGACAGGGGGCTGTAAACCGTACCGGCGGGGTCTTCGAACAGCAAAGAATCGTGGTTGAGATTGTCGCTAAACTGTGAAGAGTCCAGAAGCACCTTGAGTATTTGGACCGGCATTTCGTTGTCGAGCGCCAGGTGAAGAACACTTTTGCCGTTGTAGCGCGCTTTCGTGTCTGCACCATGCGCGATGAGAGTGTCGATAATCCAATACGCTCGTTCGTGCCAGTCAACCCCATCCGAATGACCGTTGAGACACAGTTCGGCCAAAGCGCTTCTTCCGCGATGAATATGGTTCGGATTGTGTCCATGGTTCAGCAACACTCGTAAGATTTCTCCGAGTGCTGCACGCGCTGCGGAATGGAGAGAGCCGTCATTTGGCCGAATTCTGGTCTGAAGCAAAGCCTTGACAGAAGCAAGATTTCCGCTCTCCGTAGCCAGCAGAAGTGCTGTATTTTCATTCACATCCCGCGTGTTGGGTTTGACCCCCAAAGAAAGGAGTCTCTCGATGACTGCGTGCCTTCCTGCCGAAGCAGCCTCTAAGAGAGCGGTCGTATGAGTGACGGGAGTTACAAAGTCAAGTTTTGCTAAGGCAAGATTAAGTCACCATAAATAATCTACAGAAGATAGGATCATGAGAAAGTAATAAAAGAAAGGCGAAGAAAAGAAAAGGAAAAATGTTCTACGCTGCTGTATATGAAAACATACCTTCAGCGCTTCTTCCAAGCAGCTCAAAGAGAACAGCTCTGCTTGGGCCAGGCAAAGGTCTACTCAGCGCCCAGATCAACGGCGTCACAGACTCGGCCTCGCCTCCCTCTCTCAGCTGCATCTCTTTCGTTGCTCCCGCCGGGCAACCGGCTTTGAGTAGGCACCGAATGAGATTCTCTCCCTCTTCAAACCGGGTCAGGGCGAGGAAGAGAAGTTCGCCGTTGGACAACGTGTCTCGAACGTCGGCGAGTTTGAAGCACGATTGCAGACATGCGACGAGCCTGTCTTCGTTGTCAAGCTTACGGATCAGGGCTGGCAAAAGGAGGTTCATGTCGGGCGGGCGGGTGAGCAGGGCTTCGAACATGGCCGGGCTCGCCAGCTGCGCAGCCAGTATGCACGCCTTTCCGCCGTCGCGGTTCGGACTTGCGCCATGTTGAAGCAATAGCTTGCAGAAAGGCAAGTCGTTTTCTCTTATGGCCTGTTCCACGTACAGATCGACCGGGAGATCGATTCCCAGACCAAAAGCTTTGTCCAGAATCATGGTAACGTACTTGAGCCTCGATCGACTTGAACGGCTCGCGGACTTGGTGAACACTCTCTTGAGAGCCTCCTCTCCGGGGTGATACGAGAGAAGGAGCGTCAGGATATCCGTCGCCTTAGCGTTAACGGCGAGACGGAGTGCCTTGCCACGCTGGTGGTTCACGGAAGCTCCGTGTTTGAGAAGAAGCTCCACAATACGCGTGCCGGCAGCCGAATGAGCCTCGATCTCTCGGAGAAGTGCGTCGTCTTGTCCAATGTCTCTGCCGCCAGCAGCTTCAAGCAGCGTCTTTATTGCTGCACAGCGAGCAGAGTCCGCGTGCAAGGTCATCGCCGCTCTTAAGGCTGATCGAAGCGTTGAATGGGACGGTCGGGCAGCTAGCAGCAGTTGCAAAGCACGCTCATTGCCCTTCGTCACAGCGTGGCACATGGGAGCGCCGTCGCTGGCATCTGCCGATGCGCCGGATCGCAGAAGAAGACTAACGACGGCCTCACGTGCGTCGTGCAAGACCTCGTCCACAAGGGCCTTGTCTAACACTGTGCGATGTCGTCCGCACGCCTTGAGGATCAGCTTCGTCCTTGAGTCGCTGTATTTCAGCGGGTGGAGAGCCATCGGCACGAGTAGAGCTGCGGATCGGTCGCTGGCCGAGTGATGGTCGCACAGCTGGCGCAGATAAGCGCCGGTCCGCGCCTTGAAGGCAGACTCGAACACAAGGCCGTCCGAATAGTTGGCGTCGGCGCCGGCAGACCGCAGCTCATTGAACAGGTCGTCGTCCTCTTGCAGGATGGAGTCGACAAAGGCCTGGTCGACCTCTGAGCCTCGCGCGCCCTTGCTCAGTATGGACTTGACAGCGCACAGCCGTGTGCTCCTCGTCCGGAGCCTCATGGCGTACGGCATCGCCTTGGAAAGCTTGGAGGGCGACGAGCAGCCGCGCAGCAGGATCTCCACGACGTCGAGATCCTGCGCCTCCAACGCAGCACGCACGCATCGCGCCTCGTCGTGATCGGCAGAGGTGCCGTATGAGACGAGCAGCCTGACCATGTCCACATCGAAAGACTTGACGGCCCGGAACAGCTCGTTTTCCAAGGAGCGCGAGGTCCGCGTCGCCCCGGCGGAGAGGAGAACCTCGAGCATGTTGCGGCGCTGCAGGGGAAGTTCGTCTCGGGCCTCGACGACGACATCGACGGCGCTGTCTAGGTGCTGCGGGCGCAGCCTGACCTCGTCCTGAGCCCCCGCCAGCATCAAACATACCATCTTCATGTTTCTCGACCGCAAGGCATCGAGAAAGTGCTGCGCCAACCGGTGATTCGGATCGGCGCCGTACGCAAGAAGCATGGCAGCGACGGTCGCATCGTTGCTCGTCACGGCCTCAAACAGGGCCGCGTCGACGTGTTTGGAATCCAGAGGCCGGCTCGACCTCAGAACGGCCTCGAGCTCGTCGGCGCGCTTCTGCTGAACGAGCAGGGCCACCTTTTCGGCATGCAGGTTCGGGTCGACGCCGTACCGGACGAGCTCCGTGATGATGGCAGCAGACGCGCCGGAAGAGAGGGCCGTCGAGAAGACGGGGTCGAAACATGCCCCCGAGACCTGCGACAGGCGACTCGCCAGCAGAACGACGTGCTGGCAGTCGTTGTTCATGACGGCGGTGTGTAGCCAGGCTTCCGTGTCAACGGCTCCCAGCACCCGGTGCTTTCGGTGCTTGGACGCCGTCGAACGGGCGCGCTCGCCCGCTGCGCTCAGCAGGTTCCGTCCGCCGTGTTCGAGCAGCGCCTGGGACAGCCCGACATTGCCGCCTTTACGCAGGTTGTCTTCCAGCGCGGCGGCACGCTCCTTGGCGCTGAAGGTCCAGTTCCTGGCCTCGTCGAGCTGGGCCTTCTTCGACGGGCTCTTGAGTCTGTTGATCAGCCTTTCGCTCGGCTCCTTGAAATTCTTCGCGCTCCTCCGCACGGCTGCAAGCAGCTCGATCGCCTTGTCGTAGTCGTCCCGCGTGGCGAACTGGGGAGGCTCGCCCCGACCGAGCAGCTCTTTGCGCTGTGCGAACTCGACCCCATATTCGGCGGCGAAGGCGAGCAGCCGCTTGGGCCGTCTGCGGCTGCTCCCGTTTTCCGCCTCCTTGTCAGTGTTATCTTCGAACTCAAGGCCGTGCTCGTCTGTTGGAATCCTTACTGCTTCAGACATTCTCCAGCAAGCCAGCAACTACGCCGCCGCCGTCGTGGCTGTCGATAAAAAGAAAACAGCCAAAAACAGGGGAGCCGGAACGGAGACTGGAGGATGGTGTGATAATCCGAAGATAGCGTCTAGTTTAACCTGCAGGAAAGAAGAAGAGGAGGAAAGAAGAGGAGGGGAAATGCCGTCTTACGATGCAACAAGGCTGAAGCCAGCGTGCATTTCAACTTGTCCCGAGCCTCCATATTCGAGCGTGGGGAAACTCGCACGCGATCCACGTCGACTTCGTCCAAGGTCCGTCAGCCTGACGAGGACTGCATGCTCGGCCTCGGTGTGTGTGTGTCCAAAGCAATACGGGAGCAACCAAAGATTTCGAAGCCGATTTTTTTTTTTTTTTTTTTTTGAAAAGTAATGACGGATGCCTCCATGCTCAACGTCATGCTATGCAAAAAGATGCTTGTCTCCACCCCTTTCCTTGGGATGCTGGGGAAATCTCATACGCCAACAGCCTGGCAAGCCAAGCCAGTATAATTGGGAAAATAAAAAGGTCCTGGTTCTCTATCCTTCATCGTGTACATCACAATGATTTGGCCGTGTGAAACACACATGCGTGCGTCCGCAGACGATGCAAACGTACCTGGAACCCGCCAACCCAGATGCTCTAGATGTCTTTTACAAATATATACGCATAGGCATACGCACACGTACATGCGCATGCGCACACATAGTACCTAGCCTCCCGCATGTGCTTTTTGTTTTAATTTTTCTCCTCTTCTCCTTCCTTATTTCCGTCCATAACTCGCCCCAGTCCTCGTGACAAGCTTCGTATCTTTCTTGCTGGCTTTCTCCACCTTCTTGGCCACGCCTCTTCTGCGCTTCCTGATGCCCTCGCTGTGCAGGATGCCAAAGGCCTCCACGGCAAGTGTGTTGTGCCACTGCAGACACGGCCACTCGTTTCTGTCTACGTCGGCCGCGTGTGCCTTCGTCCGCGTGCTGATCCGCGTCGGCATGCTCTCCTCGTCCTGCTTGCTGTTCAACTTCTTCGCCGCCACTTCGTCCAAGTGCTCGCGCATCTTCTTCATACAGTCGACAATGATCTCGCGCCACGCAAGCAGCTCCTTGCGCAGCGCCTTTTCGCGCAGGCCACGCTCGTCGAGCCAGCCCAAGAGCTGATCAATCTTCTCCGGCTCGTCGATGTAGCCCCAGTGGTCCGCCGTCTCCAGGTGGGTGTCGCCCTCCTCCTTCTGCTTGCGGTCCAATATGGTAATGTCAAACACCTGCAAGTAGCTCGCCTGCAGGTCCTTGTCCAGGTCGAGAAGGCCCTCGCGGTCGATCTGGTCTGGACCCTGGACCCATATTCGACCGCTCGCGTAGTTGTAGTGTGCCGTGCTCGTGTGCGGCACCCCGCCGAAAGGCATGCCGTTCCGTTCGAACCACCAGTATCGGTTGCAAAAACGATCGCGTCCCAAGCACTTGGAGCGCTGGCAGTCCGTCTCCCGTAGGTCATTCGTGTACTCGGCGATCTTCTCCTCGCAGTCGAGAATGTCGGCCTTCTTCGTCTCGATCTCTTCGACAAGCTTGTCAAGCTTGATCTCTTCCCTCGTGCGCTTGGGCTGCGCCGCTTTCTCCTTCTTGGCCTTCTCGCGCCGTGCGGCCTCCTCCTCGCGCTTCCGTTTGCGGTCCGCGCCTCGACGCAGCTGCACCGGGGGGGCCTCATCTTCCGAGCCCTCGCGTGAGTCCGCGATGCCGTTCGTGGCGGACGGAATGTCAGAGATCTCAACGTCGGCCTGGCCGTTAGCTTCACCCTCAGGCTTTTTCGCCTGGATCTGCGATGCCAGCTCTTTCCGCTGTTCGTCGAGCTTGTGGAGCTCGTCGATACTGCTCAAACCAATCAGATATTCTTGTTCTCAGGGAAAGAGAAAGAAAAAGGGGGGGGTGGTTTAAGGGGCACAAAGGCATGAACTGCATGAATGAACTTACATATCCTTTTTCAACCTCTGCTGCTCGATCTTTTTCTTCCTCAGCTCCGTCATCTCAGCACTCATGTCTTCAAGATGCTTCCTAAGTGCCGGAGTGGACGTCGCAAGCTGGGTGATGATTTGCAGAGCTTCCAATCTCAAATTGACATCTAAAGCGGTGAAGTATTGCGACTTGGCTGTCTCATCCGTGGGATCCTTGTCGATTGGGGCAAGTATCGAAAGAATCTTGTCGCAGATCTCCTTTTTGCGCGGCATGAGCGATACTTGATGCAGCACGCCGACCAGTATCACCTGCCAGCCGCCGTCTTTGAAGTCGCGCTCCTTCAGTCTGTCTTTCCACGGCCTCTCGCCTTGCATTGCCGCGGCTTGATGAACCTCCTTCGGCTCCGGAGTGGGTGTTCGCTGCTTCAAAGCCGCAGCCTCCTCTTTCCTCAAGCTGCTTCGCGTCGTGCGGCGAAACTGCGGTTCCGGCGATGGTTCTGCAGACGGCTCTTCCTCCTCTTCCTCCTCCTCCTCATCATCCTCGCTGTCGCTGGGATCAAACTCCGGCAGCGAGACTTGGACGTCCCCCTGCTCATCCACAAGCTGTTTCAAGACGGCGCAGTGAACTTCGTTCAAGAGCTCGCAATCCACGTCCGGCGACGAGAACCGCATGGCCTCTGCAAAATCGTCGACTGTGAACGAATCCAACACGAAGACCTCGGAGTGCACATTCAAGGTGTCCCATATCTCAAGCAACGTGCCGACGGATGAAATCTTCAAGCCCGGGTTCACGGGATCGGCAACAAGCTCCCCGGACGGCAAGTCTTCGGAGAAAAATTTCAAGCTCGGCCGTGGCGGCACATCTTTTCGAGGTGGAACCTCCGTATCCTCGCATGGGAACTTGATTTGTGGCGGGGGAGGCGTTGGGACCACCTCGGCCTTCGTGGTATACTGAGCATTTGCTGTGACTGGATATTGAGCGTTGGTAGCTCCGGGTCCGCCGGTGGATTTGGCCATGCCGGCCGCCAAAGGCTGGCCGGCAGGCGGAGGGTTGCCTTGGTCGGGGAGAAGAATGGGCACAGGCGTGCCGCCCGGCGTGACCTGGTACTGTACAAGGGCAGGATCGCCATTCTTATGCACATACTTTCCAATGTCCTGTTGAATAAAACGATGGTTCTTACCGCCCTTGCCGCCTGGTGGCGGTCGAACCTCGAGCGGCCGCTGTTTGCTGGCCAGGTAGTTGAAGAATGTGGTCTGGTCGATGGGCTCTGCACGCTTCTGCATGGCCAGCAGGTTTTTCCGTTCCGCCATGACGGCGCGTTGGTGCAGGTGTGGAGGGATTTCTGTAGGGATGTTGTATTCTTGCGCAAGGTGCATCTTGACCAGCCAAGGAGCGCCATGCCACGACTCCTTCTGCAGGGCACCCTTGAGGAAGGATCGAAGAAGCAGCTTTGAAAAGTTGCGTCGGTCACGGTAGATGTTGGCGCCCTCGACAGGCACGTCCATGGCTTCGCGTTTCGAGGACGGATCAGCCTCGACCGACACCAGATAGCGCGACGTCGCCGGCTGGAGCACGCCGTTCATGTACCTGTCCGGAAAGGAGACCTTCTCGCGCACGATGCCTTCTGCCTTTTCACCGTTGTCGAGGATGGCGATCACGTGTTCGCGCGGAAAGAAATCATGTTTGAACGCTTCGTAGATCCAGTTCACCAGATACTCTAGCCTGCCAAACGTTGTGAACTGGGCCTTCTTTAGTATGGGCTCCCGAAGAGGCTCTGGGAACTGAATGTCTAGCTGGCGAAGGCTCGCGGTCTAGAAAGCGGGGTCAGCACAACATGGGCTAGGAGAGAGGTGAGAGTCGCGTAAGGCCAATGGAATGCACGGCGCCGAGAATTGGGCGGAAGACAGCAACGACGAAGGGAGGGAAAGAGTTTGCTACGCACCTCACTCTCGTACGCGTCGAAGAAGGTCAGATTCGAATGACCCGTGATCTCGCACGTGAAATCTTTCTGCGTCGGGGAAAAAGTTCCCGCCGGTCAGCCCAGACGCTCTAAAGCTGCTCAATGGATGGGACGAGGAGAAATGAAAGAAAGATGGAGGAGAATAAGAAGAAGAAGAAACAACGGTGAGAGAGAAAGAATGAAGAGAGAAAGCGCAGTCGTTGGGGAAGAGACATACCTGCCAATAGAAGTCTCGCCTGTTGGCGTGGCGTGCCTGCGTGTCAGCCAAGGTCGTGATCTTATATAATGACAGGACGTCGTGCCCATGGCTGCAAGACGTGCCATGTCGACTTCGTACCTCTCCAGATATGCCTCGTAGCTTGTGAACAGTTCGCCCGTCTGTGTGATCTCCCATACCTAGATGATGAAAACAAGCCTGGTCAGCCTTGCCGCTCACAGAGAGAGAGAGAGAGAGAGAATCGCGCATGTTCCCTCCGCTCGAATCTTCGCCAATGTCCTGCGTGATGCCAGAGCGCGCACACGCGCACGTACGCTCGCGTGTGCGCCTGATGCTGGATTCAGAACTTACTTCGGTGTTCGGCGCGAATTTGAGGCTGGGCGGTATGGGCACGGTTTCAACCTTGCGGCGCTTGAAGAGGACCTGGATTCGAAATGGGGAGCGTTAGCGGACGCAGAGCAGCGTGCAAAGAGGGGAAAAGAACGCAACCAGCAAGGCCCTAGAGCGGGATGGACACGTACCATGGCGACGCTGTCCTCTCGGCCGTGGACGTCCGGAAAAGGCTGCGGCGGTTTTGGGCGGGTGCTGGAAAAGGTAGCCTGTATAGCTGGCGCGGGGAGAGGGGAGGGAGCGAGTGGGTTGCTCGATTCGTTGCGATGCCGCCGCCACTGCAACCGTCTTGCAGCTGCGTACTGCGGCTTCACGCCGAGGCAGGGCGGCCGTGTACTAGACTTGTCACAGGAGAGTCCGGCAGGTCGTGCTCGGCGGGCGCGCCCTCATAGGCGAGCGGGTGGAAGAGGAGCAGCCGTTTGGGAGGGGAGCGGGCGGTCTTTGGAATCCAGCAACGGGTTCGCGAGGAAGCGAGTCTCAGTATGGCCGTTCGGGAACGCGTCGGGCTTCCGGGCGGGGACGCGTCAGGATGGACTGTTGGTGATGGCGAATGGGAGGTGTTGGGGGAGGAGAGAAAAAGCGCAGGTTGTGCGGCCCATGGTGGATGCAAAAGCACGACGACCGCTAGTGTGGACTTCTGGGCCAGCACGAATGAGTGACAAAACGGGGAGAGACTGAGCATCGGCCTCGGCGCGACTATCACCACACACATTGAATACGGCGCCCTACGCGCGCCCACGAACACGCCCGTCACCATTCTTGTCCGCACACGGGGCCGCACCGTCGGCGCGATGCTCGACGTCGCGCCGCACCGCTTCCGCCTGCGCTGCCGGTTCACACGACCGCCGTTGTCGCGGACGCGTCCGCGTTGGTTCCCGACATCAGCCAGCCGCGCACTGCGACGCGCGCGCCGGGCTCTGCGGCCAGACCGAGCACGCGATCGGAAGCGCCTAGCACGACTGCACGCATGGAGCAGCAACCGTCTCCGGCCGGGCTCAGCGTCGCAAAGCGAACACCCTCTGGGCGCCGCACACATACGCCCGTTGGCTGCGAAAAGGTGCGCTCCAAATCCGGTTGCTTTCCTGTTCTGGATTAGCGCCCCCGCTCCCGCCGTCGGACGCCCTCTCATTGGCTGCAGCCACCCGCGACGACCTCGTTTAGACGCGCGGTCAGAGGCAGAAGACGGAGCACAGAGGACGGAGTACACAGCGCGACGGTACGCACGCACTTCGGCGCTGTCTCACGCTTGCTCAAACAGCTCCCGCCTCGTCGCCGCTCTCTGCATCGCCTGCTCTTCCATCCGTCCTCCGCTGACCTGTGCGGTGGCCCGCGGAAATGGTCACCGCGCCTCGCCCGGCTGTTCAGACGCTGCGGGCGGCCTCACGCCTTTGCACACCCTCACACGCCCTGCACTTTCTCCCTCTCGCTCTCGCCCTCTCCATCCCTCTTTGTCTCCTCGGCGAGCTTGTTTCACACGGGACACGCGGCCAAAGAGCGGAAAAATTTGAGACCAAAAGCAAAATTCGAGTCAAAAGGCACGCAGCGTCGCTGTCAGATCGTAAAACATGCACCCTTTGCACAGTGTATCCATTGTCGTGTGACCTTGCGTGCTTATGTCTGCACCCACATATTCGCTGTTTATGCCCTTGGAATCCCTATCGTACACACTTTTACTCGCAGCCGTGCCCGCCACGCCCATCCATAGCCCAAACAACCAATGTTTTTATTAAAACCTTTGCTGCCGCGAGCACCTTGAAGTTTTCACTGTTTCCTTTTTTTTCGTTCGCCTGAGCTATAATATCACACGCCCACCATGTTGGGTCTCCTAAGAAAAACTTTTGCAAGTCCATACTCCGCTAAGCAAGGTAGAGACCTTGCGTACGAACGTGTAACGTAGTTGTCCCACGCCAACTTCTGAGCAAACTCTTTCACCCGCGCTGGTGAAGAGAGAAAGGAAGAGCGGAAATTAAAAGAAAGCAACACGAATGCGACGAAGAAGCGACTCCGACTGGGCACGTGCGTCGAACCGGGGAGCGAGCGAAATGTGGGACGCGAAGGCAACCTCTATGCGGCAGCCGGAGCGGCTTGAGTAGCCTCGGCCGCCGGAGTAGCCTCAGCGCTCTCCGCACTTGGATCTTCGTCCTCCTTGCCTGGGCTGTCAATCGCCACCTTGACGGCGATCTCACGGCCCTCAATCTCCTTGCCGTTCATTTCGGCACACGCCTTTTGCTGCATCTCCTCCGAAGCAAGCGTGACGAAACCGAAGCCGCGGCCCTTGCGGGGCTCGTTGCGGGCCTGCAACTTCTTGATCATGAAGCGAGGAATCGGGCGAAGGGCAATCTTTGCGCTCGTCGGGTTGTACTCTTTGAAGATTTCAAGCAGCTGTTGCAAGTCAGTAACGAGAGCTCCTAATAGTACACCACACCACTACACGTACCTTCTCTTCACCCAAGTCGTATGGCAGGTTAGCGACCATGACCTTGGTCTTGGAAGGGACACCATCCTCGGGAGGACCACGCTGCTTGCGCTCACGCGGCTCGCGGGGCGAGCGCGGCTTGCTCGCGTCAGCAGGGGTTGCAGCCTCCTCGCCCTTCTTAGCCTTTGTCTTTGTCTTAGTCTTGTTCGTGCTGTCGACAATGGGTTCTGTTTGGGCAGGTACATTTGTCGCAGTGCCGTTCGTAGCCTCCGCGGCAGCCTCGGTGCCATTCGCATCGTCCGTCTTCTAAAATATTCAACGTCAGAACCGTATCACGACAGACGCAATGTATAATAGTAAGCTTACACGTCCACCACGGGCAGCACGACCGCCCCGGCCACGGCCACGTCCGCGGCCAGAAAGGCGGCGCCGCGTGGTCTTGCCAGCGCTCTCGTCTCCGCTCTTGGCACCACCCTCCGGAGTAGCTTCGGGCTTTCGAGCAAGCTGGATTGAAACCTTGCGATCAAGAATGTTCTTTCCGTTCAGCTCGTTGATGGCACGCTCAGCCTCGGATGGTGTTGACAAGTCAACGAAAGCGTAGCCGACGGGACGGGTGGTGCGTGGATTGACTGGGATGGAGACACCTTCGCTGTTTCAGACGGTCAGTCAGATTCGCATCCACGCGGAACGCGACGAATTTCGGGGTCAGATGCGGGCACTCACACGAGGTACTCCTTGAAGAAGTCCTTCAACTCTCCCTCAGTTGTCGCATAAGCGAGATTCCCAATGTATAGACGTCGACCTGCGCGAAGAGGATTAGCCGGACGAGCCAAGCAACGCGACATGCTGGTACGAACCCTCAGCAGCACTGGCGAGCACCTCAGCGGACTGAGTGTTGTCGGTGCTTTCAGCTGGGGGGTTGGCCACGGGGGCGGATTCGACAGCGGCGGACATTTTTACTTGAAAGTTCGGATGTATTGACGACACGAGTGATGATTTGCGCAGAAACGAAAAGATCCTCCTGTAAAGAGCGAAGATCTTGTGTGAGACCGTGTAAGGGTATTGAGGAAACTATATGTAGTCCTGGTGTTGAAAGCTTGAAGGTAATGGTCTTTTGAACAAGGTTGTTGACACAAGTCTTCTGGATGAAACTTGAGATCGAAAGACCGCCTTTTGTGGTGGGAACGGGGGAGAGTGTTCAGCGGGTAGCTTGGTGCCCGAGATTCGAAAGTGGTGGTGCAGCTTTGAAGTTGAAGCGTGTGTTGACTATGGTGTTACTTGATGGAGAAGGAAAAGAGGCAGAAAGGAGAGCGACACCGTTATAAGTAGTGTCTCCCAAATATTTGCAATATTTGCGTCCGTGCGCGCCTCCCGATTGGGCCACTGCGACTGTGCGGACTCTCGACTCAGCAATCGGTGAAGCGTTGTCTGCACCCTAGCCACGCAACATAACACCTCACTATTAACCTCGTCGAAGGCCAACGGAAAAGACTTAACAGGACCTCTGCAGAAGCTCTTGCTCACCCGCCGCTGCCAACCCCAAGGTGATGTTTCTGCGTCTCGTCTTCCCTCGTTTATCTCTTTTGGACATTGCATTCAAGGCAAGAGGGACCTCCAGCCAGGCAGCTTCCCTCCTCGCAGCCGCGCCTGCTGGCTTGATCTTTGCCATGCGCGAAAGGAAGGTTCGAAGGCAGTTCCGAGCCGTTTGCACGCGACTTCCGCATCGAACTTGTAGAATGTTCCCGCAACTGGCAACCGCCACCCTTGCCACTTAAGGCACCCACTAAATGACCCACCAGGGCCACTGCCAATTCAACCACCCACGGGCCAACCAACTCTCACCGTCGGACCTGCCCGTTGGCCGTGTGTGACTGGACAAAGACGCTGATCCTCAGCTACTCCTTGATCGCCCTGTGCGTTTCGCGTCATCCCGCACCGCACAGCACATGCGCTCCATCAAGCTCCTCTCAGCCGTTCCCGTGCTTTTCTCGTGCTCTTATGGCATCTCGAGCCTTCAGTTTGGAGGAGCGAACAGCGTTGGTGGCGTACGGCACGGAGACTGGCAATGCTCAGGACGCCGCGGACGAAGTAGGACGGCTGTGTGAACGCCTGCATTTTCGTACCCGTATACTAGAACTTGATCTCGTTTCACTTGTACGTGCCTCTCGTATGGCTGGCTCACGGTTCAGCGACGTGTAATTCGCAGTGATGATTTGTGTTTTCACGTCTTTCCACCGGTCTTTGCTGATCGACCTCACCAGAAACAACTGTTGCAGCACTCCTTAGTAGTGTTCGTGATATCTACCACTGGCCAAGGCGAGCTTCCGGTAAATGCCCAAAAATTCTGGAGGGCTTTACGGAGTGCTCGCCTTCCTCCCGGCTGTCTGCAAAATTTGCACTTCACCTCATTCGGCCTTGGAGACAGCGCTTATCCGCAATTTAACTGGGCGCACAAAAAACTTACGAACCGGCTCCTGCAGCTTGGTGCTCAGATTGTCTGTGATCGAGCTGAGTCCGATGAGCAACATCCAGAGGGCATCGATGGCTCATTCATACCGTGGCTAACCCAGCTTCGGCAGCGATTGTTAGAGCAATATCCCCTGCCCGACGGCGTGGAGGCGATTCCAGATGATGTCCAGCTTGAACCCAAATGGATCTTACAAGAAGTTGAAGGAACGGTCGAAGGAATATCCAGTGGCGTTCCAATTGAGCCTGCAGATGAACCACCGGACGGTCCACCCAGTGGCATTCCTGCTATCCTGGTATCCAACGAGCGCGTTACTCCAGTCGCGCATTGGCAAGATGTGCGGCATCTATGCTTAGACCTGCAGGGCGAACATACGTACGTGCCTGGTGATATATTGACTATATATCCGAGGAACTTCCCTGCCGATGTCGACCAGCTCCTCGACATCTGCCGTTGGACCTCTATCGCAGACAGGAGGCTTGTGTTTGCACCCACGAGCCAAGAACAGTATAATCAAGATCCCAAAGATTACCCCCCACCTCCCATTCCAGCATTGCGGGGTAAACACTTCACGTTGCGAGACCTCTTCATCGCACATCTAGATATCATGTCCATTCCGCGACGGTCATTTTTCTCGCATCTCCTCCACTACACAAACGATGAATTCCACATCGAGCGACTCCGCGAGTTCACAAATCCAGAGTTCATAGACGAGCTATTCGACTATACAACCCGCCCGCGACGCTCTATCCTTGAGGTTCTGGACGAGTTCACTAGTGTTCATTTACCGTGGCAGAAGATCTGCAGCATAATCCCTGCCATGCGAGGTCGGCAATTCAGTATTGCATCAGGTGGCGCTCTCAAGGCTCCACGGGAATCTGCATTCCTAGGAAGCAACGCAAGTACCAGGGTTGAGCTCCTCGTTGCTATTGTAAAGTATCGCACTGTGATCAAAAGGATACGACAGGGAGTTTGTACACGATACATTGCGTCTTTGCAACCGGGGCATCGATTGAATGTCACGCTGCAAGCAGGTGGACTGCATCCTAGAGAAGTGGATATAGATAAGCCGGTCGTAATGGTAGGCCCGGGAACGGGAGTCGCCCCAATGCGAAGTTTGATCTACGAACGGGCAAAATGGCGGGAAGAAAACTGCAAGGCATCTGGGAATCATGATTGGGTGGAAGATATTTTATTCTTTGGTTGCAGAAACCAGGAGAGCGATTACTTTTTCAGAGATGAGTGGTTAAGATTCGGCGAACAAGGCTTACTGAAGACCTTTGTTGCCTTCTCTCGCGATCAGGTAGGCTGGCCAATCCCACTTTTATGTTTTGAGTAGCTGATGACCCCGTCTAGAAACAAAAAGTGTACGTTCAGGATCTGATCCTCCAAAGGTCCAAGCTGGTGTTCAAGGCCCTGGCTGAAAAGGGAGGTATGGTTTATGTTTGCGGTTCGTCTGGGAGGATGCCCCAGGCCGTGCGAGAGGCGCTCATCGAGGTCTTCCAGAAAGAGGGTGAGATGGAACGGTCTGATGCGGAGACGTATTTCACGAGAATGGAGAAGGGAGGGAGGTACAAGCAAGAGACATGGTAGGACCCTATGCACGTTTTCTGCTAAAACAACGGCAACTCAATGCCAGAGAACGACAAGTCGTTGCTGAGTTATGAGAACAACAAATAAGGTAAAGCATAGAGGTTAGACTAGACTATCCCCTGTAGATGATTAAGTATCGCTACTCTATCATTAAGACACAGATTTACAAAAACTCCAAAGATTTTTTTTTCTTTTGGTAGTCAAATTACAAGCACTTGCTACACACTCGAAGCCCACGAGCAGGAACGAAGACCTATTGCGAGCCGATGGGTCAGAAGAATGCACGTGATTTGGATCAGCCTTGTCTCGTACATGTACCCTGCGAAGAGAATGACACCTAGCGCCGCTGCCCCATCGGGATTCATGTCCGCTCTCTTCGATCTCGGACACGACAGCAACCTACTGTTAGAGCTCAATAACGTGCCTGTGCGACGATTCCACCGATAGTTCGGATCTACCAGTACTTGTCTCTTGCTCACTCTTCTCCTGCTTTCCGCCTCGTGTAGTGTCCTAGTGTGCCGCCGCAGACCTTGCGACGCAACTGTCTCAACTAATTCGCTGATCCAATCCTACCTGACGTCTACGTTACTTAGCCACCGCTCGCTCCTCCTCCACGAACAGCAGCCGAATAGACTCCTCACGACGTTTTGGACGCCCACATATTGCCTCCCGTCGCATGCTCGACAGGACCATACGTTTACTTCACCAGAAACACCGCCTCTCCACTGGTCCGCTAGTGTCGACACACGACATCATCGAGGCGGGAGTTGGCCCGCAGGAGCGGCTCTAGAAGCCTGCGAGGGCGTGCAAACGAGCGGCTTGGTCGGTCACAAACAGAGCCAAGCCAACGCTGACGACTGGAAGGAGTGGGCTCACCTCCTCGTCTCACATGGTCTCTTGAGCAAAGGCATGGACCCGCACACCGCTGCCTTCACACCACACAACGACTTTTGGCGTCTTGAGATGCTGAAGGTGCAGCACACACAAGCAGATCATGCGGAGCGACTGGCGAGACTCGAGCGACGCCAGGACGACGACGCCAGGATGAAGAGCGTATGGGGAACGTCGAGCCCATTTCCAGGCGTTCTGAGTGGGACGCCGCAGCAAGGTGAGTATCTGGGCTGGTTGAACCATAATGCAGATGCAGAGGCATATAGACGTAAGTTGCTGACTCGGCTAATCCAGCTCCTCTGCACCAGCCGCCAGCAGATGCGTTCTCTGGCTTCGACGACCACGCTTCTCTCATTGGTAGCTTGCACCTGGATGCCGAAGACGAACCCAGAAGACCTGGTGCAACCTCGCGCGCAAACAGCGTTCGATTTGACGAAAGCGCAAATCAAAGCCACTGGTCGCACCCGCACCGCTCGTCCATAGACCTCATTCCTCGCTCTGGCAGCAGTCTAAGCTCGCATCCCATGATTGAGCGGACCTATTCACACAAGTCGGATGGACGGCAGAGCTCCGCCGGTCAGTCTGTACATTCAGCAACTTCTGGCAGAGCCAACAGTCTGGGTATAGATACGCCGTTCTCTGGATTGGGAACCTCGCCTATGGAGGCGCCTGCCTTTGCACCAGGCCTTTTTGTGCTGGGTTCCGTGCCGTCCATTATACGCTGCTGGCTCAACGAGAACTTTAAGCACGATTCATTACTGTACGCCGCTGTGTGCACCGGCTCACATGGATCCTACCTCGACGAGAGACTTGTTGCCCAGCTCGGCTACAAAGAGCAAGTTCGAGACGAGACAGACAAGAAGATCAAGCTTCCTGTTTACTTTCCAGAGGCCACCACCAGAAATGTTTCTTCGTCCCGACCAAGCAGTCCCACCCCTCAACTACCCTCGATCGCAGTCGACTTCACGGTGGTCACTCAACGTTCTGACGAAAACGATCCATCAATCCAGATTTTCATCGGCAGCGACGTTCTCAGAGCACACAACGGTGATGTTCGCTTTTCCACAAACAACATTACTCTGTACGACGATGATCGCTGCAAGCTCTCCATCCCCATGGTACGGCCTGAAAATGAGCAAACTTTCAAGAACTTGCGCACAATGAGCCTTTCACCTTCGGTGCTAGAGGCTCCTAAAAAACAGCCTCCACCGTGCCAACCGTCGTTATCCAATGGACTAAAACAAACAGCCACAAATGGGTCATTTTCTCCAGATTCTTCGGGTCAGCAATCTTCCCCTCGCGTGTCCTTGGATGAACAGCCCAGCCGACCCTCGATTACTGAGGACATTTCCACTGGTTCAACGCGTCAAAGCCTAGAAGACCGCTCTGCTCCCGTCAATGTAGTGACAAAGGTACAATCTTTGGACCAAGCGGACCCAGATTCGCGAGCTACATCATCGACAACCCCTTCTAGTATCTGGGGAACCTGGCGGCGCGATTCTGCAGAGTCGGGGAAATCATCAAGCCAGTGGGCTAAGACAAGCGGCAACTATCAACGCCGAGAACAAGGTATCAAAGTTCTTCGCCCAACGAAATCTTCCAGGGCCGTCTCCGCAACAGGAGCTCCCACAACTTCTGCCCCCACGGTGGAAACGGTTTCCGTCCCAGCCACAAGTCAGTCGAGGTACTTCACCGATGGGGGCCGAAGAACGAACATGGAAACATCAGGGTCAAACCTAAGTCTGAGTTCTAACAGTAAAAAGGACATGACAACACCGATAGCCGCAGGAGCTGGGAAGACCAAATCGGCAAATCCGGTGGGTGGTGCCAGTGCATTCTCCTGGCTCTCCAAGTGAATGTGCAGCACGTTCTAATACGGCATTTTCTCCCAATGTCTTTTTTATTTTCAACCTGTATTCATGTGTTGAGAAAGGCTCCCACGAAATTTGTGGGGGCTAAGTCGAGGTGTGTAGAACAACAGCAGCTACCGCTACCACCTGCGGCAGATTTCGCCTACAAGTAGCTCAAGGAGGTTCTTCAGCCGGCGCGAGCTGGCAGAGCCCCCCCAAATGAAATGATGTCAGAAATTATGCACTGATTTGGTTTGTGTCAAGTATGTGTCAAGCTACAATGAGCGCTGACATTTGCCTTCTCTGTTCCCCTGCTGAATGGAAGATATCCAGAACGCCATCCATGATGCAAACGTGTACCCACCGTGATGAGAGGATGCATAAACGCCAGGTTAACGCCATGCTAACGCACTTCCCTCCAACAATCCGTCGAAAGTATAGATAGCCCAAAGCCTAATTTGCATGATTCAGCTTAGATCAGCTCATGCAGATGCCTAAAAATTCTTCCCTCGAAATGATGCCGTCACCATCAAGATCAAACTCCTCGATCATTGCCACGAGCTCCTCCTCTTGCAGCCCCTCGTTGAGCTCCCTGGCCACACGCCGTAAATCATCCACGCTGATGCCACCTTTTCCATCCACGTCGAACAGGTCGAAGGCGCGGTTTATCTCGTCTCGCGGGTCACGGGCGAGGATCTTGGCCGCCATGATCTGCTGAAAGGACGCGAGGGGGAGCAGGAGTTTGGCGGGTCCGGCGAGCGAGAGCGCACTTGTCTGTGCCGCCTTCGCGCGAGACGCGGTCGCACTCGAAGCAGCGGTGTTGCCGGAAGCCACCGTGTTGGCTGGTACGCCGTGCTGATGCAGGATCGACGTGATCTCAGCCTTGGGCAGGTCGAAGCCCAGCGCCTTCATCGCGACCTTGAGCTCATGGTAATCGATGTGATTGTCCCTGTCGAGATCGAACAATTGGAACTGCAGGCGGGGATCAGCAAAAAACAAAGACACAAGAAGAAGAGAGAGCGAGAGAGAAGTCACTCCAGTCTCGACGAGGGCGTCGCTCTGAGCTGGCCTCTGCGATCACGTACAGCCTCATTGATCTCCTCCCTCTGCTCCTCGGTCAGATCCTCTATCCTTGGCGGGGCAAGAGCAGCTGCCTGTTCCCGCTGTAACCTCTCCCTCTCCGCCCTGTCCGCTCTCTCACGTTCCAGCCGCGCAGACTGCTGGCCGGCCGAGGCGCCGAGTCCTGTCACGCCCGCAGCCCCTCGATTCAGTCCGGAGGTGTAAGGTCGCATCGGCAAAGTCGGGTTCGCCATAGACGGCGCGCACAGAGTCCGAGTTGGTTGTGGGTATAGGCCGGTGCCAACTAAACGAGCAAGGAAAAAAAGCGCAGTCGGAGAGCAAAGACGAGAGTCTTTTCTTGGTCGCAGATACTTCGTCGCCTAGAATCGTTCGTGTCGTCCGCTTTATAGTGGCCGCTATGAGGTATATTTTAGCAAATGTCTCTTCGCCGTCTAATGTGGTGTTATGGTATGCTGATAGGGTAGCATAGTAACGCGCCCAACGCGCCTTCCTCCCAACTTTTCGTGTTCCAGCACGCGCCTGCAGCAAGCTGGTGACCTTGTGGCTGGTGTTACTAATCCTAATATGGACTAGCTCGCGGACAAACTCCATCCTCCTGTGGCGCAAGCATCAACCCCTTTTCGTCGTCTCGTCCAAATTGGCCCTCCGGCGGCCGAACTAACTACTGGCTCAATTTTTCTTTTCCAAAGCAAACGGCATTTGCATACCGCCACGGAGGTACATCCGTACCATGGAGCGATGACCTTGTATCCTTGTCCACGGCGTCTTCCATAGTTCCCCAGGTTTCCTCGCAGTCTGTCATGTCCGACCTGGCACAAAACACCGCTTTGCCACACGCTAGCCCAAGCGTGCTGGTTGAAGCGTCGCATTATTATTACTCCGTACTCCGTATTTCGAACTGGACTCCCTTTGTTTCGCAGACCACTCGCGGCTCGGCACCTGTGCTGGTCTTTTTCTCAGCAGTCATCTCCCCTTTTCCCCCCCCCCTCGCTACACTTCTACCACATACCTGATCAAGCCACAGAAGCATTGTCGTGCTCCAATAGGACAGTCACGCACACGCGACAATGCCAACTTTACCACATCGTACATCTCCTCCACATAGAGCTAGACAGCGCCAAGAAAATGGCCCTAATAATGGCATCCAAAACGGGCGTCGTTTGGATCTGAACCCGTTAACGAGGACTTGGCGAGCTCGAAAGCTTAAGTTTGGTTGCACCTCCGTAAGATGATGTAAAAGACACGGCTGCTCGTCCGCTTCTAACCTCATCTCCTCCTCTTCCTCCTCTTCTTTTCTTGCTCGTCTTGCTTCTGCCCCTCTCCAATCTCGTTCCTTCGCCGTCGTGAGTGCACGATGCCAGAGCCTAGCCATGGGTGACCGACGATATCGACGTCGGCAGACGAGCTGGTATCCTTCTGTGATCATTTCAGCCGGAATTCTCTTCATAGTGTTTGCCGTCGTAAGAATACACTTCGCTTCAGAGTCTATCAGCGGTCGTCCTAGCATTCGTTCCGGCTTGTTTTCCGGCAATCGGTGTCCAACAACACCTCCCAGTCCACCTCTTCGCCTCGTACACACAAATGGAACGTTTAGCTGGGGAGACGTCGCACCCAAGCACCCAGTCTCCAACTACACTAAGCTACCTACAGAAAAGCCGCTGGAGCTGTCTACCATCCAACACAGGTTCCGTAGGCTCTCTGCAAAGGCCAGGGCAAAGCGAAACCTGCGCAGAGACGCTGTCAAAGCGACATTCGTCAAATGTTGGAGATCGTACAAAAAGTATGCTTGGGGCCATGATGAGCTCTCGCCCATCAGCGGTGAATATAAGGATACATACGGCGGCTGGGGTGCAACCCTCGTGGACAACTTGGACACCTTGCTGATCATGGACCTGCATGAAGAATTTGAATATGCTGTCGAGGCAGCCGCAAACGTTAGTTTCGCGCCAGAAGCCTTTGTCGGCCTGGAAGTGAATATCTTCGAGACCATCATTCGCTATCTGGGTGGGTTGCTGTCCGCCTATGATCTCGCCGGATGTGGGGACCAAAGGCTGCTTGCAAAGGCCGTCGAGGTTGCCGACATGGCATACGCAGCTTTCGATACCGAAAATCGCATGCCGTTGGGGCGATGGCGGATCCATGACTTCGCGCAGGACTTGCATCAGGCATCGCGTTTTGGGAGCCTTGCCGAGATGGCAAGCTTCAGCCTGGAGTTCAGCAGGCTTAGCATGCTGACAGGCGACATGAAGTACTTCGACGCCGCCGAGCGGGTTACCAAGGTCCTTGCCGAGCAGCAAAACAGCACCTTGTTGCCCGGTATGTTCCCTGAAAACGCAGACCTGCAGACCCCAGACCTCACTACGGGGACGGTGTTCACACTCGGCGCCAATGCAGACTCCGCGTTTGAGTACTTTGCCAAAATGTACCAGCTTCTTGGAGGTCGCGGACCTATGTACAGGAAGCTATATGAGTATTCCATGGACGTCGCTATCGACAAGCTTATTTTCAAGCCCAGGACACACGACGGTGCAGATATTCTCATTGCGGGCGACTGGCACGCACCGTACAACGGCTTTGGCTTGGCGCATTTAGAGCCACGCGGCCAACATCTGACGTCCTTTGCGGCCGGCATGCTCATGCTTGGAGGCCGTCTCTTCGACAACCAGACGCACGTGGATGTTGGTCGCAAACTCGCGGACGGCTGCGCGTGGGTGTACCAACATATGCCCTCCGGTATCATGGCCGAAACGTGGAGCATGACACCGTGTCCCTCTAAGAACGGGACGTGCACCTACGACCCGCTCAAAGCGGTGTTTACGAGCTTCAGAGACACCCGCTACCTGCTGCGTCCTGAGGCTATCGAGGCCATCTTCTACGCATACAGGATCACAGGCGACGAACGCTATCAGGACATCGCGTGGACCATGTTCAACAACATCAACAACAAGACGAGCACCGAGCTGGCTAACGCAGAGCTTCAGGACGTGACAAAGGAACAGCCCGACCAGGTGGACAACATGCAGAGCTTCTGGATGGCGGAGACCCTGAAGTATTTCTATCTCATGTTCAGCGAGCCAGATTTCATCAGTCTGGACGAGTGGGTTTTCAACACCGAGGCGCACCCGCTAAGAGTGCCCCAGAGCTGGAGGAAGAAAGTCAGCCAGATTGTCGAGATCGATGTGGATCTAGATCTCTGAGTATGATTTCAAAGCTCTCGCCGAAGAAGCACAGCAATCACCAAATTGACGTTACATCTTCAGTGTTCAAGAACTCCATAGCTTGTTTGAGATTGCTGTACTCACGTTGTGCGCGAACTTGCAGTCACGGTCGCGCCTTGATCTCATCAATGTTCATACCACGACCCTGGAAGACTCGTGCTCACCATCCTAACTTTTATGGGAAAGTTTGAGCCGTACCCGGGGCGCTTAACTCACTCCGAGAACCGGGAATTGAAGCGTCAAGGGCAGCATGGTGAGCGACAAGAATGACTACGTGAGAACCAACGTAGAAGTGGTCGTAGTCCAAAACGCACTCGAACGCTTTAGGTTGGCGATTGTTCTCTGTGCTGCGGATGTGTCGCATGTGGTTGGCCACGAATCCACTGGAACCAGGCGCTTCATCGACATGAAATGTTGCATACTTGCTCATGGACTCTATATGCCTGCATACGCTCATGAAAATTGCTGATCGCGGGCAACATTCAAATACCCCGGCAAAGTCAATAGTGGACGCAATTTGGTCTGCCTCGTGCCGGCCCAAAAGGCTCCCATCACTTCATTGAAAGACACTCTGCAAGATATGAAAGCCTCGTCTGCTGAGGAGAGTGAACGCCATACATACTTCGCCTCACTTCTACTTCGATGACAGGTAGTGGGGCGAATGGACAACAAACGTGCCCATCTCCATCAGACGCGAGACAACTCAATTAACCGCATGCGTTTAAACGGCAGCGGAGTAAGAACGACTCAGAAGGCGAAAAAAAAAATGAGACGGCTGCGATTCACTACGGTCGCTCAGCTGGAGCCTGTTGGCTCGCCTGCATGAGTAATGTCGGCTAGTATCTGATTTGGGAAAGTAAAGGGCAAACATGCGCTACACATTGTCCACCAAAGTGTTGGAAGCAGGATATGAAGTGATCAAGAATTAACAATTCTGGTTTTTTTTCTCCTTTTATTTTTCTTTGCTTTCCCTCTGCATCTCACAATTCCGGTCTGAAGCTAATGTCTGTCAAGTCGTTCGAGGAAAACTTTGCTCTCGGCGAACACCCCTACCCTGCTCGTTTCATGACGTTATTGTACACGCTTAACCGCGAACAGTCCACATCGACAATGAATCATCTCCAGATCACTGCCGAATTCGCACTTTAACGGGTGGGGGGAGCTGTATTTTACCGCCCTGAACTTCGCATATTAGAAATCATACGTCGATCAAGTTTTTATTTTCAACACCTGTTCGTTTGCTCGCCAGGGTGATTGAGCAATTGCCGCTTCTTAACTGCCGGGTTACACCCATACAAGCTCATCAACGTGTGCGGATCCAACGCGGGGGCGTTTGTCCTGGTACAATTCATCCCCAGCTTGTTTGTGCAGAACAGCAAGCATCACGCGAACAGCGTCTTGCTAGGTTTCTTCCCGTCATAGCCGCTCACTAGCCTCAAGGTTCAAGGTTACCTGAATTATGTTCAGAACCAGATCGGCTTGCGCTTGACTCAGCTGCTCCAATCAAGATCCCTTCGCATGGCCCACTCCGCAACTAGCCTCGATGGGCTTTGCCATCTCTAGATATTCTCCGCATGCAAAATCATGTCTTCACCACAAATAATTGCGCACCAGGTCGTGCCGTTTGCGCCCCGCAAGAAGGGCTTTGTCCCCGCAACGGATGTATATGGTCTGCGGGGAAAGATTCACCGAAGCTATACAGAAATTTGGAGTCGGTTCACCTGTTTGGTGTGATCCGGGTCTTGCTTTGGAATAGACCAGTATATAACAGCCGAGAAGTGGAAGGGGAGAAACAGAAGAATAAGAAGAGGAAAAAAGTTCAACGTTCCCATGCATTTTCCGCGCTGTCAATCTTCCGAATAGATCGGCTTGAACACGGCCAGAAGCCATGATTTCCTTTGCTGCTCTAGTTCTGTGTCTCTGTCCTGCACTGGTCTCTTGTAACAGTTACAGACGATCCTCCAGTGCACCTACGGCACAGACCAAGAATGGAACGTACCAAGGCGTGTACTCGCCCGAGTACGACCAAGACTTCTTCCTCGGCATGCCATACGTGCAGCCTCCCGTGGGCGATTTGAGGTTTCGAAATCCCGTACCGTTGAACGACAGTTGGACAGGTACGCGGCAAGCGACGGAGTATTCTGGAGAGGTAAAGAAGATCCGTACAGTGAACGCAAGTTTTTCTGTCGAGCTAATCTCACGCAAAGTGCTATGGATACTCATCCGATCAGTGGAACTACAAGGTGTCTGAGGACTGCCTGTACATCAACGTGATCCGGCCCTCTGGCTACGAGGGGCAAAAGCTGCCCGTGGCAGTCTGGATCCACGGTGGTGGATTCACGGCCGGAGGCGGCGTTGACCAAAGGTACAACGCCTCTTTCATGGTTCAGAACTCCGTTCACATCGGCAAGCCGATCATGGTGGTCAACTTCAACTATCGTCTCAGCGCCTGGGGCTTCCTTGCCTCCAACGAGGTCGCAGGAGTCGGCCAGACCAACCTCGGTCTCAAGGACCAGCGATCTGCCCTCCAGTGGGTTCAGGAAAACATCGCCGGGTTTGGCGGCGATCCGAGCAAGGTGACCATCTTTGGCGAGAGCGCGGGTGGCGCATCCGTCGGCTACCATCTGACGGCGTTCAACGGGCGGGACGACAAGCTGTTCCGCGGGGCCATCATGGAGAGCGGAAATCCGGTCACGTACGGCCGGTTGCAGGGGCCTGAGGACTACCAGGACATGTACGATGCCATTGTGAATCGCACCAACTGCAACGGCACGCTGGACACGCTGCAATGCCTTCGCACGGTCCCGGCGGAACAGTTCAACGCGGCCATCAACACGACGACGCAACCGTTGACCGGCTTCAACCCCATCATGGACGGAGACTTCATCTTCAAGTACACGTCTCTGCAGCTTGCGGCCGGGGACTTTGTCCATGTGCCCATCATCTCTGGCGCCAATTCGGACGAAGGCTCCGCGTTCAGCCCTCTGGGGGCTAATTCCACGCAGGACTTTTACAACATGCTCACGACGGGCCAGAACGCCGTGCCGCCGGCGTTTGCAAACATGATCCTGCAGGCGTACCCGGACGACCCTGCCGTCAACGTGATCGCGGATCTGGGCGACGCGAGGACCAGCGGGATATTTGGGACGCAGTTCCGCCGCACGGCGAGCTACTACGGCGACATGGTCTTCATCGCCAACAGACGGCTCACGTGTGCGACGTGGGCTACAGCCGGCGTGCCCGCGTACTGCTACCGCTTCAACGCTTTGACAGCGAACGTCGTGCCGGAGATTGGCGTGACTCACTTCCAAGAGATCGGCTTTGTGTTTCTCAACCTGAATGGGGTCGGGTACCCGCCCGTGGCCGTCAATCCGTTCCAAGGCAAGCCGGAAAGCTACGCAAACCTGGCGCGGTTCATGGACAGCAGTTGGGTGTCGTTCATCCACGATCTGGACCCCAACGCGTGGAGACAGACGTACAAGTGGAACGGCACGGAGGAGATGTGGCCACGCTACGACGTGAACAACCCGTTGGATTTTGTGTTCGACGCGAATCGATCCAGTTATGCGGAGCCGGACACGTGGCGGAAAGAGGGCATCGATCTCATCAACAACTACAATGTCGGGGTGTACCATCGATGAAGATGAAGAGAAGAAAATTTTCACTTGGCTCGCGCAGGGAGGAGCGGCCGTACGTAGTTGGCGCTGTTCGTGTGGAGAACTAAAAAGAAGCAATAAATGAATTAGTTCAAAATGACCTTTTGTTCGCGCCGTTCGTTCACATCTTGGCCATGCCTCCTCAACTTTCCACCGTCATGGCCCTCTCCGGAATGCCGTCCAGCGACAAGCATATCCTCCGCACGTTTCTCCTCAGGAAGCCCAGGTGAGAGGTGGAAAAGTGCTTCAGCCGCCGCTCGAGCGTGTACTGCTCCTGCCGACACAGCGGCCTCAGAACCAGATCGACAGTCCGCAGCAGATCTCTAGCTTCTACCACCTCGCTGGGGTCGCTGCGGCTTGGTCGCGGTCTGTCCGCTTCAACGGCGCTGTCGTGCCTATGGTGCTCGTGCAGTTGGGTCATGCAGAGATGGTCCATCAAGCCCCGCTCTTCCTCGACCGAATTCGATCGACCCAGACGCAACCTGTGCGGCTTCGCCTCTTCCAGCCTCGAGTGGAAGTTCAACGTGAGCGATTGCACCTTGATCTCGCCATGACGCACGTGCTCGAATCGCGGGCCACGATCGATGAATCTCGCGATAAGCGCCAGGATGGCAAAGGCCAGCGTTCTGCAACGGTCCCTGCCGTGCTGCTGCGAGCCGTCTAACGGAAAGTCCGGGCCCGCTTCGTCGACGAAGCCAAGCAGTCGGACGTCGATGTCCAGTCGCGAGACGTCCATGCTCGTCACGGGACATCTCAGCCACGACGGCAGCATAGTGAGCTCATTCTCGATGACGAGGTCCAGTCTGTACGCGACACGTTTCGTCTGGAGCATACGCGCTATCTCCTTAACCTCGCGCCGTACTCGGCTGCTTGACCGCAGGAGGCCTGCAAAGGGCAGATGAATGGTAATAGGATAGCGGATGCATTTCTCGACGGCAAACTCAGCAACGTCGGCTCCATGGCGATGGATTCTTTGCACCTTGTTGTCGGAGTCGGCCGTGTGCAATTCCAAGAGCGATGAAGGTGGGTCCAAACTTGATGTAAGCACGTGTTGATAGATCCTGAAGCGGATTGGCTGCGGCAGGTCCCAAATCGTCAACATGGTCGGACGCTGTATCCTGGGGACGGCCAAATTGGGATCCGTACGCAAGTTCAAAGGGAGCACTGGCGACAACAGGATAGTAGTCATTGTAAAGGCAGGTCCATGCAGGCACTGCAATTAATATTTGCTCAGGGAAACAGGTGAGGGGACAGACGAGATGGCGCTGAGAAGGAAACGAAATTGGGCGAATAGAAGACGAAAAGGACTGATGTCCTCGTGGCACTAGAACATTTTTCGATCGACACGCTGTCCGGCATCGGCTCGTAGGCCAGAGGACGAACTGTGATTGCTCACGCTTGAAGTTGAACGAGGAGTTACGGCGCGGTTGGAACCAGGTAGTTTACACAAACAGCCGGGTCGACTCCGGGATCTTCAGACATCACAAAGCGAAGAGACCAGGATGATCCTTTTGTGGCGATCAAAAAGGCTATGTCAGCGCCGACCAAGTCCCAGGAGTATTCCAGCGAGCCTCTGACCGTCATAAAAATTGCACATCTGAGCGGCAAAGCAGTCAGGGCTGCCGTACGAGTCGATCGTACGCTTAATTCTCGGCGCGGTCCACAAATCGACTGTGCGAGACACATCTCCGCTGCAGTAGCCGGACAAGTTCTTAACTTTGTGGTGTATTGAATTCGGACTTCAATTGAGTGATTTTGCCAGGACTTCGGTCAGCACCCTAAATGACTGTTAGACCGGCGCTTATGCCGCTGTGAGATTGACACCAATCGGTCCAGAGACACGATCTTTTCTATTATGTAGCCAACGCTCACCAAAAAAAAAAAAATTCTCTACTTCTAGCCGTCATATGTGTGTGCCACACAAAAGCCAGCTGAGCTACTCTGATTGAAGTCGTGTGCACGTCGAGGCAAAGCAGCGAGAGGGCCATGCAGAACCGTTCAGCAAGCCTCGGGCCGTCATCTGAGCAAAGAAATTATACAGAAGGACAGTGTGTCCGACCGATACTCGGCAAAAGTCAAAAGACACATTCGCTTCACGGCCATTCTTGATTAAGCATCTGCGGCTTGGCCGGATTTGCCTGCATCCGAACGAGCACGTCCAAAATTGCCGCTTGGTTCTGGGCCGGACAGAAAAGATGAGATTGCGCTTTGGACGTCACGTCTGCATCGGTCCTCACATCTGCGCGGATTCGCCGAGGACGATCTGGGAGCTTTCCTTCAGTCAAGGGCAGACTACAACCTGCCTAAGAATCAGCTCGTGAAACGAGGTTGGATTCTTTTGCGTAAAGGGTGAAGCCATGGCAGCAGAGGGATTGGCCTTTCTCGATCGTCGCAAATCTCCTCTTAATTCCTCCAGTTTGTACACGTAGGGTCTGAGACCGGAGCGGGAATACCCTTCTCAAACAGGGCCTCAACGGGACTGGCTGATGGCGACACAGAGAGAAACTGCCATTCAGCATGTCAATCCATCCAATATGCATATATACGCGCGGACTCTCAGCGACGGGAGGGAGTGACGAAGTGTATGGAGACACGTCCTGGACATCAGAGCCTCATTTCCGTTCTCTCTTTTGTTACACCCACATATCTGCTTATTAGCGTCAAAAAAAACTAGTGAGATATTCGAAGCGTTGGATCAGAACGTTCTCAAGAGTCGCACCTGACCGTGAGACTGCTCTCCTGAGAGAAAAACACACAGATGAACAGGGGAGCGCACATCCGACTTGGCGAAAGAAAACAAGACGGTAACGACCGCCTACATAGCGAACTGGGAATCCAAAGAGGCTCTGGCCAAGCAAGAAATGGACAACTTTTCTTTGGAAATTTAAACATTTGGACGTTTGCGATCAACTTGTGAGACTAAATAGGCAACGGATTTCATTCTCGGAATGGGTATATCAGACGCGTGAGAGCCGCAGTGTAGATCCTAATGTTGAAGCGAAAAACTGCTTCAGCGTCTGCGTGGCCGCTATTATCTGTTGCTTTGTCGTAGCTAAGAAGTATATCATCAACGCCTGACGGTACGTATAGGAGGGAGTTAATCGAACAACGAAGGATAGGGTCCTTACTCGGTTTGACAGACCGTACAAAAGGGTTTGGACAGAGTTGCTAAATGAAGAGAATGCAGATCGAAAATAACAAGCTTTTTTTTTCAATGATGAATCTTCGGAGATTGTCGCCGACGGCGTTTCCCTTTTATTTATTAAATATTATTTTGTTTTCGCGAGGACACCCCCTCCACCCCCTCTCCCTTCTCGCTCCAAGATGGTGAAGCGGAGCCGCGATCGCCGTGGTGTAACCATGGCAAAGAAGAGCGGCGCAAAAAGGGCGACTGCGGTTCCTGTGTCGGCCTGCTGGCTACTTGCGAGGTCGCACGGATTGATGGGTGTGTGATAGACTTTGGAACTACACATTCTCCACAAGCGCGTCTCCGACCCAGCTATCGTCGCCGCGTTCGGAGTCCTTCCGGATGCCGTACAGCTCGTCCAGGAAGGCCGGTACAAACGTGCCTGGGCCCTTGACGTCCGGCCTGCGCGACGCGCGCTCGGCCGCAATTTCGTAGACCAGCAGGGCGGCAAGGGCGGCCAGCAGCCTGTCGTCGCTGCGCACGGCCAAAAATGCCGCGATGGTGGTGCCGAGCGTGCAGCCGCTGCCGGTGATGTCGGCGAGATAGTGGTGGCCGTTTCGCACCGTGAGGGTGCGTTCGCCGTCGGAGAGGACGTCCGTGGCGCCGGTCATGACGACGACGTTGCGCTCACGCCGCGCCAGGTCGCGGCAGAGTGCGGCGCGGTCGGAGATGGAGACGGGGCCCGCACTTGCGTCGACGCCGCGCTGGGCCCCAGAGCTCACTCCGGCCAGCGTGGCGATCTCGTTGTAGTTGCCCTTGATTACGTCGAAGTAGCCGGCGGCCAGGAGCGTGTGAGCGGCATCCTTGCGCGCAGACGACGCACCCGCGCCGACGGGGTCGAGAAGCACGGCGCCGCCCACGGCGTTGTAAGCACGCAGGGCCTGCGTGTAGTTGGCCAAGATCTCCGGCGTGACGGTGCCCATGTTGATGACGAGGGAGCCGCCATGGCGGGCAAGGTCTGGAGCTTCGACGCCGTTGTTGGACATGATGGGGCTGCCGCCGACGCAGAGGGCGACGTTGGCTGCGAAGTTCTGCACAACCAGGTTGGTCATATTGTGACACAGCGGCGTCACCTCGGCAACGCGCCGTACGAGAGCGGGGACTTCCTTTGCTACGGTGTGGGATGACAACTGCTCCGTCACACCTCTCAGCGCGAATGGAGGTTGTGTGGTGACCAGAGAGCGCAGTTGCTGGGCTGCCGCAGCGGGATCCTCTGCGCCGACGATTGCACTGACTACGGCGATGCCGTCGAGGCTCCGCCGCGGACAGCTCGACTGGTAAAGCACGCGTTGTGCATTTCCTGCGTTGACACCACCAATGCACACCGTCTTCAGATTGGGAAAGGCGTCGCCCAACGCAGCGAGCATGTCGCGGATCCCGGCGGGACCGACGATCGACTTTGTGTTCTCCTTGCTGGAGCAGCGTTAGCAATTGCAAAGGCTAAGAGACGTTTCGCTTGTGGCTCTCTGAAGCACCAGACATTCCCCCTTCCTTTCCTGCACAGATGTACTGGGTGGATGTTGCTGGTGGGCATGGAACTGGAACGGCTCACGTTGGGGTGGCAAACACGGTGCCCAGACCGAGATAGTCGGCGCCCGCTTTCGCCGCCGCCACAGTCTCCTCGACGGACGAGGCGGTCACGCCGATGATCTTGTCGCTTCCGAGCAGACGGCGAGCGGTTTCGATGTCTGATGTGCCCCTGGGCTGTCAACGAACCGGCTCAACGACGGGATCACGGGGACGCGAAAGGGACGGTGGTTCTGAATCTGAGGGGGGATGTGGGCATGGTTCATGTGCGTACCCATATCATCCTGACCAATGTGCACGCCCTCTGCTCCGATGGCGAGGGCAACGTCGACGCGGTCGTTGATCAGCAGCGGCACGTTGGCGGCCTTTGTGATCGCATGGAGCTCCTTGGCCATGCGGATCAGGTCGCCGGTGTCGCTGGTCTTGTCACGGTACTGGACGACTGTTACGCCTGGGATTCACATGAGCGCGTGGTCGGCAAGCTTAAGACGGCGGTGCGGAGCGGACCTCCTTGGATAGCCTGGCGGACGACGGTGGGCAAATCACGGCCTTTGAGGATGGCATCGGTCGAATCGGTGACCAGGTACAGAGAGTAGTCGACGGAGCCAGCCATGGCAGCAGTTAGCTACAAGAGAGCACCGGGTGAAACTGGTGACGGGATGCAGAGCGAGCACGTGGGGTCAGGACGGCGGAAGAGTGGGCGTGCCAGGGGGAGGGCGACAGCAGAGAATACGACGATGACGACGATGAAGATGCTTCTGAAGTCAACGGCGACGATCGTCGCGAAGACTAACAAAAATCACTAGCACCGAGCGACAGCGGCAGAGCCAAAAAAAAAAAAAAGGGCAGGGATCATGTCCAATGCAAAATTTTTCCTTAATTTCTTAAGATTTTTCTCCTCGTCCTTTTCCGGGCGACCTGTAGTCATGGGCACGCGGAGACAGAGGAAGCAGACGGCCACCAAAGAAAGGAACCCGGCCGGCTGGACTCGTCGCGCCGGCGGAGGAGGAGGCGGCGAGGAGGTGGAGACGAAGGAGGCGGCGACGGCGGCGACGGGGCCGGTTGGCTGGCACGGGGGCGGCCCAGAGATGGGCCAGGCGCTCACGCGTGAGCATCGCAGCGACGACGGCCGGCCGACGGGCCCGTCAAAGCCAAAGTCGCGGCCAGAGTCTGGGTCTTACGTAGCGGGTGGCGTGTGGGAAGTAATTTTTTTTTCCTTGCTGGCGCCCGTGAGTTGTCCCGCTTCGGATCCAACTCGCTCTGTTCGGCCTCTTTTAACCGTCACCACCGTCAACTCCCCAACACCCAACACCAACTCCACATCCATCACCATCACCACCGCTCCTGCGGCCTACGCTCTGCTGTGCTCGCCTCGTCGCCCCCTGCAGCAACTTCAGTCCAACGCTGCAACCCCGCTGCAACGCTTCTGTCCGGCTCCCGCTCCACGCACACACTCGCACTCACATACTGCCATCCGCACCCTCCTGAACGTCCTTTGCCGGCCCCCGCTGTCTGTCGCCGCCAGCCCTCTCTCGCGCTGCCCTGTTGCACGCAGACACCTTCCCCGCGCTTCCGCCGTCGCCGACACGTAGCCTGTCAACAGCCGCCCTTCTCTCGTCGCCCCTTCGCGTCCCCGTTCACAACTCTTCCTTCGCCCTGCTCCAGGCACCCCACACACGACCACCAGGCTCTCGCGCTCCAGCAGCAAAAGGGTATATGTATTCGCGCCCGATCCACGATTTTCAAATCGACCCTCCGCCCAAGCTGCACACGTCTCGCATACGGCGAAGGCCGGACAGCGGACATCACAAAACCAACGGCTAACCGCCCCCCTGTACCGCCCGCTCACCTTCTCGCGCCCGTATTCTAGAAAAGGGATCCCAAGGACCTTATCCGCGAAAGAAATACACCAGACAGGCATTCACGTCGCCCCGCGCGGTCAACCGACCATCCGTCAATCGTCTGCCGGCTCCAAATCCGCGTCAGGAAATCCAGATCCAACGGAGGAACAACCGCATGTCTCCGTTTCCGTCACCGTCGCCGTCGTCGTCTCTGTCTACACTCGTCCTCAGTCGCTGTCATCGACCTTAGATTCCTTCCGCCACACGCACACGTCCCTTGCCTTGAGCTTAAGTGAGACCCGTTCTGCACTGCTCAGCTGAAACCCCTACGCGTCGCCACAAAGGAAAAGGAAAGAAACCAAACTCGTCTCATCAGCCTCACCCATCAAGATGGCCACCATCAACATTCGTCGTGATGTCTCCGACCCGTAAGCAGCCCCTTTCCCTAACCTTTGCCTTGCGGCACACGTTTTGACAGCACTTCTCTTGCTCGTCATTGACGTGTCGGCCGTGTTTGACCATTCATTCGATTGCCGATCGCTAATGTCTGCTTGCCCTGTCCAGGTTCTACCGCTACAAGATGGAGCGCATCCAGAGCAAGATCGAGGGCAAGGGCAATGGCATCAAGACCGTCATCCCCAACCTGCCGAGCATCTCTCAGTCGCTCGCACGTCCGCCCAACTACGTGATCAAGTACTTCGGCTTCGAGCTTGGCGCTCAGACCAACAAGGATCCCAAGGACGACCGGTGGATCATCAACGGTGCTCACGACGCCGCCAAGCTTCAGGACCACCTCGATGGCTTCATCAACCGCTTCGTGCTATGCAAGCAGTGCAAAAACCCGGAGACGGATCTCAAGTTCAAGGACGGCCGTATCCTGCTGGACTGCAAGGCGTGCGGCCAACGCACCGAGGCTGACCTGCGTCACAAGCTCAGCTCCTTCATCTTAAAGGATGCCAAGTCCGGCAAGGGCAAGAAGGACAAGTCGACCAAGAAGGCCGAGCGCAAGGCTCGCAAGGAGGCTGAGCACGAGAACGGCTTGATGGCAAATGGTGGTAGCCCCCATGACAGCAACTCGGACCACGGTGGAGCTGCCGTCGACGAGGACGAGGCGCTGGCTGCTGGCAGCGACGACGAGCTGACCCGTCGCATCAACGAGGATGCCAAGGGCATCGACGTCGCCGACACCGGCGTCAAGTGGTCTGTCGACACGTCTGACGCTGCCGTGGCTGCCCGTGCCAATCAACTGCCTTCGGACTTTAAACGCAATCTCACGCTTGACGACGACGACGAGGAAGGAGCCGAGGGCAACGCATACGACTCCTTCGGCACCTGGATCCTAGAGGAGGGTGAGAAGGCTGGCGGCGTCACCAAGCTTGACAACGCTGCCATTGGCAAAAAGGCCCAGGAGTTTGGGATCGACAAGAAGCACAAGACCATGACCGTCCTGGCTCAGACGCTCTTCACCAAGGACGTTGTGTCGCCCAAGAACGACGAGATTGAGGAGCGCGCTCCCCTGCTTCAACTGGTATGTTTGTCCTCACAAGTCCATCATCCCCTTTCCTCCCAACCTCTGTTCTTTTTTTTTTCCCCCCGGCTCAAAATGAGTCTTCCATCCTGCCATGCTGCGCATGTGCTAACGCAGACCTGCCGCAGATGATGAAAGGCTCTGAACGCCATCAAAAGGCCTTTTTGGGTGGCATTGAGCGTTTCATCGAGAAGAACGATCTGGTGCCCAAGACGTCGCTGCTGCTTATCAAGCTCTACCAGGAGGACCTGCTGGACGAGGAGCTGGCCAAGTCCTGGGGTGCAAAGGCTAGTAAGAAGTACGTTGACCTGTCCACGTCCAAGAAGATCCGCCAGAATGCCAAGCAGTTCCTCGAGTGGCTCGAACAAGCCGAGAGCGAGGACGACGAGGACAGCGACGAGTGAACAGTCCGCGGCATGAAGACAAGTATTCCGCAGCTGCGCCTGTCTTTTTCTTGGTAGGGGTTTTTCCCAATCGCTTGGTCACTCAAGGCTTACTGCTTTGCGTTCAGAAGTCAAGCCGACGCACACGACCACGGCTTGAAGCTTTGTTCTACTCTTTTGTTTTTGTTTCGCTCTGTTTTGGATTTCTGGAGTCTTTTGACTGCCCACGGACCACTCTCCTCTTCTTCTCCCTTGTCATTCCTGCGAACTTTTTGTGTTGATTGGCAAAAGCCGACTGCATGTGTCACTTTCCCCAACTCTAGCAGTAGACAAAATTCGAAAAGTTGAACCCATGAAGACAACTCTCGTGTGCGTGCGCGCTCCTTGTCTTTCCTGTGACGAACAGAACCTGAGTTCCGATCTCCCTCCTCCTCCTCCTCCTCCTCCTCCTCCTTCTTCTTCTTCTACGTTTGTCTTTGTGGGACGAGATGACTCCGAAAACTAGCTTCATCGCACCCTGATATAGCCGGGCGCCTATTTATTCTTAGATGCAAATGCAAATGCTGTATGCCCAAATGGGTTTGTCGTCGCACTGGCGGGTTCGGAGTTGATTCCGGTTCTGTACTTGGAAGGTCGCCCAAAGCTCATCTGCAGCTCCGATATCGGGTCCATTGAACGTCCTGCAAACTTCCAACATGTTGACGCGGTCGAAGCCCGATAGCGACTGGTGCAGCATCCAAACGCGGCGGCAAGCTCTTGTCTGCAACGTCAATCCCAAGACGAAGGGCTCCTTGAACATCTATCGAACGTGCGTGCGGGCTGCTGCAAGCTCCTCTTTGGAGGCCCCGTCATTCGCCGTGTGCGCGCGGTGCGTCTGCATCTTGCACCATGCTCGAATCGCGATGGAGCAGGCGCTGTGAACAAGTTCGCTGACGGACAACAGGATTGAAAGAGTCTGGATACGGAACGAGATCGATCGCGGGTTGTGGCTGCAGCAGACGTGTCCTGACTGGAGCCGAGACCCGTCTGAGGGGAGAGCTCGTCGATTCAGGAGAGTAAGCGACGTGTTTGACGACAACGGCCATGGACACCAAGGAGCGCAGCGGCGAGGCCCTCAAGAGTATGCCAGTTCCCCTCCTCTTTTCAACCCCTCTTCCGTCTTCGCTGCCACCGTCTACGTCTCCCGACACCGCTACCCCTTCTGGAGAAAATCGTCGCGACTTCAAGAACCAAAACATTGGCTAACCAGACGGGGGGAAACCTCTCCTGCTCCCCCTCGGCTGTACAGAACGCATCGCCGCCCGCCAGAGCTCCATGCTGCACGCCATGTCTGACATCCTGGACGCCTCGATCCCGCCACCGAGAGACCAGCGCGACCCCATGAGCGTGGCAGCCCGCCAGCTGCGCACCCAGTTCAGCACTCAGCAGCTCGTGCGCAGCTGCGAGGACCTGCTGTCGCTCGTGCGCTGGATGCAGGAGCGCTGGCTGTTTGGCAACCTCGAGACGGTCCGCCCCGCGGCCGCCCAGCTCCCCGCCGATGCGGACGCGCGCCAGATCTTCGACCTGCTGACGGCCCTCGATCGCGAAGCCAACGCGCCTGTGCCAGCGGAGGAGGCGACGTGAGGCCCCAAACCCGGAGCGGCGTCAGGGTGTGGGGAGGCGAAGAACCGTCTTTTTTGAACGACAGAAAGAATGCTGGGCAAGCACGTTCGCGAGAGCATCTTCGTATAAGGTGGGAAAAAGACGAACGAGTTATGAACGAGTCCCCACTTTCCTTTCTTCAAAAACAAAGATACAAGAAAACAAATAAGTAAATTAATGTACAAAAAAATTTTTTTTTTCAAAAAACCAAGCCACTTTCCATTTTATGCAGAAAAGTGGTAAGATTTCACGGTCAACCTCTCGACGCGTGGGCGAAATGCCGCAGTCACAGGAAGACCCCTCCCCCTCCTCCTAGTGTCGCGAGGCAAACTCCGACCCTCGTGTCCAGTTCCAGTCGATCGCAGTTGATTTCGCGCGAGCAGCCAAGGTATGAGGAGCGCACGCTTCGTCCGAAGGGAGGAAGAAGGAGGCGGAACGGCTTTTGACAGCCGCAACGATGCAACAGTGGATCGGAGACGGGAGTAGAATCCAAAGCAAGCGGGGGGGAGGTTAGACGAGATAGTAGGGCTATTTTTTTTTTTTTAAAAAAAAAGGAAAGGAAAAGAAAGAAAGAAAGAAAGAAAAAGAATGGGGGAGAAACAGGCTAATTCGACCAAATAAAAACGTTTTTTACATTTGCAAATGCTGAACATGAGTCTTATTACATCCCTAATGCATCGGGAGAGAGTTGGCACTCGGCGCCAGGCCAAATCCACACACACAAAACATACACTCTACTATGGACAGACACGTCTCGCCCGGTCATCTCTCTCCCCCCTTTGTATTGCTTCTGATTGGAAAACAGTCGTTCTTTTCTTTTTTTTTGGGCAATTTAGAAGAGAAAAAAAGAGGTTGGGCACGCCTTCTACGGTAAGAGGTTGGGCGATCTTTTTCTCTCCTTCTATTCTCCCTTTAGCTTGTCCTGCCTGACACTCCACGCCATCTCCAGCAGTTCCTTTTCTTCCTTCTTGTGCACGCTCTTCAGGCCGGTGGCGACGGAGGCGCTAGGAGCGCGTCCGGCGTACATGACGTGCTTCCTGTTGTGATGCTGCGTCTCGTTGAGAAGGGTCTCGATTCTAGGCTGGGTAAAGCTCCATCCGCCCGCGTTGAGCGGCTCCTCTTGGGCCCAGACCAGCGTCTCGGCGTTAGGATACGAGTCCAGGTTGTCCTTGAGCTGCTGCCAGGGGAAGGGGTGTAGTTGCTCCAGGCGCGTAATGGCCGTCGTCTTGTCGCCGAGCTCCTCGCGGTGCTTGACCAGTGCCGTGTACACCTGGCCTGTGCACATGATGACGCGCTTGATCTGGTCGCGACCCTCGATAGTGCCGTCCTCGTGGGCCGGGTCAGGGATGACCCATTGGAAGTGAGAATCGCCAGTGAATTCCTCGATGGACGAGCGGGCCATCGGATGACGCAGAAGGCTCTTGCTAAAGAAGAGAATCAAGGCTGGAATGTGTTTTGTCAGTCATACTCGAATTCGGAAAGGAGTATAGCACCACATGCTGTAGAATACACTTACGTTTTCGGAACTGTCTGTTCATCTGCCTCCTGAGAAGGTGGAAGTAGTTGCTAGGCTTCGTCACGTACGCAACCTGCATGTTGCAGTCCTGGTGCTGGCGGTCCAGCTTGTCGGGAGAGGGGAACACTCGCGGGTCCTCGTTGCAAAGCTGCAAGTAGCGCTCGATACGGCCGGACGAGTGCTCTGGACCTTGGCCGTCGTAGCCGTGTGGTAATGAGAGCACGATACCCGTACGTTGAAGCCATTTCACTTCGCCGGAAGCGATGAATTGATCGATGATACACTGTGCGTTGTTGGCGAAGTCGCCGAACTGGGCCTCCCACATGACAAGGGCGTTTGGCGACGAGAGCGAGTATCCGTATTCGAAGCCGAGACTACGTACGTTCTGTTAGCTCAAGACATGGAACGAGGCTGAGGATGGTAAACACGTACACTCCGTACTCACTCAACGAGCTGTTGCTGATGACAAAGGTGGCCTGATCCTTACTCAGGTTGGCAAGTGGCGTCCAGGTCGCTTCGTTCTCCTGATCGTGCAGCACAGCGTGACGCTGCGAAAAGGTGCCACGCTCCACATCCTGACCGCTGACACGGACGTGATGTCCATCCAAGCAGAGCGAACCAAACGCCAGAGCTTCGGCGGTAGACATGTCAATGCCCTTGCCCTCGGACACGGTCTTCGTGCGCTGAGCGAGAATGCGCTTCAGGTTGCGGTGTACATTGAAGCCTTCTGGAGCACTGCCGATGGCGTTACCAATCTTGACGAGCGTCTCCCGGTCAACGGCCGTGGGTAGATGAGGGAGCACTTCGGTCGCGAGCTCCTTTGGCGACTTGAATCCGTTCCAAGCAGACGTAAGCCACTCCTTCGCGGTGGGTTGGTAGTCCTTGCTGCGCGTGAAGCTCTCCTCCAGCATGCCCCACACCCACTTCTTGTGCTCGTCGATGTCCTCCTTGGTGAAGGTGCCGTCCGCGAGCAAGCGGTCAACGTACTTGTCCAACGCGGGCTTTTGCTCGGCAATCTTCTTGTACATCAGAGGCTGGGTGAAGAAAGGCTGATCCGTCTCGTTGTGGCCCTGTTTGCGGTAGCACACCATGTCGATGACGACGTCCTTCTTGAACTTGGCACGCCAGTCGGCCGCAAGTTGGCAGATGAAGTTGAGAGCTTCGACGTCGTCACCATTGACGTGGAAAACAGGCGCGTCGATGGCCTTTGCAATGTCGGAGCAGTATGGCGTGGAGCGGGCGAAACGAGGATCTGTGGTGAAGCCGATCTGATTGTTGACGATGATGTGGATGGTGCCACCGGTCTGGTAGCCAGGCAGATTGTAGAAGCCGAGCGTCTCGTAGACGACGCCCTGTCCTGCGAAGGCGGCATCACCGTGAAGCAAGACGCCCATGGCCGTGTTGGCTTCTTTCTCGTCGCCGTTGTAGTGGAGGATGGCACGGGTCTTGCCCAGCACGACGGGATCCTCAGCTTCCAGGTGAGACGGATTGGCGACGAGCGAGAGCTGCACGCGCTTTCCAGACGGGGTGGGCCGCTCAAAGTTCATGCCGAGATGATACTTGACGTCGCCAGATCCCTCGTCGGCTGGATCTGCCGTGCCGGAGAACTCGCTGAAGATGGACTCGTTTGGCTTCCGGACGACGTTGCTGAGGACGTTCAAGCGGCCTCGGTGCGGCATGCCGATGACGATGTCCTTGACGCCATAGTCGACGCTGCGATCGATCAGAGCCTTCATGCCTGGAATCAACGCCTCGCCACCCTCGAGACCGAACCGCTTGTCGTTCGGGTACTTGGTCGCCAGGAAGGCTTCGAAACTTGTGCCCCAGATGAGACGGTCCAGAATCCTCCTCTTCTCGTCGACCGAGTACTTGAACGGCTGCGGAATCTCGACTCGTTCCCTGATCCAATCGCACTGCTCACGATCTGGAATGTGAATGTACTCGACGCCGTACGAGCCGCAGTACAGCCTCTCGCATGTGTCTATGATCTCGCGCAAGGTCATCTTCTGTCTCGTCTCCGTCTTGAAGCGGGGGAGAATGCCGGGGCCCAGGGTGAACTCCTGGTCGAGGTCCTTCTCGGTGAAGTTGTAGTGCGACAGCTCGAGCTCCTTTGGCTTGCTGTACCACGGCTCGTAGTCGGAGCCTCTGATGCCGAGCGGGTCGATCTTGGCCTTGTGGTGGCCGCGGGCCTGGTACGCGCGTACGAGCAGCTGCACCTTCAGATGGTTCATCGTGTCGGAGCCGGCGCCAATCTCCATGCCCATGCCGGGCTTGAAGTCGGGCAGGCCGCCGTGGGGCGGAGGCAGGATGGTCGGAGGCGCTTGGAAGGCCTGTTCGATGGGCATGTCGCCATCTTCCATGTTGCGGAAGTAGATCTGCCACGAGATGTGCACCGACGACGGGTCGTTCTTCCATTGCATGTACATCTCGTCGATGTAGTTGGCCGTGTTGCCCTGCAGGAAGGCGTCGTTGGGATTGACGCCCTCGCCAATGGAGCCCTTTGGCTCCTCTGCGCTGGACGCATAGCTCCTCGTCTGATGGGAGCGGCACACGACGGCCATGGCTCTGCGTCTCGACGCCACGGAGGCATTATGGGATGCTCTGCTGAGCGACGACAGGCTCGCGCGCGAGCACGCCTTGACGCCGCCACCGCAGCGACTCAATGAAGCCCTCCACATTGCGCCACAAAACGATCAATGGAAAGATGAGGAGGAAGGGGAGAGGAGAATGGGGATGATGGAGCTCATCCAACAAGGAGGCGTGTTCTGGTGAAGACAATGGCGTGTGGGATGCCAGCGTCAGAGTTGAGAGAGAGCGAAGAAGCTCGAACTTGGTAAGGCAGGATCGGGGACGGGGGCTAGGGGTGGCGGCGCGGTTTTACCATGCGCGTTGACGCATTTGCCGGCCAAGGTCCGGACGATCCCATCCTCGCCTCGTTTCTGCGCAAGGCGGAAGCAGAAACGCACCGTCAACGCTCCTGGGGACGAACCCGCACCGCTTAGTCACAGAAACCGAGCAAGGTGATTGGAGATGGCGACGAGAACGCGGAACTGCCGGACCCGAGCCGCCACCGCACCGCGTGAGCTGTCCCCCCGACTGCCGCGCACACGGCATGCGACAAGCTGGCGCAGTCAAAAAGAGAAGGGCGGAAGATTCGTCGTCCTGATGGCCGTCCGGCCTCGAGCGCGACGAGCGCGTTCGACGGGTCCTTGGTGCTGTGCTGGAGCCGCGAAATTCATCCGGCGTCATGCTTGCAATTTGTGTGCTCTGGCCAGCGCCGACGCCCATGACTTAGCGAGCTCGCTCGAGGGCGGCGTCTATGAGTCAGCCTGTGGATGAAGCTGAGGGCGGCAACTCCATCAACTCAATCCAAAGAAGCCAGCTGCTGTTCCGCCGTGGGAACAACGGGTCAACGTACAGGTGTGCAGGCGGTCCTCTTTGGACGCCGGCCTGGCCTGCTTGCCGCAGACCGGACAGCCGTTGCGACGACGGATGGCGGCCGATCCCGACACCAACGATGGTTGTGGTCAAGAGCTGGAGACCGGCGTCGCATCCTAACCTCGATGCTTGGGGAATACACGTATCGGGAACGCTGCGTTCCTTTCGTTCGCAGCAAGAAGACAAAAAGGAGCAGAGCGTGCCTACGGCAACCACCACGGCGTCTACCTCACACCTGTTTGCAGATCACCGTGAAGTGTTTTGGTGTGTGGGCAGATCGTGACGTAGGACGGGCTCATGCGATGCTCCGTCAATCAGCATGCGAAAGGCGAGGCTGGGGGCGAACGCCTGTATGTGAACTCTAGAGCACAGCAAGCAATGCACGAATGAAAGCTTCGCTTCCAAATCAAGCCCTCCCATTTACTATAGCGGTCAAGAACAAGGCGCTGGAAGCGTTGCTCGCTCTGTACTTTGCGCAAGCTGTTCCGTGAACGCGACGTCGCGCAAGTGAATTCAAAGCGTGAAAGCACAGCCTCTCCATCCTCTTACATCCGCTGAAAAAAAAAAAAAAAAACAAAATAAGAAAAGAAAAGTACAGGCAAAAGATTCATACAGGATCCAAGTCACGCCACTCAATCTACCCCCGCATACAAATCCACAACAATGTTCACGGCGGCGACCAGAATCTCGGCCGCGATGAGGACCACGACGATCCACTCCAGATACTCTCCGTGCGTCTGGCCCAACTGCTCCTTCAGCACGCGGAGCAGGTCCTCTAGCACGCCCAGCCGGTCCGTCAACAGCTCCACGCGCTGGTTCATCTCCAGGTACGATCGCACGGCCAGGTACACAGGCTCAAGCTGAGGCTCTGCCCACATGAGTTCGGGCGTGTCGAGAATAGAGCCTTGCAGATGAATGTTGATGCGCAGGATGAAAAGCTCGCCGATCTGCATGTTGATCTCCTGACGCTTGAGCGCGATGCGGCCGGTCAGCGCCAGTTGGGTGGGGAGATCCTTTGTGGCTTCGATCGTGGCATCTACAAGGGATTCGTACAGGGAAGTCTGCACTGCATGTTAGCTGCGACGGTTGATCGATTGTGACGAGCAGAGGGACTAACCTTGACGCTCTGGCTCAGAGCGTGACTGATGGCTAGTTTGGTCATGTAGTTCTTCTTGTCCCGCAAGCTGATAAAGTCATTGTATATCCGCGCCTGGTACTCTTTGGTGTAGTAGAAGTTGAAGTCCTCCGTCTGCACGGCGTCCTTGTCCAACTTCTCCTCCTCGAACTTGGAGATCTCCTTGAGAAATCGGTGCTCTTGCTGTTGCGTCATGCCCCAAATCACCACCGTGCCGTAGTCAAAGATGAATATCTCGGGTATGTCTACGTCGATGTCGAGATCGCCGTCGTTGCTGTTCGATGGGCCGGGAATGCCGTCCGGGACATCGTCGTCTTCGGCGACCTGGTCTGGGACGGTGACTGTGAGCATGTCTTGGCCGCCGTCGAATGAGACGTCAGCCGCTTCGCCGTGTGCGTTCACAAGGTCGTCGCGCCGCTGTTCGTGGCCGTCAACTTCGACCACCGAGTCGGAGTATCTTCTGTGCACCGTATAGCTTCCCTGCGAGCCAGACCGCCGCCTCTTCCTCAGAGGCTTGTCAATGGCCGGGTGTTCGTATCGATACGGCGTGTACAGGCATTCGTCGAAACGCTTGGGCGCAGCGCCTCTCGACCTCGCCTTGCCCTTGAGGAAGCGTGTCAGGTCGTCCAGCCTGTACGAGCCGGCGGTGCAGTACGCCGTAACCCTAGGCAGACGATCTCTGTCCGCTTTGCCTAGCCTTGCAGCATCTCGCCTCGCTGTCGGATCCGTTATCCGCGTGAACTGCGAGTACACTTCGCGGCCGGACTCCTCATCGGCCCCATCCTCCCCGTGATCTGGATCCGGCAGTATCTTCAGCTTTTCGGCATTCTTCGTCGTTCTTTGCGGGCCAATTCGTGACCCTTGCAGGTTTGGAGGGATATAGGGAGCTCCTTGGCTATGTCTTCGTCGAAGTTTGTTGTTGAGGTTGGAGAGAATGCCAGACTGGGCCGGACTTGTGGCAGTAGCGGGCAGAGGAAGACGGACACTGCCCGAAGGACTGCTGGTCGACACTGTGGGATTGAAAGTGACGGTGCGCGGCGGTTTCGGTGGAGTAGTTTGTGAAGATAAACTTGAGCGGTTGGCGATAAGAGGCGTGGACTCGGTCGCCGTCGTCGTCGAAGCCATGGTGCTGGTGCTTGGTATCGAGGTCTTATGAACGGGATTGGCGTGGTGTACGGCCACTGCACGACAACAGATCTCTCCGATCTTGAGAATGAGGCGAGTCAATGGCCATCATAAGCGTGCTAACCATGCAAAGCCGAAAGAAAGTTGTCCAAGGCTCTGGCTCAAGCAGTGCTGGGATGAACCGTAGGTCATAGCTTCGATGCTTTCGCTGATCCACAGTGACGTTGACGGGCAGGCCGAGATTTGGGACTCGTGCTGATAAATACGTACACATGCTTGAATATTCGGCACCGTCCCGTTTCCATGGCTGCGCTGGCTGAGACTGAGTTACCCATCGTTCACACCAACGTTCTGACATGACGATCCGAATGGCAGCGCCCCGGCTTCGTGAGTTATTATCACGCTCGGCGGCCCCAGCAGCGGTGCGTAAAGAGTCAGCCTCGAAGCTGCTGCTTCAAGCGTAGATGCATGTGAAAGCTCAACTGGTCTGCCATCATGCGTTCATTGGTCGAGACCGTCCCTCAGCCGCACGACATTGTTGTGAACACCTTGAAGCGAAGCGGATGGAGGATTGAATGTGTCCAGCATACTGTTTTGATATCGTCACGATACGCATGCTTGATTTTGTTTCTACTCAACGGTCGTGCTGACTGATCACGCATTCTGTCTTCGTTTGCTTCAGGCCTTAGAGACCTCAACCTAAAGACGGGAATCATAGTTACCAAAGTCGAGACTTAATCCTGTTCCAGCTTGATCCATTCATGATGGATACTCAGCCCTGTTCAAATTGCCTGAAGATGGTGGACTTCGTGAATGGAAATCAGCTCAGCCACTGGATTTCATCTGACACAGCGTGGACCCAAGTTCCCGCGTTCGAGAGTCTTTGTCATTACACCTTCGCGGCTATTGAGCAATCTACGTCTGGTGGTTGCCCACTATGTACTAAGCTACATGCGTGGTCAAGGCAACACAGGAACGAAGACGGGCATGTAGGACTAGATATCAATGCTCAACCTAATGTCGCCCAGAATGGAGTATGGAAGTTTCGATTTGGGCTGAGTAATGGCGATGGAGAGCGCCTTTCGAATGACTCCGCTGCCGCGCGACTGACTTTCACATGTCATCCTCTCCAAGCAGACGATCTTGATACCGGTTCCGGCGCCCTCAACTTGTATGATGGCTTCGAAAAGGGCAACTATTCGCTGCGAAACACTGGAAGTCTTCAGTCTCTACAACGGGTCCAGCGTTGGCTTCAGAACTGTGTCCAAAATCACAAAGAATGTTCGCGAGACAGAGATACTGCAGTGTATCCACCACGTCTGCTTTGCCTGAAGAACTCCAAGATCAGACTTGTCAGGGATACGTCCAGCATGATAGGAACTCCATACGCTGCTTTGAGTCACTCGTGGGGCCCAAATCCACAGCAACTCATCTTAACAACGGACAATCAATATGAACTTAGCGACGCCATCCCAGAGAATGTCCTTCCACAAACTTTCCTTGATGCCATCGAAGTCACGAGAAAACTGGATTTGGACTACCTATGGATAGACTCTCTATGCATCATTCAAGCTGGCAGCAACCACGTGGCAGACTGGCTTGGTCACTCAGCCATCATGGGATCGATCTATCAGAACTGTACTGTCAATATCGCTGCGGCTCATGGACATGATGCTCGGGCTGGTTGCTTCGTAGATCGTGATCCGTGTGAAATCGCGCCGTGTGTTGTGCAATTACGCAGAGTGACCAGGATTGAGGTTGGAGATGATGGCGAATTCTCGCTTTGTCGCGATGAAGAGCATACGCCTCATCTGTTGGTCCCAGAGCCGCTTCTTACGGATAACGTTGGCCACTTTCACCTCGACACCAGAGCGTGGGTCTGCCAGGAACGTTTACTGTCGCCACGAACCATTCATTTCGGTCAGAAGCAGCTGTTTTGGGAATGCGGCAGTTCGCAAAACGTCTGTGAAACAGTGCCTGGAGGTGTTGCGATAGACGATCTGCCCAAGCCAGATGAGTTCCCGTACATGGGAGAGGCAATTGGGGTTGGATTCAGTTGGGGAACGATGCGCTTCGAGCAAAGCGTTCCACCGTACAGCTGGAGATCGCCGTCCGCTGAGCTCCAGTATGAGCACTGGTTGAAGACGCTCCATGGATATGTCCAACGCAATTTAACAAAGAGTTCGGACAAGCTTCCTGCCATTGGCGGAATTGCACAAAAGACTGCCGAGGTGTTGAACGATACCTATCTGGCCGGTCTGTTCAAGTCCAAACTACCAGACGCTTTGCTGTGGTCGCGAGTGCAGAAACACAAGCCGACCGGAGGCCGAAGCCAAGACCAGTTCTTTGCACCGACCTGGAGCTGGGCGAGCTTGAATGGCGATCTTGACTTTACTCCTCTAGCAGAGGAGAACAGTAAGCAGCTATGCACCATCATTGCATCACAAATCGAGCCACGGGATGCTATGAATCCCTATGGCCAGATCCTGACTGCTTCTCTGACCATTAAAGCGCCATTTGTGAGGTTCGAAAAAGCCTTGCTTGATGATCCGAAAAGCTGGATATACCACTTCGCACAGCTGCAACTAAAAGGCCTGGCGGGCAAACAACAACTGCTTTATTTCGACTTCGACCCCTGCACACTTCAATGCAGAACTCTTTTTCTGATTGTTCTTAGAGAGAATGCACGACCGACGACATACCCAGGCAGTGGAAATATGGAGGAAGCCGGCTTGATCTTGGCGCCCGTCGTTGAGGGGAACGCAGAGTGCTTTGTAAGGATTGGGGTTTTCAAAGGCATTGAATATTACGGACATCAGAAGAAGGCTGATTACGATCGATACGCAGAATTTACGATAATTTGACTTTTGAACGTGGACAACTGGATCCGGAGCAAGGAACCCGTTTCGTACATCAATATAGGTGGCAAAGCTCATCACGACGGAGCAACGGCCTATGAAATGCTTTTCATTACTTAAGGAGTCAAAATTCAAAGCCAGTGCCTTGTGACTTTCCAGCGTGTAAGTTCAACCACACACGGGGATTCCTTTTCGCTTACGACAGATACATGTGTGGAACTGATGCCATACTTAACCTTAGTTGACAGCGGCTTGAAAGGGATTAGATAATCAGTCAGCCTTGTCCCAGCTGCTTATTGATCTCCCGCTAGCAAAGATTAGCTTTCCTAGCAAACGCCACATTCGAGTGAATCACGTTCTCACGTTCAACTGTTTTCTTTTTTTTTGTTGTGCAACTTAGGCCGTGAGATGCGAGAGAAATTCCCGATGACTTCCTAAGGCAAGGCGACTCCACTCAACCCTTAGAGCAATCGCACCGCGCCTGTATGTCGACGGCTCTTGACGCTGCAAGCTGCAACACACCCCGCCCGTGCCCCGCGATTCGTGAAGACAGTATTGCGCATGCTGTAGAGAACATTCAGAAGATATGACTCTGACAATTCTCACGGACCAGGATGTTCGGCTCCTGCTTCACTCTCTGACCAAGTCGGACATACTCGATATACAGCAGTCGCTAGCGGATGCTCTACACTATTACTCAACGGCGGTTGAGGAGGACGACAATGGCTGCAGTGCGTCGTATCAACCCAGCAGAACACAACTAACGCGCAAGGATGGCTCGACAACACTGTTCATGCCAGCGAACAGTATGGACAGCATGGGCGTCAAGATAGTCACTCTGAGTGAAGTATGTGCTAAGAGCTCCGATCCAGTCGGTCTGCCGAACTTGGACGGCCAACTCAACTTCTCGGATTCAGATTCGACGATCAGTGCAAGGGAAGGCAGCACAACTAGCGAGCCTTCCGCTTTGAGCTCACGCATGAGCTCGTTATCCTTGGGCTCCGGGTCAACCGCGGCGACCAGCACGAGCAGTCATACCACCCCCTTCGATGTGCCTCCCGATCTTACCAGGGAAATGAAGGAAGCCATCAAAATGAAATGTGCTGCTACAAGTCCGAGCGGGAGCTTGACGCTACTGAATCGTGACGGAACAATGAGGGGCCTGATCAATGCAGCCGAAATCACAGCGTTCAGGACCGCGTCGGCAAGCACCATGCTTTTCAAGAAGAGAAACAATGTACACGACGTTGTCATTTTCGGTATGTGACGTTCTTTCTTTTCCATTGCGAGCACGCACTTAGACCTGGTTAGGCGCTGGCAAGCAGGCATACTGGCACGCACGACTTGCTCTTGTGCTTCGAGGCAACGAGATTCACCATCTCAACTTCATCAATCGCTCCTTTGAAAACGTCATGAGCCTTCTCCACGACCTCTACAAGATTCCGTGGCCAGTCCAAGTCCCCCATCCAAAAACTTCCATCATCACCCCCGCTCACAACGAATACGCCCGACATTTAAAGGCTACACTTCGGGCCTCGAGCGCCATTTTCTGTACCACACCGTCGGTCGAGCCTCTTTTCCCGGCCGAGATCCTGACGTCCACCGAAGGGCGAAAGAAAGGCAGATACATCAGTGCCATTGGAAGCTACAAGCCTCACATGATTGAGCTTCACACGGACATCATCAAGCAGGCTGTCAAGCCACACGACCACCACCATCATCACCACAAACATGCCAAGTCGGGTGGCGCGATCATCGTCGATTCGGTGGAGGCGTGTATGCAAGAAGCTGGGGAGATCATTCAGGCCGGGATCAGCCCGCGCGAGATTGTGGAGCTGGGCGAGCTCGTCATGCTGAAACGGGATGCCGAGAGACGGAGGAAGGAGAGCGCTGGCAATCTCGACAGTGAAGGCGTAGAGCTACAGAGCGACAGCAAGAGCAGAAAGAGCGGAAAGGGTGGAACGCATGATCACGACGGGGGCTTGAAAGAGTGGCTTGAGAAAGGGAACGTGATCTACAAGAGCGTTGGCCTGGGTTTAATGGATATCGTGGTTGGCAAGGAACTTTGCGATCTTGCGGATAAGCTGAACGTAGGCACGAGGATAGCCGACTTTTAAAGCCCGCGATCATTGTCGTCTTATGAATGGGTTTCTGCCGTTTTCCAGCTGTCCTATGGAGACAACGTACGACAGTATAAGTAGTCTTCACCTGCCACAACGAGCCTCCGAAGTTGAACCGTGTGACAAAAGTATAATCATCAGGATCGCGGCCGATGGTGGAAAAATACTACGTTACGTCTTTCAGAAACTTGGCACGTTCTTTCCACATAACCGGTGCAGTCCAAAGTTTTCGGAATCAGGCCGGCCTTCATCGGTGAAGCCCTCTAAAGGCTCGCTTTGCATTGTACCTCGAACCCAACGCGTCGCGCACGAGCCGATGGAAATTGCGCGTTCAAATCGAGTTTGCACTTTGGTTCACGCCTGGGAGAAGAGTCAGAAGTCGTATTATTGTACTGGGTGATTGCAATCGTCGGGTAGCTAGGCCCGGTTTGCGCCTGAGCATCGTAGTTAGCCGTCCTGCCTTCACTCATGCCATTCTTGTAACGACATGGTCAAAGCAACCGCTGGCTTTTTACGAGAAGGTTTGAAAATTAAAAGCAAAATGAAAAAAGTGACTAAATGATTGAGCTGTAAAATCTGCCCAAAATTCGTAGGGATAAGCTGTGCCTCAATCGAGATATAATTGGCGCTTAGACCAAAGTAGATTCTCACTGCATCAACAGGTTTCCCTCTCGATCACCGTTCGATGGACATGGGCACACAGTAGCTTATAGACAGTGAGACGAATATTACGTTTCCAAAGGGTTGTGGTACTTGCAATAGGGTATCTTAGATGCTCATAAGCGCTTTATCAAAATCTTTAGACAAAAGCCACTTCCCCGAGCATGCTTGCTCGAACCTGCATGATCGCTGTGATCTCAAGGACAAATTCCTGTAGCACAACTGCATTGGTCAGAATATGACCCAGACTTGCAGATTTCTTTTCGTCATTCACGTTGCCCCCATCGTCTCCGTCTCTACTACTTGCGTTGGCCATGCGATCTCCCTCCTCATGTCCCGAGATTCCAAGGCCATGGGAATCAGCTGCAGACGTATCGATGGGGAAAACGAGACGTTGTTGCATCCTGCTCTCACTCGCAGCCCGCATAACATCTTCAAGCAACTGCCTCTCGGCGACTAGACCCGTGTCAGGAACGCCGGATCCGGAATCGCTGCTGTTCCTGCCCATCCGTGTTTCATGAGGCCTGCTCCTCGATGGAGTCGAGGTCGGATGGTGCTGCGGCGATGACTGGAGCCCCGGCGCATACTGGGATAGAAACCCACCCCCACCGGACGTTGGGCTCGATGTGATGTCTGCTCTTCGACTGCGAGACTGTGATCTCGACGGGCTTGGCGAGACCGCATCCAAAAGTCGCTGCTGCAATGATGAGGGAGGGGCATTTGTTCCTGGAGATGATGATATTTCGCCACCCCCTTGCTGGGAATTCTTCTTCGGATTGTTGGCCTTCACAGGAGGCGGGTTCCGAATCGCATCTTCGATGTCCCCATGCAGCCTAAACACCTGTTTCCTCGCTGCTACAAGGCCATCTAAGTCAGGTATGGCGCTCTTGAGCTTATCCAATTCGGCTTTCAGATCCCGAAAGACGGACATGAATGCCGGTTCATGCTCTAAGGTCCAGCTTGGACGCCTTCTTGCATTTTTTAGTGGCTGCTGCTCATCACCTGCCCCGTCCCCGTCTATAGAGTTGAAAACGTAAAACCTTGGCTCCACTGCTGCCCATCCTTCCAGCCCGAAAAATGGACAGCTGAACAACGCTACCCAGACCTCGGTAACAGCAAGATTCAACTCCACGTTGTTCGTCCAGAATCCTTTTAGACAAGTCAACAATTTTCCTAGAAACATGTCATCTCTAGGTATCGTGTGTGATGCGATGGTGCCGGGTCCAACAGGACTAGGCAGCGGTTTAGTGGCTGTTGAGCCCGTGAAGACACCCAAGTCAAGAAGCTTGCCCGAACATGAGTGCGACTCAAGCAAGCGCATGGCGTCTTTCAGGTGAGCATCGTAAGATTCGTCCAAGCCTGACGGACCGCCGATAGATTCGGCAAGAGACATGTATGCCTCAACTTCGGCGTTTAGGGCACCGTGCGTTCGTTTCTGTGGCGCTTCACTGGAAGTCTGAGGGTGCGTCTGTGTCTGAAGCAGTGTGTCTATGGCATAAAAATGATTCTTGCTCAGTATGACGGTCGTTAGCTTCAGGGCTGCGATGACAGTTTGAGGATTCTCGCTGGTGACACTACTCTGGAGAAGATCGACTAGATTGAAAAGTGCTGGGTTCATCCGGTCGTCCTCATTTGCTGGCTGCGTTAAAAGGAGAAGAGAGCTTTTCCGCTTGATTGCTGTCGGACTGCGAGCTCGTTTTGGTTCGGGCAGAGCAAGGAGATATTGCAATACCAAGTTGATGAGCTCAGCATGGTCAAGGGTGTCCAGTATTTGTCTCAGGTAAGTAAGTACTGCTACAGAGGAGCCGCCATCAATATCCGAAGACTCAAGCATGGATGGGTACAGCAATTGCTGTAGGAAGAGGACTTGGAGGTGATCCAACAGTGTTTGTCGAACGTCAATGGAGCGGCAGTGTTCCAAGACGTCCTGCCAGAACGTCAGGTGCGATAGGAAGGTAGTAAGATGACCTTGAAGATATTCTGTATATAGCCCCTCTGCCTCGGCTGGAGCTTTCATCTCCTGGTAGTCAGATAGCTTGAGTATGATAGGCAAATCCTCTTCGGGGTGGATGATAGACAGTTTTCTTAGCGAATCAGTTAGCACCAGAAACGTCCAGCAATGGTAATGTAAGTATTCACCGGCTCAATTGACTGTACAGAGCCCCCAGCCCCGTAGCCATCAAAGTTGGCATATCGCTTGCAACAATCCATTGTTCTAGCTCCTCACTCTTGCTCGCACTCTCAAAGATGTACAACAGACCTGTTCTCGCAAAGTCGCCTATTCGTCCTTCATGATGGACATGATCGATGAGATGGTAGCAAAGTGGGAAATCTTCTTTGCTTGTCAATCCCACGAAGTTTTTCTCCTTGCCACCAGCGTCCAGACTGTGTCTCCGCTTGTTCGACTGTACCCTGTCCCTGAACCAGACCTGGAGGATCTCAGGCTGCAGCCGGATCTTGGCCGCAATTCCAAACAGGAGCTCGATTATTTCACCCTCTGTGTCTTCGCCCACGTAGAGATTCCCCGATCCTGCGGTTCTCTCCACGAATACCATCAGCGCGTGTGCGAATCGCTCATTTTCTAGAAATCCCTCTTCTTCGCTCTCAATCAGCGCCTGAAATAGCCCGACAGTCTCCCGAATGATTCCCTCATGCTGAGCTACCGCCCCGATCCTGCTTACCGTGGCATAAATCTGGGCACTGGCAGCAAACTGCAGACAGAGATGCGGAGCCGGCGCTCTCGACTCGTCTTGTATGATGGTCGTGAGCCGTTGGAAACAGCTGCGTATAGTTTCTGCAGCAGGCGATTCTGCTTGTAACAAGGGCGATTTCTGATACGTGAGGCGTATTTGGTCATAAGTGCGCTTGAAGCGTGCAAGGCGTTGCTGGGGGGTCTGGGGTGCGTTGTGTCGGGACGATGACGAGCCCCCGATCAGGCGCGACCACTAGGATATTGGTTAGATCATGTTGCCTTATCCACATGGTTTTGGAGAGAAGAAGGGCATACAAAATCCATGGCTACCGAACGGGCATGATGTTGATCGTCTTTGTCTGTTCCGATTATGTTTCTGCCTCCGTACGGAGGATGCTGCGGAGTTTCATAAGAAGGCCCAAAGAGGAAATGAGGTCTCTGTGTAGTTTTTGTACCGACTGGGTCTCAGATATACGCTGGCGCCTCGCGGGACATATCCCCATTGCACTGATTTCGAGCCCCGCAACTGATCGTCAGATTCCTTGTGTCTGAAACACTTTGAAAAGTATACTTAAAACACGCAGAGCGAACAGCTTGACTATCGGATGAGCCTAGGCAGTGAGCATCAATGGGTTCAAAGACGCCAGAAACGCATCGCAGAGATGCTTATGGTATGCATCACACGAAGATACGATCATCAATCCGCTGATTCTGTAACAAAGGCGCTCCTGGAACAGGAGCTATCGACATCGTCGATGGATCAGGCGCAGTCAATTCCACCGGAATCATTCAAGACGATCTTGGAGGAGAAGATGATGACGATGATGACGACGAAGGAGCCGCCTTAAGGACCGAGGACGGACTTGCAAATGGTTTGTGGATCTTCCGTGTCAACGAGGGCAATCAAGCTCATGTTTCGCAAGCAGACGATCAGAAGAAAAAGAAGAAGCGCAAGCCTAATAAGAAGAAAAAGAAGAAGACGAAGTCGAGTGCTTTGCCCTCCACCCAAACATCTCCACCAAGCGTGGAACTTACGAAGCTATTTCCGAAGGAGGATTACCCGCCTGGTGAATTGGTCGACTACGACGGCAAGAATGACAATACCCAGCGTACCATCGCAGAAGAGGCGCGCTATATGCAGCGCCTTGCCGACATGGACGACGACTTCCTGCGCGACTACCGCAAAGCCGCGGAAGTCCACCGCCAAGTCCGTGCCTGGACGCAGAAGCACGCTAAGCCGGGCGTGTCCCTCACAGAGGTTGCGCATGAACTCGAGGACAGCGTGCGCGCCCTTCTTGGGAACCCCGCTGTCGAGCCGGGTTCGCCGCTCCGGTCCGGCATGGGATTCCCGGCTGGATTCTGCGTGAACAACGTGGCGGCGCACTGGACGCCAAACGCCGGCGCGAAGGACATTGTTCTCCAGCAAGATGACGTCCTAAGCGTTGATTTTGGCGTTCACGTCAATGGCAGAATCGTGGACAGCGCATTTACCCTATCTTGGAACCCCGTGTACGACAATCTCCTGGCGTCTGTTAAAGATGCTACGAACACGGGACTACGTGAAGCGGGTGTTGATGCGCGCATCAGCCATATCAGCTCATGCATCCAAGAAGCGATGGAAAGCTACGAGGTGGAGCTCAAGCCCGGCAAGCCTATTCCTGTGAAAGCCGTGCGTAACATCACAGGTCACGACATCTTGCGCTACAAGATCCACGGCAGAAAGCAAATTCCGTTCGTCAAGACATCCAGCAAGCAGCGTATGGAGGAGGGTGAGGTGTTTGCCATCGAAACGTTTGGCTCAACAGGGCGGGCATACCTCTTCGATGATGTCGGTGTGTATGGGTACGGTCGAAACGAATGCGCCACTGCTGCGCAGGTGCGCCACCCAGGAGCAAGGTCGCTGCTCAAGACCATCGATGAGAACTTTGGCACCATTGTGTTCGCGAAGAGATATCTTGAGCGAGTGGGTGTGAAGAACTACCTTCTGCCGCTGAAGGAGCTGGTGAGACAGGGCATTGTCGAGCAATATGGACCGCTGAGCGATGTTCCCGGCAGCTTTGTCGCTCAGTTCGAACACGTAAGTGAATAATTTGACATGGCCTGATTCTTTACTGATTCGATATCATCAGACTATACTGCTGCGTCCCGAATGCAAGGAAATTGTGTCTCGTGGCGATGACTATTAAGTCATTCCCAGCTTTCAAGACCAAAAAAAAAAACCTCATTGTATTTAATTCATTCTTTCCTTGATCTCCATACTTGCTTTCGAGCTACGGTTAAGGTGATCGATTTGGCCCTCCGCTTTCAACAGCAGAAGGGTGTGCTATATCCAAGCCATTCTAACACGGCCTGGAATTGGAATGTCGCAAGACAGTCATTACCTCCATAGTATCGCAAATTCAATACAACGGTTTCACTTTTCGAGCCAATCCAACACAATCTTGAACACGTGATCGCTGTTCTTATCGCTCATCGGGAAATGACTGTTTCCCCTGATCCCCAGATCGGGTAATCTGAGCATTTTTGCACTGGACGTCTTGAATGGCTTCATGATCTTCGGCCACCTGTCGTGGTCGTCAATATAGTCGCCCCACACCACGAGCGTCGGTATTTCCTGGGTTAAATTTTTGGCCGAGCTCGTCCCTCCGGGCTCTACCAGCACCATGCGCTTCACGTTGCCTAGAACCGTTGTCCTGAGCGCAGGATTGCCGAGGGCATCCATGACGAGTGCGGCGCCGTGACTGTGGGCGATAAGCCAGCATTCTCCAATTTTAGCTAAAACGTCCACGATCCCCCTCGCTTCCGCTTGGTCGTTGGTTCGCCTCCGCGACGTCTGGCTCGCAACCAGCGCGTCTAAATGCTCGACCGGAAATTGGCCGTCGTTAAATGGCTTTCTCGAATCGAACTTGTCGGCCTCTCCAAAACGGAAGTTTGTCCATAGCTCCTTTGCCGTGCGGTGCTCGATATGCGCGTCTGGGCGTATATGATCCGGCGCCCTGGCAGACCGACCATTGTCGACTGTGTCAAGCAGGTAGGTGTCGTAGCCTTGATCGTTTCCTAGGCATGACCAGCCGGGCCTAAGATCCGGTGTGGACTCCCATTGAGCTCCTGAGAGGCCGCCCCCGTGTATGAATAATATAGGTGGCGCTTTGGGCTTGGGGGAAGGAGATGCCTTGTATTGAACATAACATTGGTCGACGATGATGTAGGAATGTCTATGAGGTAGCCTTCGACCTTGGGTAAAGAAAGAGACCTTTGGGCGTGAAATTGAAAGAGCCATGGTTATATGGTAGAAATAGAGTGATGCCCAAATTACCTTAAGTTCTCCATTTGGTTCTAAGCAGCTGCGAGGAAAGCATGATACAAAGGTTTATTGTACTTGTTTAAAGCACATGCAGCTGCAGGATGCGGGGAAAGCAAGGTTTTTCCAAAAACAGCAGCCAGTCATGATTTACTCCGATGGCAGATTTACGAACGCAATTGGAATATATTCTTTCGGAACATGTCTTCATTAGCCTAGCCATGCATGGCTGACCGAATGACTCTGTATTTTTAGTCATTGTCAAATCGTATCATCCATCAGCACGTTCATCATAATCAAAATCAAGGTGTATCAATCCGCGCAAACCGCCTAAGGAGAAGGCTAGGTATACAGTTGAAACGAGTTTGGGCACGATGCCATCAATCTTCCTCGGCCTCGGTACGAGCCAGGCTTCTTGCTTTCAGAGCAACAGAGGTTCTTTCCAGAACGTACAGATAATGTGCATCATCAGCGCTGCTCGTCCCATACGGCTTTGCAATCTCCTGACGCTCAATAATGACCCACAGATCCTTCGGTTTCGGTAAGCCTGGATGCAAAGGAAAGAGGCTCTCCTCATCTTCAGCTGTCTGCTCAAAATCGGGGTCCAGGAACCAGAAGCGCGTACTTGAATACGAGTAGGCTATCCATCGAGCCTTTGGGGCGGCGACAAGAGCGAGGTGAACAGCCAACAGCTGCACTGCGTTGACGGTGCCAGTGTACGAATCCGCAATGTCAATCCGTGTCTCGGCACCGTCCCTGTCTGTGTACAAAAAGTACGGTATAGAGATTTCTGCAGTCGCAGCGCAAGCAATCGCATCACACGTAGACTTATCGATGATAACGGAGTAGCCTCCTAACATGCAGTTCGAGATGACGGATTGCAACGAAAGGAGATCGACCTCGTCCCATTTCATCATCGGCATCTTGGGCTCTGACGCTGCAGCGGCGGAGGAGGATCCGCCCGATTCGTCTTCCCATCGACTATCAAACATTGATTTCTCTCGTTCTCTGCCCCAGTCGATAACCACGGAGGAGAAATCAACATTGTGGACCTGGTTCGGATCTCGGACCTTGAACCGCAAATTGAAAGACAATTCTGAGTTCCCGCAGCCTATGTGTAGAATACGCGGAGCACTGCCTTGGGCACTCGCAAGAGCGCTATCGAGGGCTTTGTCGAGAATGCCCGGTCCATTGAGCCAGTCATAAGCTTTAGGATTCTTCGTATATCGATCTTCCCAATACTGACGCTGACCAAAGCCTGGAGTTTGAGCGGTCATTATTGCTGTCGAGCAGTGAAACAGTGAGCAGGATGTGTTTTCATGACGACAATAAGACAAGAGGCCTGACGAGTAACGTAACTTATCCGGTCAAGACGACAACTCAGAGCCGGCAAGGATGAAGGATGAATGGAGGCAAATGCCCTAGGCCATTTTTGTACTAGCGCGCCCATTGAAACACGGCCAGAACTCGCTGTCGTACTTCATCAGTCGTGCCGAGTAGAAGGACGACGCCTATCCACGGCAATTGAAGATAGCCTGAACATGAACGATCATCGGCATAACTGTCTTCTCGGTCTATCCCCCGTCTCTGGGTTTAGGATCTCATGTTCGTCCCCAGAAGAGATAGCCAACCTCTATTCCATAAGCTACAGCTCGCCTTAAGTTAGTTATGTAACTAGTAACATGTGCCACGAAGCCTACCTGATCCTGGTCAAGACATCGAGTGCCCGAATATCCTGCTGGCTTTTCATCCAATGTTTCGGATTCTTCAGCAATTGTTGAGAATATGAATGTGGAACTTTAGGATTTCAGAGGCCAGATCCGAGCGTTCACAGTAGATCCAATTGCTGAAGTTTCGATTAGACGACTTTATCTCATGGAATAAAGCTGGAAAATGTCCCGAATTCAATTGAATTGATAAGCTTGCATCTTGATGCCAATAGTGATGGCGTCAGAGACTTCAAAGTTCCTGGGCTCGAGGCCAGGCGTCTCTGCACCATGGCTGCACCCACCGTATTTTCAATGGATCGCGTTGACATGGCCATCCATGTCTTCTGTATGAGACCTGCTGAAGCACAGGTTGCGGTCGCGGAAAACGATGTTTGATGTAGTGTACGGCAACTTTCGAATGACGGCACAAAGGGTCTTGAGCCAGTATTCAAACAGTGAATGTGAAGTGATAGCGGAGAGAACTTGTAAGATAACATATCCGTTTGCTCTCATATAATGATTCAATTACAGACTCCTCAAGATTCGATCTACAGACAGGGTCATCCTCAGACACTTAACGTACGTATTCGAGTCTCATTGTGATCTCATGTCTCCCTCAAGGTAAGAGCAATGATAAAGCAAGCAAGCAATAAAAAAAGTAAAATGAAAATCATGAAAATGAATATAGAAAAAAAAATTGAAAACCAAAAAGTTCAACGCCAGTCAAGATGGTTGAGAAGATCCATCTCTTGACAGCTGATGTGAAACTGCTTCCCAGAGACTTTGGCATGTTGTCACAAATCCAAAGGAGTTCTCGCAATTGAATTCCCAAGCATCATGCGCATACTGTGGACTAGTCGTACCGCACCCGTCTTTAAGCAGGATACAATTGTATCCAAGGCTGAATGCGTCCATAAGCGTGCTACCGACGCACTGATCCGTGTTAACGCCGCCGAAGAACAATGTCGTCAGACGGTTATGCTGCAAATATTTCTGCAGCAGCGAATCAGAACCCCACATTCCTGACATGCGGTTCTTATGTATCCACGCATCGCCTTCGCCGGGCCTGTAGTGTGGCGCTAGCGGTGGAAATAAGGCTGCATTCCAGGAGCCACGATACAAAAGCCGGCCAGCATCCATTTCTTTGGGACCGCCTTCAGCCGCCGAAATGGTGACTCGACCCATCTCGGAGCCAAGGCCTCCGTATGTGCGATCCGTCCTCAGAAAGCCGTGCCGGTCTAACACTACGTGCTGGTCTAGGTGGTGGCCAGCACGGCCGACAAAACCGAAGCACCGGCTCACAGCCGGCGGCATGGTCTCCATGTCTTCATCCGTTAGCCCCCAATTCAACCACACGATGCGAATTCCCGCTTTCCTCGCGGCTGGGATGGCGTATCTGATCAAATTTTCGGCTGCGACATGGCCTGCACCTCGAGCTCGCCCCATCGCATCAGAGAGGAAGTAGTTCTGCATGTCGATGATGACAAGCGCGGATTGAGAGCTGACGGTGCTGATGTATGCGCCTGTGGAAACTCCAATCTTGAGGGGGCAGTCAATCGTCGGATCATATGCAAATCCAAAGTTGCGATGGTTCCCCTTCGATTCGAAATGCCACGCTGCTTCGTCCCGGCCTATTGTAGCCGAAACAGCATGCCCGTCCTCATCGTGATCGCTCATACCTTTTCACGACTCGCTCTGAGATGCGGACTCTAGATCATCAAGCATGGGAGAGGGTCAGTGTTCATTTGATGAGTACACTGGCGAGTTGTCCAGGACCGTGTTGATCCTGACTACCCCTCCTCTCCACTTTTGGGATTTGCATGCAAGAGGCTGAAGCAGATATTGGAGCACGAACCGCGCGCGCAACTGTGAAGCTAATTCCGAAATATCTATTGGAATCTCAACATTCCAATGCACTTGAATTTCCTTCCCTTTCCTCTGCGTTTTGAAAATGACAGAGTAGAATAACAAGTCTGGTATTTTTGCAACGAATGGGTTTGTTCCTATCATGGGAATGCAACCCGCCTATTGATGTCAATTCACTACAGCTGTGGTATCACTTTATGATGATGACTCATCTTCACACGACGCACATTTTCCTTTCTAAGGTTCACACAGACTGTTGGCTATTTCCTCCGAGTCGAAGATGACTGTTGGGACGACAGCATCCTCAAGCGCAAGCCTGTATCCTAGCAGCAACAACGTTGCAGAACGCTCGATTGAAGTCTTAGATTCGCATAATACGGTGCATAAGGTATGGAGATCGGTAGCACATGTATGACCTTGCGACTCTCCCACCGCCTTCGCCCCGAAGTGCGGGCTGGAATCAATTACCATGGTAGCGGGTGCCTCAAAACGGCGAGAGAGCCAAACTACGCGCAGCAACCAAGTAGCACGCAAATGATGAAAAGAGATTTTTCGTGCACTACACATCCACGCAAACATCAACATCAGACTTCAAAGGTTGCATTAAAATCTGAATCGTCGTTATGCCCGGCGTGAGTTTCCTAGACTTCCCCGCGGAAATCCGCCAACACGTCCTCTTCGAGTCAATAGCCTTGGACGAGATCGAGGCATACATTCAGCGAGAAGAGTACCAGAGGCAATGCGCCATCACGGCAGAGAACAAGAGAAGATACGGTTCGGACTATGCGTCTTATATATACCGCATCGCCGTGTGGAATCACGTGCAGCGCTTCTTCAGTGCACACTTCCAAGCAACTAGACAGGCGTTCAACCACGCCCTGGATGCAGACATTGGGGCAGCGATACAGCTGTGGAACAGAAAACTGGCGCGTGAGAGGGAGGAATTCAGCTGTCGATGCCGGGACAGAGTCATACAGCTCTTGCTCACGAACTTGCAGGACGACACTGACTTTGCCACCATCTGGTATATCAGCAACGAATAGCAAGGAAACAGAGCGGTTCCTGGCGGCTGGGGTAGCTGCACGTCTGCATGGACTGCACGCTGCTGACCAGACTCGCCGACGGTCTCAAAAGACTTTCGTTCTCGCCATTGCCGCAAAGCGAAGAGAATGAGCCCGGCGTAGGTGACGATGGGCGGCTGCGCAAGATTCCGCGAGCCAACCTCCTGTACGCTCGGCTAGCGACAGAACCGGAGGACTCGAAAAGATCCAACGGGCAGAGAGAAGACGAGAGTCGAGAGGATTTGCTGCGCTGCTGGCGAGCGAGATCCATGCAGGTTCCTGCTGCTAAGCGCCCGCGTCGGCCACTAATCGTGTTGGATCACGCTCTAACTACATGAGGACGACGACATCGCCCAATCATCAGGCATAGCGCCCATATTGCTGCACATGCCCGTTTGCATTCACCGCAAGCATGCCACTCACGACCAGCAAGATGGAGACACCCTCGTCCTTAAGCATGGCCTCATTCGCGTCGTCTCTTCCAACGCACTTTCGCTATCACTGCTGGCAACGCCTCTCTCCTGACTGTCCAGACTGAGGAACACCCGATCATCACACGCCCCATAAGAGGCACGCTCACATCCCGCATGTACTGGCTCTCCTTCTCTTGTCCCTTCTTCCAGGCATAATGCTACGGAGGGCAGCAGCTCTACTTACCGCTCCGCTTCTTCTGTCGATCGCCAACGCCCAGGGAACAGTCGTTGTGACTGCTGCTTCCGCGACAGTGACCTGCACACGTTTCCACCGGACGGGCTTCTGGGACGTAGACATCGACAATTGGCCCGCGCTGCCTCCCGAGTGTGGACCTCCGCTCTCGTTCAACGCGATCCGCAACAAGAGCAAACTTCCCGCCCAGATCTGCGGACTGGTGGGAGCGTACATCTTCTTTCTTGTTGCGACCGGAACGCTTCTTCTAACCTGGGGTCGGCGTTTGCGAAAGAGAGCCGAGCAGGCCACCGGCGCACTGAAGGAGATTGAAATGATGAACAAGAGTGACTACGGACTGGCCAGTCCCGCGCCCAGCCATGGCAGCTGGTTTAGGAAGGGCCTGAAGCACTTGAGCCACTCGAGCAGCAACAAGAGCCCCCACCCGGATTATCCCAAAAGTCCTGGCATCGAGTCTGTAAACAGCTTCGACGATCGGGTCATACAGAAGGACAGGGAGGCCGCGCAGCAAGAAATGGACCGGCTTTACGCCGCGGTGGCCAAGCACGAAGAGGCGCGGAGATCGCAGGCTCGCATCTCCAAAGCTGAATCGAGGGAGTCGATGCGATCCGCCGTCACGACAACGGACGCAATCTCTGCGGCCGGACCCAAGCTCCCACCAGCGCCCGACGCCCGCAAGAACCTGCGGGTGCAGATTTCGGAGTTGCCGCCAAGGGAGATTCCTAACAGCCCACGCAGCCCTCGTAGCATGAATTCCCAGGGCGTACCCAAGTCACCGTATCGGGCAATCTACCCGTCGTTCCCGTCTCCGGGTGCATACAGCTTCACAAGCAGCCACCAGCCTGCCACCCCAATGACCCCCTTCTCTCCAGGCCGCGTTGAGCTGCCAGACGACATGTATCCAGCGAGTCCGCCGCCCAAACATGTCCACATGCAGATACCGCCCAAGAGCTCAGGGAACGACTCGTCATCGAGCAACAAGTCCAAGAAGCTGCAGGCGATCAAGAATCTTCGCATCGGTGGCAACAGCGACGCCAACGCGGAGGATAGACAGCCGCTGTCGCCGACTACACCTGCCGGTGCTCCACATGGCTACGCTGAGCCAATGTCTGCCAAGACATTTGCCACCAACGAAAGCGAGGACTACTCCCGAGAGCGCTTGGACGAGCCACGGCCTCTCCCAGCGTCAAGACCAACTCTCCAGATATCTCTCCCATCGTCGCCAAAGGCCAATCGGTCACCCGTGGGAGGCACGCTGCCGCTCCGGGCCTTCCAGAACAGCAGCGGGGATTACCCGATGTCTCCCGGCCCTGTGAAGCAGACCATCCTGGAGCGTAAGAACGACCGGATCGGTCGTGGCCCGTTGACGGCCAGGACGCCGAGGACGGGCGTGCCCATGACGCCGTACACCCCGTACATGCCCTTTACGCCCATCACTCCCGTCACTCCTGGCCTCATGAGCCGCAAGATGAGAAAGGAGCGCATCAAGGCGCAAGGCCAAAGGGTGCTTATGGAGGAGGATGAGGTGCCTGACGAGGATGAGATGTGGCAAGGTTGATCGTCAAACGTTCGACGAGCTTTCAATTGCGTCGTCTCGGTGTAACTTGCTCAACTGGACTCGGGACCTCTTTTATTTTTCTCTCTACATAATTGTACAACGATTGCATTGAAAGATAAGCATGCACCGCACCCCCCACCCCTCGAATGTCGGTCACTTCTGCTGTAGGAAATGGTTTGGGAGTTTATTCTTGTTTATTTCCAGAAGCTGCCACTCTCTTGAGAGCGTGCGGACGTGTCTCGAGCGGGAGACTTCTTATTGATACCAGAACCGATTAGTCTATGTAAATGCTATCGAATCACTTCCATCTCCCAGTCCGACAAGTCACCTCTTTCAATCATTCAAAGGCTTTTTTCCCCACCATTCACATTCCACATCGTGTCTCTCAATGGCAGGCTCACGTTGTCCCCGTCGCGATTCAACTGTGTGCGAGGGGGAGCCGTGCTTGAACGTTTCAAATGCCTTCCAATTCTGATGCCCAAATTCGAAGCAAGTCACGCTCTTGATAGCAGAGTTTCATTCATATCGACAGTGCGTATTATCTTACACTCTGAGCACACATGCGCCCAAGGACGTCCGCGGACAAAAGGCGCCTGTAAAAAAAAGTAAAATAAACTATGCCGCTAAACATTAAAGACACGATCGCCCAACACCTGTCCCGTCTATTTCTTCTTCTTCTCCGGCCCAACGACACGCGAGTAGAATCGTTGCAGATGGTAGTTGATGTTGTTCCCCTGTGGCTTCGTCGTCGCCTGTTCCGTGTGGTGTCAGCAATAGGCCGCCGTCGCCTGACGAGCAGGGCCGACGAGACATACCTTCTGGTCCATGCATATCCGCAACTGCTGCTCCAGAACCGCGCACGCTTTCGCGCCCTGTCCGCTCGACGCCCAGCACCCCAGCACCGAGGACATGATACCCATGCATGGGCTTTCCAGCGTCTTGTTCGGCTTCTTGACCTTGAGGCGCGGCAGCGGCGGTAGCCGCGGCGCCTTCTGGATGCTGACCGCGGACGAGCCTGGAGGCTTTGGAACCATTGTTGAGTCTAAGTCCTTTTTTTTTTCCTTCGAGGTATGCGTCGATAGCGTGAACGTCTCGGCTGTGACCGTACGCTGCGTAGCTCGATGGGAAATGCGTGCGGACGTTGACGGGCAAACTCGAATGCAAAAGCTTGCGATGCGTGCGGGATGCGAGCCGGCCGCGCAGAGCAAGAGACAGTCTCCTACGTTTTCGACGCGATGTGTCACGTTAAAGAGCTTCTCGGTCGTCGGAGGGCGAATTGAGTCGAGGAGAGCGTTCCTGGTTGACGAATTCTGATGCCAGTCTTGGATTCGCGGGCACGAGATTCTCCAGGACTTCCTAATCGAGCTCCGCAAAGTCCCAACCCTGCCTAGCGCGCCTCGTTGGACATCAATCAAAGCCAGGATAGTTAATACACGTTAATTCATAACATCAAACGAAATTTGGTTGGACGCATTCAATAGGCAGGTTCATGCTGGAATTCATATAACTTTACGCATGGCTTCGTATGGATCGGATGGAGGAAAATCTTTTCTGAAGATAAGTTGAACGATAAGCTTCGACACCAGTTCTGCTGGACGAATACTGTCCTTTACGAACAAGAATTGACTTCGTTGATGAGATTGATCGTATTCACATTCTTCGCGGCAATAAACGGAAATACGGAAGCAGCAGAACAACTGCACTACCTAGCATGCAACTGCCGGTGAAGTAAATGAGATCTTCGTATTTGCTCAGCCCATATCCTCCCTTGTTCTTGGAATTATGAATGAGCTTTGCACTGATCGGGCCCACCAATATGTTCCCCCACCCCAAACTGCCGTTGAGGATTGACTGCAGCGCCATCAAGGTCGTGGGATCGTTGGTGATTCGTCTCGCCATGGCCGATCTCATTGAGCTGAACCCATATCCAAAGAAGCCGAACACGATGCTGAAGAAGAGCAACATGACCAAGGATTTGCCAAATCCCCACAGCAAAAATGCAGCCATAGCCGCCATCACGGAACAAATCATCGCCAGGACAGTCACTGAGAAGGATTGTCTGTCGGACAGCGCACCGAACACACATTGTCCCGCAAACTGCGCAACGGCGAGGACGGATAGCAGAAGCGCGCCCATCATGTTGTTGAGACCAATATCGGTCGCATAGGATGCTAGAAATATAGACGGAAAGAACAGACCGAGCCCTTGGATAGTAGTTGATATCGTGTATGTCCAGAAGTAAACGTCCTTGCTGAAAGACCAGTCCATGTGGGCGAGGGTGCTTTGCTCGCTTGCTGGCAGACGTGGCTTGCAAAACGCGATCAATGGACCGGTGAGAATGACCATAGCAACAGCCGTAGCTTGTAAAGTTGTCTTGTAGCCATACCTGTTTAAAAGAGCTTGGAAGACAAACGGTAGTATCGCGCCTGCAGCCCCTAAGTTGGGTGTTAATGCAATTAGTTTTTCCTTTCGTGTCTACAGCGGATTTACAGAGAATCGACATACCAGCAGCACCCATAATCAACCCAAACGCAAATCCCTTCCTAGCAACCCACCATTCGTTGACCATGCTCACAATCGGCCAATACAGAGTAACGAAGCCCAGTCCATACATCAATCCCTGCGTGGCCACCAGCCCAGCAAGCTGGGTAGCCAGCGACCCGGCTCCCAGCGCTACAATGCAGACGATCCATCCCGCCCATATAAAATGGCGCTGAAACTTAGGGAACCGCTTCACGAGCGCTGTGCTCAGAGGCGCGAGGACGTAGACAAGGCCCTGGGCCACTGTCCCGATGATGGCAACGTTTTTCCCGGCGAACGCGGGCACGTGAGAGTAGTACTCTTGGAAGACACCGAAGCATACGGGGAAGCCCCACATTAGAGCTTCGAAGAGAAAAGCTGCAATGAGGACCTTCCAAGCGTCTAAACCGCCATCTGCCGGTTTGAGCTGCTGGTACACGATTTCTTGTCCGCTTTCAGTGTTTGGATCATCCAGGTTGCGGTGCTGCAGTTCAACTGTGGTAGTGCGTGTTTGTGACAACGACATTCTTAACTCTTAGGGAGAGAGAGGTTGAAATAACGAGACTCTTGTCGCACGAATGGACAGCTACAAGCCGTTTTTACGGCGATTGAGCAATGGGTGATGTCGACTTAGAATCACACGGCGCCCAAAAACTGGAGAAGCAGGCGGATGTTGTTGCTAGGGCGCACATGACGACAAGCAGAGTTGCACGACGAGTGTGACGCGACTCAGCAGCACTAAGACACTGAAGGCAGAGACAAAAAGGATCTTCTTACGGCTGCGAAGAGTTTCTATCTATTTTGAATACCACGCTGTCTCGTGTGCTTTGAGTCCTGAAAAGCCGGTGCGGGTGGAGGAAGCGTTTGGAGAAATCGCGTGGTCGTACTTGCCTAAACAGGTTAGGTTGGATTGGCAAGTCCCGCAACACAGTTTCCAGGTCGCAGCTTCCTTTGTTTACACGGTCCCTCGGTCACAGCTTCCGCTTCCCGTTTCCTTCAACACCCCAACACCGCAAGTACGACCCACGCGATCACGTCCCATTGCGCCTTCCCTCGCAGCAAATTCACCTCCATGCAATAGCCATATCAGCCAGTCGGTATATTTCGTGTGCACCATTGAAATATACCTAGTATCTTAGCAACAACAACATGCATGGCCTTGTGCCCGTCGCTCTTCCCAACGCGCCAGACGCTGATATTGGCAAGACTGCTGGTAGCAATGCATTCGCTGCCTTATGGACCCCCTCGAAAGCTGCTGCACTCGACGCGGCCAATGTGCCCCGGGCGAGGACGCATCGTGCATGGGAGCGCAAGGCAACCCAGTCAAGAGGCGCGGATGGCAAGGTGAAAACGGTGTGGAAGAGATATGGCCTGCGCTCACGGCAGCCCGATCTTCTCGAAGCAGAGAGCCAAGGGAAACAACGTAATAAGATAGAAGATGGTGTAGATATCGCTGCAGGGACTGCAGACAGATCTCCCGTCAGGATCGTGAAAAAGTCCCGGCTTGCAAGCCCTGTGAAGGCGGGCTGCAGCGGTGGGAGCACGGGCAAGAGGAAAAGCAGTGCAACGCGATATGAAAGGCGCAAGAGTGGCTACCGGCGTAAGTACAAGTTCCACTTGGCAGCGTGCGCGCTGCGTAGCTAACCTGGGCAACTAGGGAAACCTTTGTCGAGCCTTGCCCTTGGCACGTCAGCTATGCCTGTTCTTCAAGTCTCAGAGATAAAAGAAGCAGTTCAGGATCCTGTAAAGGAAACTACAGTCAAGCAGCCTGACGCTCCCGGAGAGATTGATATGGAACGAGATCATAAGGATACATCAGAACAGGAGGACTCCATGTGTGAAGCGGCTGAGGCACAGCTGCTCAATGAAGCGGGCTTGGAGCCAATACCTGCAGACTTTGCCATTTCGCCCGTTAAATATCCCATACAAATCGCTCAGGATTCACCCTCGGATGTCGAGAAAACACTCCCAGGCGCGACGATGGAAGAGTCTCAGGATGCGAGCTTTGTCACTGTGGACGAGCAAATTGAGACTTTTAGTGACGCGGTTCAGTATCCCGCTCTTGATCGCACGAACTCCTCAGAAGACTCGCTCATCTCAAGATCCGTTGGGGAGGCGGCTGAATCGCAGTCCGAGAGGACGGCAGCCGTAATTCAAGCTGGAGAACAGTCGTGGGCAAAGAACTCCGTACGCTCGATCATATATCCTTCATTGGATATCTTTGGATTTTGTAATGAGGAATGCCATTCTCCGCAAGAAGAACAGTCTCCGACGCAATCGAATACTGGCTGTGCTGATACTAGTTCAGCCGAGACGTTTACGATATCCCTCAATGACGAGACGGTTAATTTAGGCGCGCTTCTTGCTAAGAATGAAAACCTTTCTGCTAGAGTTACAGAAAACGAGATTCACCTGGAAGTCGCCGAGCCGGGTGATGAGTATGAAGACTCGGCGCTGGCACCGGATGCTACAGAAGAAACAAAGGATAATGAATCCCCTGACAACAGCCCCGATGAGCTGTCTATGGATCCTGATGCTACAGATACCTTGACTGAGACCAGCACAGATACATTTACGCATCTGGAAGATGACAGAGCCAAGCTGAGCTCATTTTTGCGGCGCGTTGCTGCTGCGAAAGAGAAGAAGACGGCTAGTGTTTCTAGACGTGAATCTCTTCAGAATCGGCGGGACTCCGACGTCGTCAGAAAAGCGCTAGCATCACCCCGTCAAGCGCTCGAAGACAAAGACACGAATCAATCCCCGCAACGAGCATCTAGAGCCACCATAGAATCCAGCCTTGATATCGAAAAGGTTCTCAACAGCCCAGTTGTAAAGCCCCTAAACACACGCCCAGCTCTAGACCACGAAGAACAAGACGAGCTATCAGCGGAGATTCAGACCGGCTCGCCAAGGCGACGAAGCTCACGAAGCACAAGATCCAAGTTGCCACACTTTTCAAACCAAACTACAGGTATTGCGCCCAGCAAGATTTCTGTGCGCACGGACGGTGGCGAGAAGGTGAATCTGAACCGTACAGAGGCACAGCAGCTTGCCGATCTCGTCAGACGAAATACTAAGAAAAACAAGGGATCATCACTCCCTGCTCCCCAACGTCTTGCGAAGCTCAAGCTTGAAGCTCTTGCAACCATTGTCGACAACAGCTCTCCTGTCGTAGACAAATTTATCAAGCGTGGTGTCAAGACGGTTACGTGGCGGGAACAGCTTACGGAATATGCAACAAGCATCGCCACTGCTGACCTCGAAGCCGACGATGCAACGGCCCCTTTAACAGAAGATGTCATATCTAGAACTGAACCCAAGAAGAAAGCCAACCAAGGAACCCCGAGAATGCGTAAACTGAAGTCATTAGGTGGAGTGAATGGCACCCCAGCGAGAAACGTGCTTCAGTCAATTCAACTTCCCGATGATGTTGAAGACGACAAACAGCCCAAGATTGCCACTGCTACGTGTGCGAATGCAAAAAAGAAGCGTAGCATGATTGCCCCAGCTGCAGCAGCTCCAAATGAGGAGGTTCCGCCCAACTTAACAGCAGCGGACGAAGAAGAGAAGAAATTCCAAAGAAAGAGCAAATTACCTCCACCGAAGAAGCTGAACCTGAACCCAAGTGTAAATTCGCTGGGCGGTGTTTTCGGGTCTGCACTTCCAGTGCTTCAGGGCAAAGAAAACGGCGGTCTTATCGCAAATGGTTTGAACAGTCCAGCCAAGAAACCCAGCAAGATCCCCGCACCGGCGAGCATCATGGGATCGGCTCCTGTGATGGGTACGGATGCCACAAGTGGATTGAGGCACCCCGTTAAACGAGTAAGGGGTGCTGTGGGAAGGAAGGTCTGATAGAAAGTGGACGCGAGAGTATTTTTTGCATTTAAGGATCCATGTGTTTTTGGTGTCAAGGCATAGCGTCGGTGTTTGGGTTGCTTGTTTTTCGCAGGAGAAAGTCGCTCAGCAAATGTTGGTGGCTATGATACGGCCCCAGGTAATGAACAGACTGTTACGTGAAATATGGCACGGTCGTGCAAATGGATCAACTTTCATGAAGGTTTCCGCTCAGCCTGCCTGGTTTTTCGTTTTTGATGGCGTGTTCCTGGAGTTCTCAGAACGGGAGCAGTTGTCAGCACCGCCAATCAGACCAGATCGAATGTTGATAGCACACGACTTCGGGCACATTGGTTGCGCCAATAAATTTTTGTTTGTTTCCGCAGAAGACAGCTTCCATATCTTCAGCGTCCTTGATGGCAGCCTTCTGACCATCCGTTTCTCTTTTGAGCTCTGCGTGCTGGACGATGGCCGCATCGATGTCTCTATGCTAATCGTTTCCGTCTCTCCTTGCACATATGGCCCTCCCTTTCATTGCCTCCACCGACCGCGCAGCCGCCTGGTTTTCGGTTGGCCTGGCCTCGTCCTTCGTGAATATTACGGATCCGGGCTGCGGTGCGCTGTCAGGGCAGTCCGTCGTCCGCACCGAAGGAGGGCCTCCGAAGTCAGGCTGCAAGGTCTTCCTCGCTCCCGACGCCAACGATACATCAGGCCAAGCCGTCCAGCTCCCGGACAATCCGGACGAGCAGTTGAACGCCTCTCTGAGAAAGGGAGACCAGGTGCTGGTCTTTCAGTACAGAGGCAAGTTCCACGCCGTAGACAACGTCAGCTCCACTTCTCCCCCCCCCCCCCCCCCCCCCCCCCCCCTCCTCCCTTCTCTTCTTCTTGACTCCGATCCGATCGCTGAACAAGCTCGTAGAAATGTCCTCACTCTTCATACCCTCTGTCGAACGGTACCCCGTTCGACATTGAGGACTTTGGCATCGCGCTCTCGGCGGGCATCACGTGTCCGAAGCATGGATGGAGCTTCGACCTGTTCTCCGGCCAGGCCGATCGGGGCACGTACAGGTTGAAACTGTGGGAAGTTCAGCTCAGAGATGTGGAGGGCGATGGCGCTGACGATGCGGCA